GCCGCCCTGCCCCGCGGCGGCTCGGCCGGCTCGGCCGTCGCTCCGTCCGGCTGCAATGCGTCGCACAGCGCGCCGACCGCCTCGTCGAGGCTGCAGAGCAGCGCGCTCCACACGGGCCCGCAGTGCTGCCTGCGCGTGTGCTCGCTCATCAGGCCGAGCGCCTACAGGACGGCTCAGAGAGGGGTGCAGAGAAGGGCGCACTGCTGCCTGCGCGCTCTGCTCGCCCCTCACCTCGGAGAGCACCTCGAGCAGCGCGCCGCGCGAGCCGCCTGGCGGAGCCGCGCTAGGCCCCGGGGCGGCGCCCTCCTCGCCCGGGGCGGCGACAGCAGAGGCGGCGGAGGCAGAGGCGGAGGCGGCGGAGGCGGAGGCGGTGGAGGAGGCGGAGGAGAGCGCCTCGAGGAGCGGAGCGAGGACCTCGGGCGTGCGGGAGTGGAAGCGCTGGCTGAGGCCCCGCACGGTGTGGAACAGGAGGAGCGCGATGCCGCTGTCGAGGTTGGACGAACAGCCGATCTGCGGCAGCAGCGTCGCCGGCAGCGCCGCAGGCAGCGAGGCGCGCGGCAGGCGGCGCAGCAGGTACGAAAACGACTCGGCGGCAAAGTCGCGGACGTGCTGCTTTGGGTGGGAGAGGAGGGGCGCGTAGGCGGCGAGCGCGGCGGGCAGGTCCGCGAGCAGCTGGCGCAGCAAGTACTTCAGCAGGTAGGCGGCGGCGGTGAAGACCGCCTCCACACGGGCGACGTCCTCGGCGCTTGAGCCGAGCAGCCGGCCGAGCGCTCCAAGCAGCGGGGCAAAGCGCGGGTAAAACTCCTGGCGAAGGTCGACGGCGAGCGCAGTGGCGAGCTCGAGCATGGGCGGGAGCGCCTCGGTACTCACGCCCGTCAGGTGCCGATGCAGCGCCTCAAAGATGGCGTCCTGCCGGTGCAGCATCAGCGGCACCGACAGCAGCATCGGCGAGAGCTCGGTGCGGAAGGCGGTGAACTGCCCTGTCTGGTTGAGCTCGACCCACCGCTCGAGGGTCTGCATGGCGAAGGGGCGGGCCTCCTCGGCCTCCTCCTCGCCAGCCTCGCGACGCCACTCAGCCATGTCGTCAGCCGTCAAGCGGTGGTGCACGTCAATATCCACCGCCGCCACGCGCTGCGCGAAATTCTGAAAGCGGAACCGCTGCCCATCCGAGTGGCGGCCGCGCTCGCGCAGGTACGACGGGTTGAGGTCTTTGCCGGTCGCCATGAGAGCAGGTCGGATGGGCAGAGCCGGGCTGCGTGGACACTGGCTTACGAAAAGAGAGATCGCGCCGGTTAGCCGGCGTGGGGAGCTGCATGGGCCCATGCATAGACATGCCAATAAATTTGAACCCACTCGGCGCTGGCGAACAACGAAAGCGCAACCGCCCTGTGCCCTGCCCCCGTGCCGCCGCGTGCTGGGACCCTGTCGTGTGGGTGAATCCTGCCTGCACAGCCCCCCCTCCGTGTCGCGATGCGCTCCCCGCTCCCGTCCCTTGAGCCTTGTGTCCCTGTGTGATCGTCCTTCCAAGATCCTACTTGTTCAGGTGTGGGGACCCTGTCCTTCTCTCCCACCCCTAAATAAATAATAAATAAAAGGCTCCGCGTGGGTACAATGGAGGAAATTTAAGTTCCCCGCTTTACTCAGGGTCGCACTCCTTGCAGGCCCAGACGCACTCTCCTACGTGTGTTAGATCGAACATGTGATCGCACAAGTACTGGTGGTCGTAGGTGCAGTGGAAGCGACATGGCTCTCTCTGCTCCCAGCCAGGGATGAGCGGCGTGAGATCGCGGTGAGATGCGTAGAAGGTGTCCTCGAGCTCGAGACACTGCCCGCAGTCCTCGCAGATGGACTTGACGACGAGCACATGCGCGCTCGCGACAGCCATCTGCGGCGTGGACATGAGCCGCTCCACGTCCGCCGGGGTCAGCTCGGTCCGGCCCACGCTAGAGAGCATCTCGGCGGCGACGGCGGGCGGCGGCTCGCGGAAGCCCCACGCGCCGTCGTCAGGGTCAGCCTCGGGGTGGGGCTCGCGCAGCCTCACCCAAGAGCCCACGCGCACGCGCCCGCCCACCGGCGCCACAACCTCTACGTGGGCGGGCAAGGCGTAGAACTGCCGCGAGAGCACGTAATAGCTGTTGTCCTCGGGATCGTCCACGTCGAAGTCCGGGTCCTGCGTGTTGTGAAAGTACTTGACGGTGGCGATGTCGTGCGGCTCGGACGGCATCCAGCCGACCTCCTGTCCGATGGCCGGCCAGGGCTGGACGTGGTAGGGTGAGAGCATCACCGGCGTGCTGACGTCGTCGAGCTGCACCGTGTGGAAGTGCTGCGGCCCCTCGATTTGCGCGAAGCCAGCGCTGCTCAGCTTCAAGCTGCTCACGCTGCCGCCCTTCTCCTGCACGCACAGCTCGGCGCGCCGCAGCACAGTGCCGCACTGCCCAGCCTTCACGGGCACGGCCAAGCACGACGCCCACTCTGGGCCCCAGAAACTCGCGGCGTCATGGATGGGCACCACGCCGCTAGCCGCACCGTCTTGCACGAGGGCCCACGCGACGCCCTCGCACACGCGCACGCGCTGGTCCTCGAAGACGAACGAGTTGCCCAGCAGTCGCTGCTCCTCGCGTTGTCGAATCGAGCCGAAGCTCTCGCCGAGCCTCGGCCGCTTCTTCTCTCGAGCTGCGCGGCGGTGCTGGGAGACGGACTGGCGGCGGCGGTTGGCGTCGGCTCGCTTCGCCTCCGCTTCAGCCTGCTTGCGATGTTGCGCACCACTCAGCTGCTCCCGCTCGCTGCGATCCCGCTTGCCCCTCTTCTGCTCGTTGATCGCCTTCTGGATGCGTCGGCGCTCCTTCATGATGGCTTCGCGCGCCGCCTTCTCCTCCTGGCTCGCGTCGTTGGGCAGCCTGGGCGGCAGCGGTGGCACGACCAGCTCGGCGCCGGTGGCAGCTGGCGCGGCGGCGGCGGTGACGGAGGTCATATGCATGGATTGTTTGGCGGGTCGACTTGCGAAGCCGATTGGACGGGGTTGCCCTGTGCCTCGTCTGGGCAAGTCTACGTACGTCCGAAATTTAATGTTAGGAGTGGGTACCTTACAGAAACAAGTTTCTTCCATTGTACGATAAAACGGACACCTCTACTAGGAGATGGGTAAAAAGGAACAGGTCTCCCACCCTCGCTTCGGTGAAGGGGGTGAACCGCGCCATCCTCGATCGCCGTGCAAAGCTCGCTTCCAAGCTCTCACGCCGCGCGTTGGGCCCTTAGGGGCCTAGAGAACACAACCCCCCTCCCTTTTCTCCCAGTAAGCTAAAAGTACGTACAAGGCCCGCTCCCCCGAGGGCGCAATTGGCTTTCTTTGCCGGGGTGGTATCGTGCGGGCCCCGTGAAACTCGCACGTCCCGTCCCGCACGCAGATCCCGACCGAAGGCCGCAGCCCACGCACCGACTGATCCCGAGAGGGCCAGCCGTCGGGCCTTCAAGTTCTAAGTACGTGCCATGGGCTCCGGCTCGAGCCGCCCCTCGGAGGGATCGCCGCCAGAGGCAATGGCCGGCCTCGAGGGAGTGAATGTCAAGCGCGTGGCCTCCACTGCGTTTCACGGCCTGGCGGTGAGCAACCTGGGCGTGGTGTACTCGTTTGGCGATGGCAAGAGCGGCAGGCTCGGGCACGGCGACGAGGAGGGTCTAATGGTGCCCCAGCCTGTCGCAGCGCTGCAGGGCGAGCGGGTGAGCGCCATCGCTGCCGGAGGTGAACATTCTCTCGTCGTCACCACGCACGGCCAGGTCTTCTCCTTCGGTTCAGGCAGCTTTGGCCAGCTTGGGCACGGCGACCTCCAGCAGCAGCTCGCCAGACTCGGTTCGCCAGACTCGGTTCGTTCACGGTTCACGGTTCGCGGCGGGTGTCGCGGGAGGAGTCGGTTCACGGATCACGGTTCACAGACTTGGGGTGGGGGCTAGTCGGTTCACGGTTCGGGGTTCACGGACTCGGGGCGGGGGCTAGTTGGTTCACGGTTCACGGTTCACAATTCCGGCGTGAACTGAGAGGGCTGCAACCTAGCGGATTTGATCAATTAAACAAGTCAAACCCCGGGAACACGCGGGTAGCACGGCCAATATATTTGCGGCTCCCATGGCGAAAAGGGCGAAGAGCGGCTGCGCAACGATTGCGCACCAATCAGTCGTTTTCTCCCAAGAAGACCCACGCTGGCAGGCTGGCTTGCGAAACACTCCTGATTCCGCTGGCCGTCCACTCTCCCTCTGGATACGGTCACTCCGTCATGGAAGCGTGTACGGATGAGCACCTCACCCTTATCTGGTCCAGACTAAGCCTCGAAGAAGCCGGCGGCGCGGCGTATGCGGTGTCACATCGTTGGCGGCGCCTCAGCCTCGGACGCCTCGCTGGAGTCTCCAAAGAGGAGCTGGCGGCACGGTCAATGGCACTCGAAGACCTCGCCGCGACTCCGCGGGGTGTGACCGAGCTCAGTATTGGCAGTCCGACAAGCGAGGTCCCGCTCGTGAGCGTTGAGGGGTCGACGCTCGTTGGGGTCGCCTTGGCTCGCGGTGACTCCGAGTTGGACGGGCGAGTCCTTGAGTTAACTCGCCTCTCGTCTGGCAGGATGAGTGTCCGGCCGTTTGAGATGCGCGGCGAGCAGTTGGTGTCGCAGCCGCTGCGAATTCTGTCGGTCTCTGCAGTCTTCTTCTCGCGCGCTCACAACATTTTTGAGATTTACGGCGCGCTCGGCGTGCTCGACGAGGAGTGCATCTCGCTTTGCCCGCTCGAGGAGGAGAGCCAGTCGTTCCTGAGCCTCGGCACGCCCATCTTTGAGTCGTGCGGCATCTCAGAGGCGTTCGCTGAGGTTTACCTCTGCCACCACCCTGAGGAGCTTTCCGTTGGCGTGCTGACGCCCGGCATCAAACACGAGATCGGAGACAACACGCTTCTGCCGCTGCTCCAGCTCTCCGACCCGCCCTTTGGCGTCAACAAGCCCCTCTTTGCATTGCTGCTCGATCTCGAACTGGGACACGTCGAAATTTTCCCGCTTCTGAAGTGCGCGCCGATCAGCACAGCAGGTGGGATCATCCCCTACCAAAGGCCAAGCGCGTACAAGTCAGCGACGAAACCTGTCGGATGCGTCGCCGCGCAGCTCGCCATGGAGGAACCTCTCTACCCGAAACTGTTCCACCCACCGCCTCCGGCTCGACAGCCTCGCGGAAAGGACCCGGCGTCGCCGGCGACTGACACCGTGCCCCGCGCGCCCAAGGCTGGCGAAGCCGGGTTTGAGCTCGCGATTTCATGGCGCTTGACGACGTGCTACATCGTCGACCCCGCGCCCGACCCCGAGCCCGGGTCCACGCCGGATATGGCGGCGGGGCCCTCACCGATGTGTGAATGAGCGAGTCTCTCGGAGGCCTCCGGAGTCTCTCGGAGTCTCTCGGAGTCCGCGAGGCCGAGAGGCGGACGGGGACCTGGGGTGGACGGCGGGGGAGGCCGAGGCGCGGGGCTCAGGCTTGTCCGCCGCCCCGCAGCACGCATACTCACTTGACGACGTACAAAGCGTTCATTCGAGGCTGCGGACCGTCCTTCCCCCGATATCTGACGTCGAGGGATGCGAGTTAATGCGCAGTGGAGAGGCCTGAAAAGTGGAGCTCCCTCTCTCCCCCCACCCGAGAAGCTCTGCCCAAGCTGTTGGATGGTGTAGAAGTCTAGAGGGCCTCAGGGGCTGTAGAGCCACACCTAGAAGAGGGGTTAGCTCACACTTTGTGGGCCGCACTGACCCTTCTCCCACGTGCCTTTGACCGCTTTGAGGTGCTGCTGCTGGTGAGAGCCCCCACCAGCCATTCTCTCAGATTCTCCGGAGAGCTCTTAAGAGTGGCCACAACTCAAGGCGCCGCCTCCGCTCAAGGATCGTTGGGATTTTCTGGTGTCATTTTCTCGCAACGAAAAGAAACGGCCCACTAGAAAGCGCGCGCTAACGTGACACTCGAATCAGGAATAAATAGGTAGACGCCACTTTCACAGCGGCCGCTGCGAAAGTGGCACCTCCCCACGGACGGCTGCCTCTTCACCAACCTCCTGAGTTCAAGCTGTCAGATGGAAAGCAGTTCAGCATGGTAGAAAAAGGAGGCCGGACATGCGGCTCGAGTCGGCGGCATGAGAGGCAAGAGCCGACCCAGTCTGCGGGCTCAGCACGGTAGATAAAGAAAGTAGGCCGGACATGCGGCTCGAGGTCGGCGGCATGAGAGGCAAAAGCCGTCTCAGTCCGCTGGCCCAGTCGGCACACGTAGACGACAGCGGATGCCGAAGAGGTCAGTCGACCCGAGCGCTGCCTGCCAAGCACAATCGGGGGCTGTGAGCGGTCGCGGGACGTGGCACGAGAGGAAGCAGCATGCCCAGCGCGGTCGGTCGGTATGCGCGAGAGCCGTGAAAGGTGACGGGAGATTGAGAGGCGGGGGGAAGGAGCGGCCGCTCACTGCTCGGTACCCCCCCTGCACATCTAAAGCCATCCCTGCTGCTAGGGGGGGGGGGTCTGACCCCCCCAGCAGCAGAGCGCTGCTGCTGGGGGGGGGGGTCCCGACCCCCCCAGCAGCAGAGCGCACGGAGACCCAGCTCTCCCGCCTCTTCGCCGCCGCCCCACCCTCTGGGTGTCTTCCGACAAATTAAGCAGCCCGACCGCCGCGAAGCGTGATGATAGCGAGAGGTGTACTCCGCGAGGTTGAGCGCTGCACGCGGTACTTGGCGGTGTCGCAGCGTCGAGCAACACTCGGTGTCAGAGCGTCGCGCCAAATCAGTAGTCTCATCACCGAGTGATTGCTGGCCTGTGGCGTATGACCTCGCGCGGATATCACCAACGACGAGCATGCGAAGATAGGGAACAATATCTTGTACAGGCTGTGCTCCCCGCTGTGCCACGGCGTATGATGGGCTGCGAGAGCCGTATCTTCCCTCCTTGAGGCAGAGGCGCCGCGATGCACGAGAGGCGTAGAAGAGAGGCTGGCGTGCCCCGCACATCCCGGTTGGCAGTAGGAGGGCCCGCCGGTGAGACCACTGATTTTGGTGCCGACCATAAATTATCGCCACTGGAACGCATGCTACTTACAGCTGCTGTCTGTACAGAGATGCCAGCACCCCCCACAGGCAGAGCGCTACTGCTGGGGGGGGGGGGTCCGGACCCCCCCAGCAGCAGAGCGCTGCTGCTGGGGGGGGGTCCCGACCCCCCCAGCAGCAGAGCGCTGCTGCTGGGGGGGGGGTCGGCCATGGCTTTAGATGTGCAGGGGGGGTACCGAGCAGTGAGCGGCCGCTCAAGGTCTGTGACCTGCCTAGTAAGCCGACATGCCAAGCATGTGCGGCCGTTCGGAGTCCCCCCTTGTACACGTGTGCCGCTGGGATCATTCCAGTACGCCCGGAGGGCGACGGTCCCCCGGTAGTAGACGTTGGCGCCGAGGAGGGAGGAGTCGCTGAAGGACGGGTAGTCGTCGATCATGCGGGGGGAGGAGGAGTCGGCGAGTAGCGGGGATGAGAAATGCCTGAGAGGGTGGGGAGGGAGGCGTGAGGCGCAAATGCTGTGTGTCCACAGCAGTCCGGACCCGGTGCTACAGCCGGTGACAGTCGTGTGCCTCGTGTCGGCTCCCGTGCCAATCGTGTGCAGCGTGTGTGTGTGGGGGGGGGGCCGTCCTCCATGTGTCACCTGACCTCCTCCATGTGTAACACTGGCTGACTGAAGAGAGCCCACCCCACCCCGGAGCTTTGTGGTGGCCCCCAGCCGCACCAGCCGAGGCCGGGCGATGTGTGCGCGTGCTGGGAGTGCCATGGCGACCCACGCATCGATGTTCGAGCGTGCTTAGACCGTGATTGATATATAGGTCCCAAGCAGACTTTATAAACCAAGTGACACTGTGCGCACAGGCGCCGATATCCTGGGCACAGGCCGATACACTGGGCACAGGCCGATATAACGTATTATTCGGGCGTCTGATTGATTCTTCCGGGAGATAGTGAAAAAAATGCGCACGACAAACACAACCTCCCCCTTCGCAAAGAGAGTCTGACCTGTCGCCGCCCTCTCGCGCTCTCTCAGCACTCAGGTCAACATGGCGCGCACATGGCGCGAGTGCTCAGGAGCGGCGAGTGAAGTAGCAGCGCGAGTCCGCGCGCAAGTGCGCGAGGTAGGCGGCGGCGGCGTGCTTGCCAGCCTCGTCGCCCGTGTTCAGAGAGTCGCACGCAAACTCGTGCCCCACCCAGTCGTGGTCGGCGCGCCGGAAGATCCTGTAGTACCCCCACACCACCGGGTAATCATGCCGGTGGGTGGGGGTAGCGGCAGTTGCGTCGGCAGCAGCGATGCGTGCCTGGCGCCGCATCGCCTTGCCAACCTCTCCGCCGCACCAGCCACCGCCGCGCAGCAGCGTAGCGCCCTTGGCGGCGAGGGAGCCCCGCGCACCCGAGCACCACTCGATTGCGCCCGCAATCACGCCTCCCAGCCGCTTCCCAGCGGTCCAACGCTCCTCGCTCGTTGGCAGCGGTGGGCACGCCAGACTGCCGGCGAAGTGCGGCGCCGCAGACTTCCCAACCGAGCGGTAAAACTTCTCGTGCGCTCCTGCCACGTCGTTCTCCTCGGTCAGCAGCTGCCGGTGCGACGGCTTCTCGAATGGCAGCGACTCGTGCTCGGAGAGCTGCGCGAAGAGCAGCGGCGCACCATCAGCGGCGAAGCGCACTTGCCCCAGCAGCATCTCGTACTTTGGCTTTGGCGGCAGCGCCTCGCCGCGCGCCGCCGCCGAGTGGCACTCGAGCTTCCATTTCTCGAGCAGCGCGACCTGCTCGTCGAAGAACTCGCCGATGGCGATTCCCGCCTTCTTCGAGCGCTGCTTTTCGCAGTGCGTGCCCACCTCGCCAGAGCCGCCGCGCGCGCCGCGCAGCGAGGCGTCGGCGCCGAAGACGCACGCGAGCATCGCGAGGTAGTGAGAGGGAAGAAGCCCCTCCCGACTGAGCAGCCGGCCCGCCGCCTCCTCGAGCCGCGCCGCCGAGTGCTTGCAGCCCGATGTCGCCGCGATGTCGCGGAAGACCTTGACAAAGGGCGCGAGCGCCGCCTGCGACACGTACGCCTCGTTCGCGTAGGCACGCTGCGCCGAGCCCTCGAGCGCCTGGTAGCGCTGGGAGATGTCGTCGGCATTGAGTTGGTGCTGCTGCCGCTGCGCGATCGACTGAAACCCGTCGGCGGCCTCGCGTTGGCCCGTCTGAAGGCCGCGCATATTATACCGCACGTCGGGGTGCGCGAGGAGGTAGTTGACCAAGTCGCTCTTAGCTCCGAGGATCGCGTTGCGCGAGTCGGGCGGGAGCTGCGTGAGCACGGAAAGGTCCATCAGCTCGGTGGGGTCGGGGCGGACGAGCTCGTCGCCCGCGCCGCGCGTGCGCTGGAGAAGGAGCAGGAGGCGACAGAGCGGAAGGGCGTTGCTCTTCGACAGGGACCGCGCCAGAGTGTCGTCGGCAGGCGTCCACTCACGGTCGTCTTGCCCACGCTCCCACATCTTGCTCAAGCGGGTCTGATACTCACCGAGCTGCTGCGAGTTGATCGTACGCTCAAAGAGCGGCACGCGAGGGAGCTGCTCCAGTTCGAACGTGGCCGCGTCGCAGCAGCCTGACGTGTCGGCCAGCTCGGCGTCGTACTCGGATAAGAGGTGGCGGGCAGCGGGCGTGCCCGCCGCTGCAAACATGAGGCCGCTCACAACGAAGAGGTCGCTGCCCAACCGGCCGCGGACACGGTAGTCGGCGAAAAACTCCGGCACATTGATCTTGCTCGTTGAAGAAACACTGGGATACGCCCGCTGCGCGGCGACGGCGTCGTCTCCGAGGAGCCGCCCGAATGAGTTGAGAGGAACTGGGGTGAGAAACTCTTTGATCGTCTCGGCAAGTCGCTTTGCTTCCTCATGGAACGGTGGTGGGGCGCGCTCGGGCGGTGGCAGCCCTTTGCACGCCGCGCTAGCGGCGGCTACGCGCGCCCGCTCGCCCGGTGAGACTGACGGCGTCAGGCCGGGCATGGCGGTTGTTTTTGGTGGCAAACCTTCGTTGTTTCTTTTGAGCTTAGCCTTCGATGTTATGAAACAAACGCAAGGCGGACATGGCATATCGCTCTCGGGCCCACAGACATCCCGCACACTCGCCGCACACCCGCCGCCCCCGCGCGCGCCCCGCCCCGGCCGGGAGAAAGGGGAGTGACAGTTTGGGACGGCAACAGAACGAGTATGTTGAGTCCTGGCTCAACAACGCAGAGTAAATGTAAGCCGGATGGCTCACAGGCCACCTCTTGCGCCCCGACTGACCGATCTACCGCACTGGCCACTTCCGCCCCCTTGCTCCCAACCCTTCCACCTCGCCTCGGGCCGCGCCGCGCGATCTCGGGCGATCTCGCGCTATCGCGCGCGATCTCGGAGCTCCACGCCACGCCTCTCCACCCCACCCCACCTCACCCACCGCCGCGCCGCGCTATCTCGGGCGATCTCGGAGCGTCGCTCGCGCGGCGTCACACCTGCTCAAAAAAGGAAGGGCCTGGTTGGAGCCACGGGGCTCACGAGGACGTGCTCGCTCGGTTCTCGCCGCCTCGCCCTGCGCCACTGGGGCCGGTGAGGCGGCGCCCCGCGCGGCGCGTCCCTCGCCCCGTCACGCCGACCCCTGCGCGCACCGCTCATCTTCAGCCCTCCCGGGGTTACTCTTGCTTGTTTCTTTTTGTGGTCGAATGAAAAAAGACTAGAACGAGTTGCTGCGCACCACGAGATGGTTGCCGGCAAGCGACACAAGCGCTGGCGCGAATATTTCTTTTTTGTGCGTGTGCATGGAGCATGCTCCTTGGTCCATGTCCATTTGTGGGCGTAACTAGCCAGCTCATGGCGGCACGCGGCGCCACACGGGGCGCGGAGGCAATAGAGACATGTGAAGAGAGAGAGAGAGCCAGCTCTGAGAGGGAGAGAGAGAGAGAGAGCCAGCTTTGAGAGAGATAGAGAGCCTCATCTCGTTGCGGCGCTTGCAGGCGTGCGAGTCCTCGCCGTGCAGGCGGGCGCGCTCCACAGCCTCGCACTGAGCGACCACGGGGCCGTCTTTTCCTGGGGCCTCGGAGCGCAGGGGCAGCTCGGACATGACGAAGCGGGGGAGCCCGAGCCGTCGAAGCGCCGGCGCAAAGCGCCCACCGGCGCCGTCTCGCGTTTGCCGTCACCGCCGTCCGAGCGGCCGCGAAAGCTCACCGCCACGCCAACAGCGATTCAAAATCTTCCGGAGCGAGGCCGTGTCACCGCGATCGCCGCCGGTGGATTCCACAGCCTCGCGATGACCGACCGGGGTGCCGTCTACTCGTTTGGACACGGTATGCACGGCCAGCTGGGCCACGGAGACACGTCGGATCAGCCGACACCGCGGCTAATCGACGGGCTGCCAGAGCGCGGCAGGGTGGTCGCAGTCGCGGCGGGGGCCCACCATAGCCTCGCGGTCAGCGATCGCGGCGCGATCTACAGCTTTGGCTATGGCGGGCACGGCCAACTGGGGCATGGCGACAGGGCCGACCAGCTTCTGCCACAGCCGGTGGCGGCGCTCGAGGCGGTGCGCATCAAAGCGGCCGCGGGAGGAGCCGACCACTCGTTGGCGCTAGACAATTTTGGCGTGCTGTACAGCTTTGGCCTGGACGAACCGCCTCCGCCGCGCCGCGCGCAGCCTACGCCACGGATCGTTGAGGAGGTGCGAGGCGTGCGAGTGGCGGACGCGTGCGATTCCTTTGCCGCAGGGAGTTTTGCCCGCCTCGCGGTCGCCTCTGGCGGCGCCACCTTCAGCTGGGGGACAATCAAAGCCCCCGACGACCACGATTCTTACCCCGCCCCGGTGCCGCCTCGGGCCACTCGCTCGCGCTCGATAGGGAGCCGCTCCAGCCCTGCTGTCCTGCAGCGCTAGAGACGGCGTGGAGAGAACTGGGGGAGGGCAGCGACAGCCGACACCTGGCCGGTGTTAAAAAGCCGTATGACGGTGACCGGTGAAATCCGCTGTATCTCAGATACAGAACATACGGCTAAGTATGCCCGCATCGGCCACCGTCGTGCTCTTGGGCTTGGACTCTGCTGTCTCGTGTCTGCTCGTCACGAGCACAAAACCCCTTCGAGGCCTAGCCTAGAAAACTGTGACAAAAAACACCCACAAAAAAAAAACAGCTAAACACGGCCCCCAGAGTGTAGAGATCTAGAGTGTAGGCCTAGCAAAACCCACAATCCAAATACCATAACCCCCCGAATGAGTTTTGTCTCACTCACGTAGAAGCTCGCTACGAGCTTTTTCGGTTTCGCCCAAGCCACGTGAGCTACGACCACCACGTCTAGTGAGCCCCTCCCTGCTCTAGGCCGACTGGCGGAGGTCGGGAGGCGTCCAAGCGGCCCCCACTCCCTCATTGCGCATGCGCGCTGCCGCAGCTTGGGGGAGGGACTACATGCGAGGCGGCAGGCGCGGCGGTGGCATCACATCCTGCTGAGCAGCTCCTCCTTCTTGGCGTCGTAGTCCGCCTGGGTGATCAGGCCCCGGTCCAGCATCGACTTGAGCTGCGCCAGCCTGTCCCCAACTTGGACGGAGGCAGGGGAGTCGCCCGTCGCCCGTGCAGTGGCCGCTGCGGCCGCGGCCGACGCCGCCGACGCCGCCGGCCTCGGCGCGCTGGCCGCGGCCGCGCGCGCACCGCCGCGGCGGAGGCTGCGGAGGCTTCCGTAGCCGAGGAACAACGAGGCGGCCGCCAGGGCGAGGAGGGTGGCCGAGAGGAGGGGCCGGTACCAGAGCCACGCCAGCGCGACGACCACGAGGGTCTGCGCGGCGGCCAGGCTGAGCGCGAGCAGCCCGACCGCGCACCCCACCAGACCGCCGAGAAGAGGCACCCACGAGGCGAGGTACGAGAACGGGCCGAGGACGAGGCCCCACCCCGCCCAGACGAGGACGCCGCCGAGCGCGCGCATGCCCCACTTCCACGCCGCGTTGGCGCCCGCCGCGGCCGCGAACATGGCCGCCGGCGTGTGCTGGCCGCGCCGCAGCATCGCGAGCTCGAAGCCCGACGAGGCGACCCACGGCTCGAGCCCGTCTCTCGCGCGGCGGGCGAGGACGCTCACCTCGCCGAGCGGCGCGTGCTTCCACGAGAGGCGAGCGCACCCGATCGCCGGCCGGCCGCCCTCGCAGCCCGGCGCGTAGACGCTGTGGCCGAGCCTCTCCCCGTCGCCGGCTTGCTGCAGCAGCCCGCGCGCGAGCTGCAGCCCATGCAGCGTCACCGGCTGGCTCCACCGCTCGTTCGAGAAGCCGGGCCCCGCGTCGCGCAGCGCCTCGTCGAAGCTCGGGTTGGCTGGCGCGCGCGGGTCTCGGAACTCGGCCGAGCGCACCTCGCGGCTCGACCACTGCTCCCGGTACGAGTACGTCTTTACCGTCTCCGTCATCGTGCCGCCCCTCCCGTCGGGCACCTTTCTGCGGCTCTCGTGCGCGTGCTCCTTCCAGAGGTACACCTCCGCCACCCGCTCCAGCCAGATGGCCGCCGCGTGGACGTCGAAGGCGTCGTCGCGCAGCATGCCGTCGCCGCGGCCGCGAAGCTCCCCGCTCAGGTGCGCCACGCCGCCCGTGCCGGCCGCGTGGTGCCTCTCCGCCTCGAGAAGCCCGTACTGGGCCGCGACCGCCGAGCCCTCGTTCGTCCACAGCAGCGCGGTCGCGCCGGCGAGGAGGAAGAGCCCGACGACCGAGCCGATCAGGCTGCCCGACATGGACGGCTTCCGGCCGCGGTGATACTCGACCTCGGTGTAGCTGCCGCCGGGGTAGCCGCCGCCGCCGCCGCCGCCCGAGCCGCCGTAGCCGTAGCCGCACGCGCGCGGGGGCGCGCGCCGGGTCACGCCGCCCGCCATCAGCGGCGCCTCCTCGTCTGCCGTGTTTTGAGTGCCCAGCCTTGCAGCGCGCGCCTGCGGGGGGAGGAGTGGTGCCGGGTTACCTGCTTCCCCCCCCGCCCTACCGAACCACGCACCGCCCGCCCATGCCGACTTCCGTCCTCCCGCCGCCCTCCCCCCTTCCCGCCCCTCCGCCCTCGCCATCCCCATCCGTGCGCCCCTCCCCGTCCGCTCCCTCCCGCTTGGCGCCCATCCCGCCCTCCGCCCTCGCCCTCCGCCCCTCCCTGCCCTGGCTGGCCTGGGTGGCATCTCCTCATCATCACGCGCCAAGCGGGAGGGAAGTGGACGGGGCCCTGAGCCGACCTAGCCCCAAACGGAATGGGGCGGCCAACACGTGCCGGATTACTGTGTGTGCCCTCCACGGGTGCAGCCTTTCGGTTCGTGAAGGGTCGGTGCGAGTCTTGCTTTCCTCGATCCCCCGCCCTCCCCGGCCATCTCCGCCGCTTTGTTTGGCTCTCCAGCCTTACCACCATCGGGAGGCGGCGAGGCGAAATCAGACAGACTCGGTCGAAAGACCCCAGATCGGCATCCATCCATGCCCTTCTGGACAGGGTGGCCCGCCACAACGACCCCTGGAATTGCGACTCGCCGCTTTCCTCCCGCTGTGATCCTGTGTGAGCTCTGTCTCTTGGTTTGCCAACAACATACCTAAAAACAGGAGTGGTCCCCGTCCGGCAGGGAGCACGAACCCGCCACTTGGGTGGCATGCACACCCGAAGTGGCCGCGGCGGACCTTGCTACATGGAGGCGCTCCCTTCAGAGCTCCTCATCGCAGTGCTGACGCGATTGGAAGCCCAGAACGGCTGCCCGCGCCATGCAAACCTCCAAGTTCATTCAAGCCGCAGACAGCGAGGTTGTGTGGCAGGCGCTTGTGCTGCAGCAGTGGCCTGCGGCGGCGACCTCTGTCGTGGCAGCGATGGGCCTCGGGTGGAAGGCCCGCTGCCGGTACTACCACGAACGGGCGATCGAGAGAATGAGCCTCGCTGACGAAGCCCAACGCAGGCCCAGATCCGCGCAACCCAACGCAGAGCAGATCAACGCTCAGTTTGGCTTCATCTTTGAGTCTCACGGTCGAGATCTTTGTCCTTCGCCGCAAGGACAATGCTCTCGCCTCCTTCGCCGAAATTCACTTCGAGCCGTCGATCGACAACGATGACGACGACTACGCCGATGCGATTGTGCACACGTCTTGGTTTGCGTGGCCGACCAACAGCTTCGCGTGGGTGCCTGGAAACTCCTACGGAGCCGACAGAATCACTGCAACCGTGAGCGAGTTCAAGCCGGATGAAGCCGGCGAGTGCGCACCGGTGATCGACTTTGGCTGCGAGGCAAGGGTTCACGACGCGGACGGAAGCTATCCCTTCTTCCTTTGCGACCTGTCTGACCTGCTCCTTCGCAAGGTGGGAGGGCTGCAGTGGAAGGTGCTTGCCTAAGTGGAATATGAGCTTGGCACGGTTTGCATGGACAGCTCTGCCGCGGAGCGGCATACGCCTAATGGCGAGGTCAGCGCGCCTGCCCTCGCCCTGGGCGAGTGTTTTCGGCCGAACGGCGAATTGTCGCATCTGTCCGGCACGGTCTGCGGCGGTATGACTCTTGTTTGGCGGATAGGAGTGCACAGAGATGCTTCTCTCTTCTGTGGAGTGCAGCGGGACGAAATCAGCAACCAGCCTCCGGGCGGGCCCCCCCGCTACCATCTAAACCCCCCCCACGAGAGTAGGGTCTCAGAGTACAAACTCTCACGAAAAAAAGCGCCTCTCCGAGATAGGTACCGAGAGCGCTCTGCCGCGTCCTGCGCCCTAGCGCCCTACTACGTAGAGCCGTACTAGACGGACTACTTCTATCTAGATGTCATCTGCCACACACACAAAGCATTACTCTCACGACACACGGGGGCCGGGCGTGGAGGCTGGAGCGCTAGGACCTAGGTGGAGCGGCGGCGGCGCGGCACGCGCGGACGGACGGATTTGGACGGGGCGGAGCAGCGACCGGGGCGGAGCAGCGACCGCCAGGGCGGCCGCTCCTCTGTCTCGCGCGACTACTTATGTTTTCGTAAACGTAGAGAAGTACAGCGATCGCCATCTCGCTGGCCTCTCCGCAAGGCCTCCCGACCGCGTCGAACTCACGGCGCGGGCTCTCTCGGCTACGGGACCGGCCCCAGCTTCGGCTGAGGGCTGACAAGCTGCCGAGCCCAAATCACTGTGAGAGTCGTGATTTCTGGTTGGTTTTCTAAAATCTCTCTCTAAACGTAGTCGTGGCCCCCGCTACGTCGCACGAGAGAGATTTTTAGCAATACCAAACAACTCTAACACTCACACGTCATTTGGGGCCTGGAGCCATGTTCACGCGCGCGCGAGACGTGCAGACAGGGTTGCCACGTTTTGTTCGCACGAGTGCAAGAATAGAAAATCCTTATCAGCTTTTTTGCCGCCATGTGGGCCTCCCGGCCTGCTGCGGCGGCGCGGCCGGTCGAGGCCGGGCTCGGCCCGGCCCGCGACGGCTGGCCGCCGACGAGCGCGCTCGCGCTGCTCGTCAAAATGGCAGCGGTGTCGATTGCGGCGACGGTCGTTCAGTCGTACAGCGCTCAGGCGTCTGTCATCTGTCGTCTGTTGTCGCATTTCGCACACGCGCGCGCCGCGCGACCCGCGTCGCTCCGCGAGGGCATGAGCCTTCCGCGATTCGATCCCGCAGCCAAAAGCTGCTCGCTCGAACCGCGGCCGACTCTACCATCGCGGCCGCAGCTGTTGAGCTCCTCAGAAGACTGGTGCCTCATATGCTGCCTCCCTGCGGATGCTGCCGGCGAGCCTGGCGGTCCGCTGTACTACAAGGAAGTGCTGACTCGATTCTACCTCGAAATCTTCTACCCCCATGACTCGCACGGAACGCGAATGTGACAGGACCATCGGGTCCTTCAGCCACCAAAGTGAGATCACCCGAGAGCAGCTGAGCCTGCCTCTGGCCTCGCCTCCCTCTCCTTCAGGCATTCGTGGCATCCTATGGGTCGTCCAGAGTATCGACCTCTGGCTTGTCAGCCGCCCCACCGAGGGCACCATGAAGTGTAGCGATCGCCATCTCGCTGGCCTCTCCGCAAGGCCCCCCGACCGCGTCGAACTCATCGGCGCGGGCTCTCTCGGCTACGGGACCGGCCCCAGCTTCGGCTGAGGGCTGACAAGCTGCCGAGCCCAAATCACACTGTGAGCGTCGTGATTTCTTGTTGGGTTTCTAAAATCTCTCTCGAGTGCAACTGGGGCTAAAAAATCGAGGAAATCCGCAGCGGCCTCCTCCTATGCGTGTTTTTAACTGCCCAGCCTAATGTGGCGAAGCCCGGGGCAAGGAGAAGGAGAAGAAGGAGAACTCCACTCAAAAAAGAAAGTCGGGAAATATCCAAGAACTGCCTCCTGGGTCGACCTACCGCTGTACCCACCCCACCGACGGGAGCAGCATCAAGCCAGAGCATCAAGCCAGCGCTCGATGGGCGGCTCCCTCGGCAAGGCGGAGCTCGCGCTGCTCGACCATGGCGTCAGGTGGTGGAGCGATCAGGGTGGCGCTCCCGTCTCGTACACGACGCTCGACGTCCCGCTGCACGACGGCGATGGCTCTCACATCCACACCGTCGAGTACTTTTCCAAGGGCGGCGAGAAGGGGGCGAAGCGAGCGCCGCTCGTGTGCCTGCACGGGTACGGCTTTGGCACGGGCCTGTACTTTAGCACGATGCCGTCGATCGTCGGGCGGTGGGGCGGCCGCGTGTTTGCGCTCGACTCGCTCGGCTGCGGCCTGTCTAGCCGGCCGCGCTGGAGGCTGGCGCAGGGCGAGTCGGCCGACGTCGCAGAGGTGGAGGAGTTCTTCGTCGGCGGGCTCGAGCGCTGGCGGAAGAGCATGAAGATTGACCGGATGGTGCTGCTGGGACACTCGATCGGCGGGTACCTCGCCGTCGCCTACGCGGAGCGGTACCCGCAGCACGTCGACCGGCTGATCCTGGCCTCTCCCGTGGGCGTGCCGCACCCGCCCGCCGAGCTGGCGGCCGCGATCGGCGACGCGCCCTTCCTGGTCCGCACGGTGCTCGGCATGTGGAGGAGTGGGTGGAGCCCGATGACGCTCGCCAAGCTCGGCCTCGGCAACATGATGATGCGCGGCTACGTGAGCCGCCGCTTCGCCGACGTGGACTGGATCCCAAAGGACCTGCTCCAGGCGTACCTCTACCAGAACTGGTCGGGCGGCCGCAACAGCGGCGGAGGCTACGCGCACAGCACGCTGCTCGTCCCGGGCGGTCTCGGCGAGCTGGCTTACGCGAGGCAGCCGCTCGTCGACCGGATCCCGCGCCTGCGCGTGGGCCGCATCTCGGCCATCTACGGAGAGTTCGACTGGATGGACCACCGGAACATGAAGGCGCTCAAGACGAGCCTGCTCAAGAGGAAGGCCGAGGCGGGCCTCGAGGCGCCGCTCATTGAGGTGATCCGCGTGGCGAGCGCGAGCCACCAAATCCCGATCGACAACCCGCTCGGCTTTGCGGAGGCCGTCCTCGACTCGTGCAACGACGCGGACGCCGCCCACGGCACGACGGTGGGAGGCTCGCGGGGCGCGATCGGGCGGCTCGTGCCGGGGTATCACTGAGACTCTGGCGGCGGCTCCCGAGACTCTCATCAAAGCTCGGTGCTCCGCACCACCTGAGCGGTGAGATGTGTGTATTTGATACAGTGTTTATGACAACCGCTGTGCGATAGAGTGACGTGTGTGGAGGGTCCAGAGTCTGCGCGAATCGGTGATAATCTGTTACAAACGCGAAACGGACGAGACGGTCGAGACCGAGACGCGGCGTTCGCGGAGCTTTCTCGGCTCTTTCGGTCTTTGCCGTTTCCCGTTTGCGTGAATTTGCGATTCGTTGCACGTTGGAGGGCGGGGAATATGGCACTGGGACTTTTCGGGTCGAAATGCGGCGGGGCGGAGATGCGTCCTCTTGTGGGACGCCCATTGGGACGACCTGACTGACACCCCTGTCGCCCAGCCCCTTGGCAGCGATCGATGCCGGCGCCGGATGCGGCGGCGGGAGGCACCACGAGCGCAATGAAAAAATTGTAACAAGTGGAACTGCGTATCCTGCGGTTCTAGATGGGGCCTACATGATACGTCCATGATACATACATGATACATACATGATACAGTATCAGTTAATTCTAATATGGTTAACTAGTTTGAACATAAGAAGGACGGACGGACGGAAAAACACCCCCCTTTTATGCCTGACCCTGGGCATGGCCTCTCTGGGGGTGAGCTGGGTCGGCCACCTCCGGGGCTGCAACTCGCACGGTGGGTCCGCGTCCGGGCGAGCATTCGAGGCCCGCGGTTGTCCTTTCTCTGGGCGCGACCGCCATGGAGATCCGCTGCCCACAGATCAGTGCTTTTGTCGACTATTGCTCGCTCTCTGTGCACTCGCAACGCCAGAGGCCGTGCTTGGAGAATGCGTCGCAATGCTGCTGCGCCAGTGGATTGAGCCGCTTCGCAAGCTCCATCGGTGAGCTGCGGCGGCGCCGGCCGCTTCATCGTTTCATCGAGTTTGCCCGAGTGGTAAAATGCAATCGGATTTGCCCGAGTGATCTGTGATCTGTGAGGGTCCGCCCGCAGGCGCATTTTGTATACCGAGGCGGTGCCCGGTGCCGAACCTGTCGGACCTTAAGACAGCGTTGTAGATCCCTGGGCGAGGGTGGTGGAGAGGGCGGTCCGTCGGCGCCAAACCACCTCCCACCGAGGTGGGCAGGTTCCACGCGTTCCCGGACCGCCCCGTTGGAGGTAGGCCGCTCGTCTAGCCAATCAGCCTTAAGCGAGCGGTCTGGCCGTTGGAATGGCGCGCCGGGTGCGGAGAGAGGGGCGGCGTCGGCTCGGAAGCGCGACTGCAGCCACGGGGACTGCCCGCCCGCTCTCGTTGGGTTGAGGGGAGGACGACTGTCTCCGCAGGACCTCAGTTACAAGCCGTCCTCCCCTCGAGACGCGAGGCCAGCGCACTCGGGGCCCGGAGCCCCAGCGTGCACCGTCCCACACGCCTCACGCGGCCTCTGGCTGGAGCGGGATCGCAAGCGAGTCCCCCAGGCCGGCGCGCGTCTTCCGAGAGAGGAGCGGGAGCGAGGGACCTCCTTAGTAAGCCGGCATGCAGGCGCATGCACGGCCGTTCAGAAACTTTCCCAGCCGTTGGAATGGCTCCGCTCCTGCCCCTCACCGGGCCGCGAACGGGTAGTAGACGTTGGCGCCGAAGAGGGAGGAGTCGCCGAAGGTCGGGTAGTCGTCGGTCATGCGGGGGGAGGAGGAGTCGGCGAGTAGCGGGGACGAGAAATGCCTGAGAGGGTGGGGAGGGAGGCGTGAGGCGCAGGGTGAGGGGCGTGGGGGCGCGGGGCGCGGGGCGTGCGTGGGACGCGAGGCGTGAGGCGCAGGGCGTGGGGCGGGAGGGCGCGGGGCGCTCGAGTGAGGGCAGGGTGTGTTTTGTGTGTGTGTATGTGTGTGTGTATGTGTGTGTGTGTGTTGGTTTGTTTGTTTGTGCGAGGGCAGGGCAGGGCAGGGCAGGGCGGCGGCGAGCGGCGAGCGGCGTCGGCGAGATCGGCGACGAAGAGAGGCGATGGTGGCGTACACGGCGGCAGTGTTCACGGCAGCAGCGCCGGTGGCGGCCCCGCGCAGCGGCGGCGGCGCCCTGAGTGAGGCAGACTGCCCTGCACAGCCTGCTGGGAACGCTCCCGACGAGCGGCGCGCCATGCGGGCCCGCCGCGGGCGACGCGGGCGGCGAGCCGACACGCGTGTCGCAGGCGTAGACAGCACTGGTGAGGCGTGGCGGCCGGCGCCGGTCCCGGAGGCGGCTGCAGTAAGAGCTGCGAGGCAGAAGTCACTGTCCAAGGCGTACTGAGCGGGCTGCCATCGAGCAGCGCGCCATGCGGGCCTGCCGCCGGCGACGAGATTGGAGAGCCGACAGGCATCGAAGAGGTAGGTACTGAGGAGGGCCATCGCGCCCAAGGCGGTCCGTGCCGGCCCTGCATGCCGTCTCAGAGAGCCTGGCGAGGCTGTACAGAATGCCGAGAGCATACTGAGCAGGCTGCCGTCGAGCGACGAGCTATGCTGGCTCGTCGCAGGCGATGAGGTCGAGGAGCCGATCGGAGCGTCGCAGAGGCTGCCGACCACTGTAGTTCGCCCTCGGGCCCAGGGGTGGAAGGCAAGCTTCCTGGCGTTTCTGGCGAGCGTCCAGACGTCGCAGAGCATCCGGCAGGCGCGCAGCGACCCAAATTTTTGCTCACCGCACGGCCGTGCGAGCCGTCGTTCGGCGGTGATGGTCGGCGTCGGCGCGCGCCGACCGACGCGGCTGCTGTGGGCGTCATGTGGCGGGCGTGTCGGACTAGACATTGTCCGAATTTCGGCGGATCGTGCACTTGAGCACTGGATGGATAGGGTCGATTCCGCATGGTACGGGACCCCTCGATCGTCTCGCCCTCCCTCACTGGAGTGTTCATTGGGGGGGGGGGGTCATAACAAACACGGTGCAGGATCGAGGTGCACGCTGCCAGAGCAGTGTCGTCCCCCCTCTCCCCGACAGTGATGGCGGTGTGACCGATCGAGCTACAAGAGGAGCTTGTTCAGCAGGATCCGGGATGGTCAGGCGCACTACCTCACTGGGCGTGAGACCGCCGAGACGCCCCCATCACCGTCTCGGATTCATGTGGGATCGAACCACTCCGGGATGGGCAAGCCCATCAATTTTCGTCTCGTATTTCCCTGCACCATTGCTAGTTAATTGTCGAAATTCCTGTTGTGCAAGAGGGGAGGGGGCTCTGACGGAGTGTGTGGCGGGAGAGGGCAGGGAATGGGCGCGGGGGAGGGGGGGGGGGGGGGGCTCAGCCGTGCAAAAAGCATCAAATAATAATAGTAATGAAGAAATATTGCTCGGCCGTTCATGAAGTCCGTCTCGATCTGGAGGAGACGGGTCAACCCCGTGAGGACCAGATCAGGTTCACATTGTCGTAGCCGGAGGGGATGTTGACCTTTAGCTGTTGGGGCCACCCTTCCGCTTTGGTTTTTTTCCCACAGACCACTCGGGCAGCTTTTACCAAATGCCAAAGTTGCACTTTACCACTCGGGCAGATTCGATTGGATTTTACCACTCGGGCAAACTCGATGAAACGGCGGACGGAAAACGCGTTCGCGGACGCTCGCCGGAGAGCTATGCATGAAGCGGCCGGCGCGCCGCCGCAGCTCACCGATGGAGCCTGCGCCGCGGCTCAATCCACTGACGCAGCAGCATTGCGACACATTCTCCAAGCACGGCCTCTGGCGTTGCGAGTGCACAGAGAGCGAGCAATAGTCGCCAAAAACACTTATCTGTGTGCAGTGGATCTCCATGGCGGTCGCGCCCAGCGAAGGGACAACCGCAGGCCTCGGATGCTCGCCCGGACGCGGACCCACCGTGCGAGTTGCAGCCCCGGAGGTGGCCGACCCAGCTCACCCCCAGAGAGGCCATGCCCAGGGTCAGGCATAAAAGGGGGGTGTTTTTCCGTCCGTCCTTGTTACTCAAGTGCTCAAGTTTGGCGCAGGGGTACACGATACACACATGGTACACATGAATCGTCGCGTGGTGATACGCATGATGATACAAACACGTGTATGATACAAACAACAATGATACGTATCGGATAACAACCCCCCCCCCCCCAATCTGATAACAAACCCTTACCGTTGAAAATTGTGGAGATGTGGACACACCGGACATACATCGGCACAAATTGGGGTTGGTCACTCACGCACCCCACGGACTGCACACGACCTCCTGAGCACAGGCCACAGAAATGCCGAAACACCGTCGCCGCAATCGCCCGTTCACAGATAGGGTGATAAGAAAACAAGAACCTCGCATACGACGACAGTGAGGGTGTGAGAGACAGACCCAGGGAAGGTCTTTCACTACCTTACAGCCCCTGCCCGAGCTCAGGCTCGACAGAGGTCGGTTTGAACATTCACACCCCACGCAAGTATCCTTGGCGCCAGTCCCCGCCCTGTCGATTGATTGCATGACAGCCTCCCTTTCATCCTCCTCGATGTCGACGTGCCCGAGCGTTGTCGACCTGATGCTCGCCGCCTTCCCCGAGGAGCTGAGCGTTCAAGGTGAAGCAGAAGAACGTCCTCGTCCTCAACATCAAAAAGGTCACCGTCGCACTCCGCCTCGCTGCCAAAGAGCTCTCGATCGGCAGCGTCGAGGGCTGCCAGCTCGCTCCCATCGAGATCGCCCGACGGGCGGCCGATCGCGATCCGTTCTTCCAGCTGGTCGAGATTCATCGCGCCGTCGTCGACGAAATCAGTCGCCCGCCTGGAGCTCACACGCTCCACATCCGCCGCGAGAAGACTCATCACAGCATTGTACACGGCGCAAAGACGATTGAGCTCAGGCGCGCGGACGGCGCGTTTGCAAGCATCCGCGCGGGCGACGCTGTCACGTTCACTCACACCTCGCGCGAGGTGAAGACGACTGTGACGCGCGTCGAGCACGCCGAGTCCCTCGAGCAGCGGATCCACAGCTGGCGGCGCGCAGCTGTCCCAACAGCCCACACCGATAACGAGGCCATCTCGTACGTCGCGGAGGTCCTCAGCCCGCGCGTACCTGTCCTCGCAATTCACTTCATCACCGCCGAGAACGCGTTCCGAGCTGCAGTCATGCACCACCTGCAGCAGAACTTTGCAAACGCAGACGCCGTGACTTCTGAGGCGTTCACGGCGACCCGCGCCGGGGGATGCAAGTATGCCCTGCTCGCAATCCTCAGCAGCAGACGGGGGCGGATTCTACACAGCGCGACGAATTGCTGCACCGGCACTTCCAGCGCCGGGGGGCACGCAGAACGCCAGGTGCTGGACGGCTACCTGGAGTCTGACCGCAGACTACCACGCGCGTGCGTTCGCAATCTCACGCTCACGGTGCTGAGATTCGATGCAAAGGGATCGCTTGCAATGGCTCGGCCGTGCGCCGAGTGCTGCAAGCGCATCCGCCGTGCTGCGGCGCACGTAAAGCGCGTGCGCTGGTCGACTGGGTGTGGAGAGGACGTCGAGTGTTGCAACAGCAAGTGTATCGAGGGAACCCCGACCCGATGGATGCAGCAGCAGATGTCGGGGCACACGCCGAATGGACCCTCGGTGAAGTGATATCTCCTCCGTGCCGTGTGTGCCCCACACAATTCTGATATCGAACGGCATGTGAAAAGTGTAGCTCTGGGGGGGGGCGCGGGCGGCGTGCAACCGGAACCGCCCGGACATGTGCGTCCGAGATGGGTGCCGGATAGTGGATTGGGGGTCTGCGTCTGGGGGCGGTTGCCCCTCTGGAGACCGCGCAGGCATCGAAAAAAATGGGTGGGAAGGCGGTTTCACAAGCATTCTACAGCCAGGGCGGGGACCTGTTCCTTTTTACCCATCTCTCCTAGAGGTGTATTCTTGGCATAATCCCTTGTGGCGACGATTTTTTTCGCGGTATCCGCGGCGGGATATGGCGGGATATGGCGGGATACCGGGAGATACCGGGAGATACCAGGAGATACACGTGGATATGATGAGATACGGAGCCCCCACGATGTGTTTCACGACAACGTCCGTGAAGCTAATCGGACGCGACGGGCGAAACTTCGCGCTTCGACCGGCCGTGATCTGCCGTGCGGCTAAGCGCTCGATTCCCATGATTGGCGAGAGCTCGTCATCATCGATGAAGCACCGCAAGGACAGCCTTGATCGCCGACCAGGAGGATGGTCACCTGCAGCCGGCGGCCTCAGTCAGCCTCGGGGGGGAGCGGGGGGCCAGGCTGGGCCGCTCGCGGGCGCACAGGAATCCGGCGCTCGCGAGGGAGGCGCTCGATGCTCGCGCTCTGCGGCCGGAGCGCGGAGAGGCGGGCTGCTCGGCGTGAGGCGGGCAGGATATGGCAGGATATGGCAGGATTATGGCGGGATATGGCGGGATATGGCGGGATATGGTCAGATATATATGGTCAGATATGGTCAGATATGGAGAGATACATCAAGATACCGCAAAAACATCGTCCGCACTAGGGCTAAAAGACTTGGGTCGCGCTCTGAGCGTGCTGCCTGGCGGGGAAGAACCTACTTGGACAGGCGTTGATGCTCGTGCGGGAGCAGCTCCTCCGCGGAGCCCCATAGCAGGCTGTTTACAGGGTCAGGCACAGGGCCGCGGTCGCGGTCGCGGTTGCAAATGTGTGCAGCAGCGTGTTTTCGCGGGCATCGCCGGGGGGGCGCGGTCGGGCCGTCGGGGTCGCGCTGCCTCACGGTAGCAGCAGTGTTCGGCGAGTGCGTCTCGGGCCCCAGGAGTATAAAGCGCTGTGAAATCTTGACTCGGGGCGACATGTCCAATCATGTAAGCTAGTATATGTAAGTAACCGCAGCGAGACGGGAGCCACCGATCGAGGTTCGAGCTCTTTCGTAGTTTCGAGGTGCAACACCTTGGGGCGTTCGAATCCACAACATATCGCACAAATTCGCGCACATCAATCCATGTGCATCACACGCCCCGTCCCACGATGGATCCCAAATATACCACAGCGCGCGGGTCCGCCGACTCCGCTTGGTGCCAGCCCACGCACGGCTCTCGGCCGCCCTGCTCCCTCGGCCCCGCGCGGCAACCCTCCCGAATACCACGGCTGCCCCTCTCCCTCGCCCCGGCACTCAGAAGCCGCCCGCTGGCTGCGGCTGCGCAAAGGGCGCCCCGTTGGGCTGCTCGGGGAGCACGCCCGGGAAGAGCGACGTGAAGAAGGCCAGCAGCGTCCCTGACACGGCCGCCAGCGCGCCTCTTGGCTCCTCCTCCGCCCGCGCCGCAGCGGCGTCTCCGCCAGCCTCGGCCGGCCCGCCCGCCGCTTGCGGCGCGGCGGCAAAGTCTTCGCCGCCCTCTCCGCCCCCCTCTCCACCCGGCCCCTCCTCCACCCGCCCTCTTGGCGGCGGCGGCGCGGGCGGCGGCGGCGCGGGCGGCGGCGGCGCGAGCAGTCTCACCACGAAGTTGAGCCGGCCTGCGGCAGGGAGGAGGGAGGGTGGGGAGGGGGAGGGGTGGCGGTCGCGGCGCGGCGCGGAGCCGGGCGAGCCAGTTTGCGCGAGGAAGATGAGGAGCGCGCATCCGGACAGGGTTGCGATGCGGTGCGGTGCCCCGTCCTGCGAGAGGACGTACACAAAGAGGGCCTACGAGCAGGTTGCGAGAAGGGTCGTGCAAGGCTGCAAGGCAGCTCCTCCTCCTCGGCGGAAGGCGGAGAGGGCCAGCTTGAGCGCCAGCTTGAGAGAGTGCACCTCCTCCCCCTCGCCTCCCCCGCCCGGGTCAGCGCCCTCGCCCCCCGCGGCGGCGGCGGCGGCGGCGCCACCAGCGCCACCTGCACCGGCGGCGGCGGCGGCGGCGGCGGCGGTGTCCTCCGGCGGGCGTGCAGACGCGGCGGCGGGGTCGGTGGGCGCGACCACGCCGAGGCTGCTCCCGTGCGCGCCGTCTGCGAAGAGGCCGAAGGTGTGCGGGAGGAGGGGGAGCTGGAAGACATACGGCTGGCCGCCCCACTCGTACGGCACTATGCGGCACTGCAGCGGCATCGCCGGCATCAGCTCGCCGGGGAGGGGCACGGCGCCCGCGAATGCGGCGGAGGACGCCGCCGCCGCCGCCGCCGCCGCCGCCGCCGCCGCCGCCGCCGCTTCAGGCGCAGCTGCTGCGGGGGCGCGAGGAGCTTGCGCCGGAGGGGCCGCTGCAGAGGCGCGCGCGGCGGCAACCGCCGCGCTGCTCGGCATGCCTGCCGTCGGCGGCAGCCGCGGCGCCGCCGCCGCCTCGGGTGGCTTTTGCGACGGCTGCCGTCTGGGCGGGGTCATGAGGTGGAAGACCTGCGGCTCTTTGAGGTCTCTCTGCCGCAGGACGTCGACCGCTCGAGCGTCGTCGTGGAGGAGCTGGCCCGCAAAGATGAGCCGCTGCTCCTCCGGCGCCGGGTGCTCCGGGTGCTCCGCCGAGAGGCGCTGCTTGAGCTGCGCCACAGTGGCGCCTCGCAGCTGCATCCGCAGCGAGAAATCGACGTCGTCCGACGCGGAGGGGGAGCGAATGACGAGGGTGACGTCGTCCGCGAGGGCCACGTCGTCCGGCGAGGCGGGGACCGCGAGGGTGACATCGTCAGGAGACGTGGCGGACATGGAGGGTCGGTACGAAACACGCCACCGCCCGGCGTACGGCGACCTTGCGCGGCGGCCACTTTTGCGGAGCGCGCGCTCTCTTTTTTGAGTGGGGTCGCCCGTGGACGGCCCCCCTCCACCCTTCACGTACGCACCATTTAGTCCCACAATTGCTGATGTGGGATCGCTTTTTGTATTTCTCTTTTTAGCGGCGGCGGCCAGCTGTCCCGAGCCGGCCCGAGAGACGGCCATGACCGGCCCAGCGGGCGCGCTTTCTCTTTTCAAGTCTCTCGCGGCGTTCTGCGCCCGCGCGCGCCAGCTCCGGTGCTCGCAGCCTTTCCACTTCTCTCGTGTTTGTCGCGGGAGAGGAGGGGCGACTTTTAGTCCGCCTCGCAGCCCGCAACACAGACGGAGCAGCGCGCAGACAGGGGGGCTGTGGCGGAGGCGGGCCGAGCATCCGCATGTACTCTCCTGCGCTCGAGGCGGCCCTCCGAGATGTGGTGCCTTCAACCGACCCTCTCGACGCCCCCGACTTCAACCCGATTTCGCACATCAACAAGCTCTTCCCCAACGAGGAGTCGCTCGGTCGCGCGGACAGTTTCTCGGCCGAGCTGCAGGACCAGATGACTGTGCTCGACGAGGAGATCCTGCAGACGGTGCGGCAGCAGACGAGCGCCGGCTCGAGCGCGCGCAAGGACCTCGAGGGAGGCAAGGCGGCGATGCGCGAGCTGTTCGACAAGGTGCGAGACATCAAGGCCAAGGCGGAGCGGTCGCAGACGATGGTGCACGAGATCTGCCGCGACATCAAGTCGCTCGACTACGCCAAGCGGCACTTGACGCTCACGATCACCGCGCTCAAGCGGCTGCAGATGCTCGTGACTGCGACGGAGCAGCTGTCGGTGATGACGCGCGAGCGGATGTACGCTGAGGCGGCCAACCTCCTCCACGCCGTCACCCAGCTCCTCGCCCACTTCGAGGGGTACGCCGGCATCCGAAAGATCGACGAGCTGCGTGCGCAGGCGGGCCTCGCCCCCGCCGCGGCGACCGCCCTGGCGGAGGCGGCGACCGGCGGAGCACCCCCCCCCCCCCCCCCCCTCGCCCGTCGCAGGTGGGGGAGCTGAGCGACACCCTCCGCGCCCAAGTCTTCGACGACTTTAACCGCCTCTCAGCGCAGGAGAGAGCCTCGCCCCGCCCCTCGCCCCGCCCCTCGCTCCGCCCCTCGCCCCGCCCCTCGCCCCGCCCCTCGCCTCGCTCCTCGCCCCTCCCCTCGCCCCCCCTCCGCCCCTCGCCCCCCCTCCGCCCCTCCCCTCGACCACACTCCGCTGGGCGCACTCCCGCGTTGGACTGCTGAACAACGCGCCCTCACCCGCGCAGGAGGGGGCGCCGCAGCCGTCGCAGACCGAGACGCTCCTCGGCGCGTGCGCTGTCGTCGACGCCCTCGGCCCCGCAGCCCGGCGGGAGATGGTTGCGTGGTTCTCCAGCTGGCAGTTTGCGCCGTATAAGCGCGCCTTCCAGCGCCGCACTACACCTCCTCTTTACAGCTGCCTCTATTCACAGCTGCTCTGTCCACAGGCACGCCTTCCAGCCGTACGGGGACGCTGGCTCGCTCGACAAGACGGAGCTGCGGTGCGGCTGGCGGCTCGCCCGCCGGTCAGTGCTTGAAGAGTGCCGAGAGGTGTGTGCGCCTCTTAAAGGTACGGCTGGCACCGGCAGCTCCTCCGCCAGTTCGACGAGACCTTTGTGACGCTCTTCCCGCACGCATGGCGCGCACGCCTCGCCCACGCGCGCCTCCCCGGGGCAAGCGCGCGAGTGCTCAGCGGCTGGACTGGTCTCGCAGGCACGTCGGCCTGTCGCTCACGCTCGACTTTTGCTCGATCACGAACAAGCACCTCGAAGAGATCCTCGACCAGGCGAGTCTGAATTCGTGAATTAATCAAACACAAGATATATAAGAGATCCTCGACCAGGCGAGATATGGGGAGATGTGGGGAGATGTGGGGAGATTTGGAGGGAGATCCTCGACCAGGCGAGACGCAGCCGAGAGGGTGCAGAGACGATGCCGAGAGGGTGCTGCCGAGATGCAGCCGAGACGCAGCCGAGATGGAGGCGAAGGCGCTCGACCCGCCCCCCCCTCCTCCCCTGACCCCCTGACCCTCGCCCCGCTGGCCCTCGACCACTCCTCCCAATCGACCACTCCTCCCAATCGACCACTCCTCCCAAGGCGCGCGGCTCGCTCGACGTGGCGGTGCTGACGCACGCGCTGCAAAAGACGGTCGAGTTCGAAAAAGAGATGCACGCCCGCTTCAGCGCCGAGGCGCGCGACCGCGAGGGCGGCGAGGGCGGCGAGGGCGAGGGCGGCGGAGAGGGCGAGGGCGGCGGAGAGGGCGGCGGCGCCGCCGCGCGGGCGCAAGCGCCGGACCCAGCGGCGCTGCTCGGCTCGATCTCGTCGTGCTTCGACTCGTACATGTCCATCTACGTCTCGCTCGAGGACAAGCAGATCGGCGAGGCGCGCGCAGCCCGCCGCGGCCGCGCCGAGAGGGGGGGGGGGGGGGGCGTGCGGAGGGGGCTGGGGGGCCGAGTGCTGCTCCTCACGGCTCTGGCCGCCGACAGGCGCTCGCCAAGCTGCTCGAGGGCGAGACGTGGCAGGTCGCCGCGGCGGGCCGGCCCGACGGGCGAGTCTTCACCTCGTCCAAGGAGCTCTTCATCGCGCTCAAGCGCTCCTTCAAGCGAGGGACGGCGCTGCAGATGGACGCGGTCCTGTTCGAGCTGCAGCGCGTGTGGGGCAAGCACTTGCGCGCCTACGCGAAGCGGGTGCAGGAGAAGCTCGCCGCCGTCGGGCAGCCGGCGGAGATGACCATCGCGCCGAGCCTCAGCCTGGACGCGGCGCAGCAGCACTTTGTGTGCGCGGTCGTCAACACGTCCAAGTATTGCTCCGAGACGACGGGGCAGCTCGAGGAGTCCATCGTCAAGGCGATGGAGGGGGAGCACGGCGGCAAGGTCGACATGTCGCCCATCCAGGAGGAGTTCCAGGCCGTCGTCACGTCCGGCATGAAGGTGCTCGTCGCCGCGCTCGAGTCGCGCATCGCGCCGTCCCTCTCGGCGATGGCAAAGATCAAGCGCGCCCTCGCCGCGGGTCGAGGAGGAGGGGCGGGGCCCGCCTCCTCCAGCCTCTCGGGACGGCTGGCTGTGTAGGTGGGACGCGATGGAGGAGCTCGGCGAGGACACGTCGCCCTACATGCTCGAGGTCGCCGCCAAGGCGCGCGAGATGATGCCGCAGCTCGGCGAGGCGCTGCTGCCGCTCTACGTCAAGTTCTTCTGCGACAAGTTCGTCCAGTCCTTCGTGCCGCGCCTGATCGGCTCCATCTACCGCTGCAAGCGCATCGGCGAGGCTGCGCGCAGCGGATGCCGGTGCATCCGGCCCGAGAGGACCCGAGAGGAGCCGAGGTTAGGCGAGGTTGGCGCGCAGCAGATGCAGGCCGACGTCGGCACGCTCAAGGCGACGCTGCTCGAGCTTCCCACCCTCGGCCAGGCGAGCTGCCGGCTGCCGGCTGCCGGCTGGGAGGGGAGCAGTCGCCCCTATGAGAAGTTCCGTGCGCACCACGCTCGCACCACCCTCCGCTAGGCGAGCGCGACGGCCATGTACACCAAGCTGGTGACCAAGGAGGTTGCGGCGGCGGAGCAGGCGCTCGAGCGTGAGTCTCTCTTAGCGAGCAGTCGACTTCTAGCTGATCCGCCGCGGTTGCGGGGAGCAGGTGCTCAAGCTCGTGCAGACGCCCGAGGACATGCTCGAGGAGACGGTGCAGGAGATGGACCGCAACGGCATCTCGATCGACCTCCAGAAGATCCTCGAGCTCAAGGGGCTCAAGAAGGCGGACACGGAGCGGCTCATCGAGGCGTACAACCTCATGCAGTCCTCCGCCTCCGAGGGGGGCAAGAAGATCAAAAAGATGCTCAACCTCGCGGGCGGCCAGTCTCTGCTCAACTTCTGAGAGCACTAAACGGGAGAGCCGATGCATCCTCGGGAGGCGGCGTGTGACGCTGACGGTCCGGCAGTATGTTTCCCCCCGCTATCTGGCAACCCCATGCAGCTGTCGGCGCGCGGCGCTAGCTGTCGGCGCGCGGCGCTGTGCGTGGGGTCTCCCACGTCCCAGCCGCGCGATCGCGCGTTCGCGTTTTTTCGTACTGCGGTGAAAAAAAGTAGAGATAAACAGTTATATGCGCTGCGAGAGCGAGTTTCCCCCCCGCTCAGACAAAAGCTAACCGGCCGTCGTCCACATCGATAGTCAGCTGGCGCCGCCAGAAAAAGGCGAGCCCGACAAAGAGCACGTGCGGCCGCTCCCCTAAACCGTCCAGCCGCGAGAGTGGCTCGCCTGGCGCCGCGCCGCGCGTCGCCGCACGCTGCACGCGCGCCTGGCAGGCACGATACGGGTCGCCGAGGGCGTCGTCCCGCGCGGCTTCGGCCTGCACCCGCTGCTCGAGCGCGTCGCCCTGCCCAAAGTCCTGCTCGAACCACGGCACGTCCACCGGCGAGACGACGAGCGGGAAGGCGTCGCTCTCCGGCGCGCCGTCCGGCACGTCGACCAAAGGGACGTCGCCGAAGCGGGACGGCACCTGCCGCCGCCGCACAGAGGCCTCGAGCGCGCAGACCCTCCCCTGCTCGGTGACCAGCTCGACGCGGCAGTCGCGGATCGGGCCGAGCGGGCCGTCGGCGGCGCAAAAGAGGCTCTCGCTGACCGAAAGGCCGGTGGTGCCTGTGTCGATCACCGCGACGGCCGGCCGGTCGAGCTGCAGCAGCTCGCCATTCACGTAGAGCCTCCGGATGCGGCAGACCGCGGCCGAGATTGGAGCGCCGCGCGGCCGCAGGTCGAGCAGCCGGATCGCGTCGGTGCCGCGCGGGATGAGCGGCCGCGGGGAGAGGGTGAGCGATCCGCGCAAGAAGTCAAACTGTAGCGACGCGACCGAGGTCTGCTCGAGAAAGGTTGGCCGGATCCGGGGCAGCCGCCGCTTGGCCAGCCCGAGAAAGACGGCGCCGCTGCCGCCCTTGCCGGTGTACGTCCTCACGACGCCGAAGGTCGTCTCGGGCAGCACGAGAGCGGCATTCTCGCCGAGCAGTGACATGTAGCCGACCCGCCACTGCGTTCCCGTGATCTGGCCGCCGAACTCCTCCTCCGTGTCGTCGAGGCCGCTTGCGCGCCCCGCACCGCGATAGCAGCCCCACTCGGACGCCTCGGTGCAGGTCCCGTCGACAAGAAGGAAGGGCGAGCCGGTGTCAACGATGGCGCGGAATGGCTGCCCGTCGAGAGTATACCGCACGCAGTACGCGCCTCCGCAGAGCGTGAGCGGCACCACGACGGGACGGGCCGACGCCGCGACCGCAGCTGCTGCCGGTGGCGGCGGAGGAGCGAGCGGCGAGAGCGAGAGGAGGGCGACCGCTGCGCCGCGGAGCAGCGGGAGGCGCGTGAGGCGCATCCGGCAGTCGGAGCGAGAGATTGCGTGCCGAGCGACTACAAGTCGTCCAGGGTATTCGAGAGTATCGACAAGTTAGGGCGCGGCCGCGCGCGCAGGTGTGTGTTATTCTTGCTTGGGCGGGCCTCATAATTCTGCAAAAACCTGGCCGGCCCCTGCTTTGCCCCTACCTACCTACCTACCTACCTACCCTACTTATGGGAAACTAAAAAGAAATCACCGGATGGGTGAAGGTGGGGACTATACCAACTAGAGTGATGGTTGGTGGTTGGTACTCTCCTGCAACCACAGTCCTTCTTGTGACATGGCAGGCCACTCTCAAGCCCTACAAGCATCAGATCACCCACTTGGGGAGGGTTGACATCGTGATTTCCGCGGAAAATTTCTTCTGCTGTGAAATTTCCAGCTTGAAGAGAGGGGGAAACCCGCCCGACGGGAGGGCCCAGACCTACCCTACCTACCCCGGCATGAGGCCCGCCCAAGCAAGAATAACACACACCTGGCGCCCGGCTTCTTTTTGTTTTTTCGGAAAAAGAAAAAGCCGCCAAAATTTCCTCACCACTAGCTTGCACCGGCTCGCATATCATGGCCCTGCTTCTGCTCGTCTACGGCCGCCCGTCCCACGCCGTGCTTCGAGTAGCGGCGCCTGGCATGAGAGAGCGGACCAGCGAGAGGGCCGCCAAGATGGAGCCGTCGAGGTTGGACGAGTGGATGAGGCCCTGCGGAGAGACGTCCCGGGGCGGCGCCTCGCCGGCGGGCCTTCTGCCGCACGATCGCCGTGCACTTGGGTGCTGCCTCCTCTGACTCCGAGAGAGAGAGATTTTTATTAACCAACAAGAAATTTCTTCTGACTCCGCGCGGGCCTTGACCGCGGAAGCCTCAGACCTCTTCCGCTTCGCCGGCATATAAATAAATAAATAAATAAAACGGGCACGCCAAACGAGGGGTGGGAGAAGGACAGGGTCCCCACCTGCACGAGAAGGATCTTGTAAGGACGATCAGGGACACAGGGGAACGGGAGCGGGGAGCGCATCGCGACACGGAGGGGGGCTGGGCAGGGTTCACCCACACGACAGGCCCGAGGGGATTCCTCTCTCGTATACCTCGTGCAAGCTACCAGAGAATTCTCGGAAAGTTCGCGCTGCTCGCGGATCGCGGATCGCCTGCCGGTTGCTGCGCTTGCGGGCGGGCGCCATACGCGCTCACTTGCTCTCAAGGCTGCCACGCGGCGCACGCGCCCGGCCGCGGCGGTGGAGAGCAAGCCTCGTCAGCCGCGATGCTGTGCTTCGCGGCGGGTCTGTGCGTCGTCGCCGGGCTCGTGCAGCACCTGGCGCGCTCGTCTGTATGCGCGTCGCTGTCGGGCGCGGAGACGGTCCCGTCCATGACGGGCATGCTGGCCGGCTGGGCGGGTGGCGATACCTTTCTCTCGCCTCTGGCCTGCGCGTCGGCGCCGCCGCCGCTCGCAGAGAAGCAATGCTGGCGTCCGACTATCGACGATGTTGACCGCATATCGTGGGGCCGGCCGGCAAAGAGAAAGGGCACTGGCTCACGCGGCCAGCCGCACCGACTCAACGACGCGGAGCGCACGCTCTACGACCTCGCACGATCAAAGGGCTTTGTGGAAGTCGCCGGCTCGGGCTGGCGTTCGCAGCGCGCCGATGCGCCCCTCGTCAACACGTTTCGCTCGTGGTGCGACGCTCGCGGCGTGGCCGCCATCTTCCTGCACAAGGGCAGCGACGTCGACCAGGTTGTCCTCGACCTGTCGCCGCTGCGGCGGCCAGCCGAGTTTGCGAACGCGGCGGCGTGGGCGCTCGGGCAGGAGGGCACGGAGGGCGGGCAGGTGGAGGCGAGTGAGAGCGGCGACGGCGGCGAGGAGGGCGGCGGCGAGGCGCTCGAGTTCCTCTCCCAGCGGGTAGACGACTTTCTCAAAGAGCCGATCCACCGATTACCAATGTACACGGTGACCTGGCTGCGGCCGAGGCCCGAGGCCAAGGCACTCGCCAAGCAGCTCGCCGCGCTCCTCGCCACGGGACAGAGCGGCTCGACCGCCAAAAAGGGGCGCGTCAAGTCCCTGGGCGGCCCAAACATCAAGCCAGGCAAATCTCGTCGGCATGGCGGGTACGGCATTGGGTGAGTCGTGTGCGCTGGCGGCTGGGCGAGTCGCAACTCACAACGCAAGTCATCACGCTCTTCTTCGCGTCTGCTCTCTTCTTGCTAATTATACGAAGACAGATGTTTTGTTTGTCTGATGATCGGACATTTTACTGTGATTCCTGATCGCCGTGAAAACTGCGCTGTAACGTGTAACCGTCGCCATCGCCTGACGCCAACGCGGCGGCGTGCCGGCTGGCCGCTGCGAACGCGAACGTGCGATGGCGGCGCCGGCCGCGTCGTGCTCGGCGAGCAGCTACGCCGAGTCCGCACGTCGCGTGTTTGACTGCTTTGCCGAATCTCGGCAGCGGCTCACACCGTCGGGCTGGCTCGCGCTGTGCGACGCCACAGGCCTCGCAGGCTATCTCCCCGAGACACGGCTGCGGGAGATCTTTGACACGGCAATCAAAGGCTGTGGTCCCGGGTCGAATGCGGCGCAGCGCAGTCGTGCTGGGCTGTCGCGTGCAGGATTTGGCCAGGCGCTCGCCCTCAGCTCCATCGCCGTGTGCGACAAGCAGTGGGAGGTGGAGTATGCGAGCGAGAAGCGCGCGAGGTTCCACTACCGCCGCAAGGACGCCGAAAAGTCCCGCATTGAGGAGCCGCCGGAGGAGTCGCTGCGCCAGATGCTCGATGCAATGGGATTTGCTGACTCTGCCGTCCTCTGCGAGCGGCTGGCCGCTGCGTCCTCGACCGCTGCGGCACCGGCGGTGGGAGACGCATCGGCCAGTCTGCACTCGACGGGGGCAACTCCAGCGCGCGATGGTCCAGCTAGGGCGTCTCCGTACCTCGCCGCTCCACAGCCTCCCTCGCACCCACAGCCAGCAGCGGCGCGGCCAGTGTCGCCGCGGCAGCTGCGAGTGCGTGAGCTTATGACGGGCGGGCCACGACCGGAGCCGCCGCGCCAGCCGCGGATCGGTGCCGGCGCCTGTGCTGGTCCGAGTGCTTCGCCGTCGAACTCACCACGGCGACGGCGTTTCATCCACGATGCTGACACCAAGCAGCTGGCCGCTCCGACCACACCCCGCCCGTCCTCGCACCCACCGGGCAAGCCAGGGTCCAGACCGCGCGTTCGTTCGGCCACGCCAGTTCGCAGTGGCCGGCGATTCGGGGAGCTGACCAACACAACCTCAAGCTCGCCGCGGTACGCCACTGTCACCCAGCTATACCCGCTGCACGCCAAGGACGAGCAGCTGCGGGTGCTGAGCGGGAGGGAGGCCGGCAGGAGAGGTGGAGGGCGGGCCATCCGGAGCGCGCCCCCTAATCCTGCAAGGACACAACGTCAGCTCATGGTGAATCGGTGGCAGTGACACACGATAGCAATGCTTTTGATTCGTGCTCAAATTAGCGCATGTGTACGGCACCCGCCTCCCCCCCCTCCCCCGGATGAGCCGAGGGATGGGACGTACTCGAGGATTTCTATACGTGTGTGACCCCGACCGTCGGTGTCGCGTTCATGGAATCCGCGTGCATGAAATCAGGGAAAAAGCGCCGAATGGCGAGTGGTTGCCTCTCGACGTCGAGGGTTTCGCCTTGGCCGTCCCGTGTTGAGATCTCTCGGTCTGTGGGGGGCCGAGCCGCCTCGGGGTGGCGGGCGGCGCGGGCGTTTTGCGGAAAAACAGAAGACAGAAAACAAGAGGGGGCCCGGGGGGCCGCCCCCCCCACTGGGAGTAGAAAATACGTGCAAGGGGGCCAAGGAAGGAGGCCTGGACGCTGGAGGCGGCGCGGGGGAAGCAGCATCAAGTGAAGAGCAGGAAGGATGGCGCTTAGGGTCGGCTTTGAACAAGGGTTTCCAGGTTTTAGATTTTAGATCAGTATTGGTGTCGGCACACATCCCCACATGAGGTCAGCGGCGCGCAGTGCCTCTCTCGCAGGCTGGTTTTGGCTGTTTTCGAGCTTGTTTTTGTTTTCAGACTGGGCTCTGGGGGGCTGACCCCCTCAGAGGCGGCGGGCGGGCGCCCACAGACGGAGAGATCAAAACGGGACGGCCTTTCGTTTGGCCCGAGTTGGGCTTTTTGGCCCTTGCTCGTCTCGAGAGGGGGCCCACTTGCCGCTTTCAGAGGCGGGCTCAAACTGGCTCAAGCCTCAAGGGGAATGTGTTCCGGCTCGCCACCGTCCCTGTTCTCTAGCTCTGAATGGGAGCCCTCTCTCGTTCGCTACCAGAGGCCGCTCGTCTTTCTTTTTTGAAACATGTAATTCTTTTTTTGACTAGTGCAGAGCGCACCAGTCCTGTGCGCCGTGCCCAGTTGGAGAGAGAGAGAGAGAGAGAGAGAGAGACTCTCTTCTTCCCAGTTGTGCGAGGGAGTGGGTTGGGCTGCGCTGAGGTTTTCCGGCAAACAAAAAGGAAAAGGCCCCAGCACTTTGCGTTTCCGGAAATTTCCAGGGAAAACAGAGGGTGTTTGGTGCTCCATTCTGGAAACTCGCGAGTTTCCCTGAGTCTGAGAGCTGGTCTGGGGCAAAATCTGAAGCAAAATTGAGGAAATCGACAAAATACCCAGGCGGTCGCAGGGTGATTTCCAGGTATACACGGGTTCTCCGCAAAATTCCCGGCATTTTGCCGATTTTTGGCCCAAACCAGCCTCAGACTCGGCTCAGAGCCCCAAAATTTGACGATTTCCAGGAGTTTTCCCGGGAAAATAGAAAAAAGTTTGAAAAAGGGAAAGGAAAACAGACGGGGTGATCTGTGATCTGTAAGGGTCCGCCCGCGGGCGCATTTTGTATACCGAGGCGGTGCCCGGTGGCGGTGCCGAGCGCAGGCAGAGCCCACAGGTCGGACCTTAAGACAGCGTTGTAGATCCCTGGGTGAGGGTGGTGGCGTCCCCGTCGGGAGGGGCTGTCTGGGGGGCGCCCTCCCACCGTCACCTCACCAGCGTCCCGGTGAGTACGGCGATCAGAGCTCCCCCGCTCGTCAGACTTCCCCGTTGGAGGTAGGCCGCTCGTCTAGCCAATCAGCCTTAAGCGAGCGACCTGGCCGTTGGAATGGCCGAGTTTGGTGGACTTGCGTCCTCAGACGGGGTGCGAGAGGCAAACCTCAGACAGCCCAAGGAGTGTGAGTACGTTTGTGAATTCTTTTTGGTGTACCTAAATTAGTGCCAGTGCGCGCAAATCCCGTGCGATGGAGTTTTGTTGTAAACAGGTAGGTGGAAGGTGTTGAACGTCGGCTCTAGCAGTCAGGAAAAAAACTCTCTGGGGCAGTCCACACCCCGACGAGGCGGGCGGCACTACGGGGCGGCACCACGGCATGCCTCCCAGATCCCGCAGGCGTGTGGCCTGGCTCGTGGTCGCGGCATCCTCCGTTGGCGCCAGTGACGATGGCGCAAAGGGCCGCGCGCTCAACCTGCTCGCGGGCGACAAGACGCCCGCCGCCAGCGAGGAGCCGCAGCAGCTGCTGCTAACCCGCCGCGTGCGCGAGCGGATGCTGAGGCGAGCCGAGAAGTCACTGCGGGGCGAGGTGTCGACGGCGGCCGCCGGATGGCACTCGCTCGAGGCGGAGCGGCTCCTCGAGAAGCTGCTGCACTATGCAAGCTCCGTGATCGCAAAAGAGCAAAAGACGCGCGGCAGCCGAGTCGCCTCGGAAGCGTCGTGGGGCGAGGCGGAGACCGAGGCGCTGTGGCTGCTGTGCCGGACGCAGCTCGGTGGCATCGAGGCCTCGCTGCACGCGCTGGACGCCGCCGCGAAGCGCGTCAGCGCCATCAGCACTCGCTGGCACACGTCCGCCATCTCTCTCTGGATGCCACCCTTCCTCGGGCGCGGCTCCTACTCGTCGGTGAGCGCCGCGCCGCTGCTCGGCTCGGCGCGCTCGCGCTTCGGCGTCGGCGCGCGCCACCGCGCGCTCCTTCGCTCCGAGCGGCTGCTGATGGTGCAGGTGCCGCCGCCACCGCCGCCACGGCTGCTGGAGACGGGAGGAGAGTGAGAGAGCGGAGGGAGAGAGCGCGCGGACGGCGCGGCATCGGACCTCTCGCCCTCTCCCCTGCCCACTGCCAGGCGGGCATGCTGCACGACCTCCGCGTCGCCATCACACGCGCCGGAGGGGAGTGGCTCGAGTGCGAGAATAGCCGAGATGCAGCCGAGATGTAGCCGAGATGCAGCCGAGATGCAGCCGAGATGCAGCCGGAGGGGAGTGGCTCTGGCGCGGCTCTGCGGCTCAAGACGGCCGCCCCCTCCTGCACGGCGCCTCTTCACAGCGGGCGGGTGCGAGCCAGGTACGGCTCGTGGCTCGGAGGGCCGCCCGTGCGCGGCATGGAGTGGGACGTCCAGATCTCGGCCGAGCGGCGCCGCGAGCTGCTCTCGCTCTGCGCCTCCGCCAACGAGGCCCTCTCGTCTGCCGCGCACCGCCTCACGACCTACGGCCCGTACGCGCTCTACCGGTCGCAGCCGTGGGCGGCGGCCGGCGGGTGCGTCTCGCAACCCTGTGCTCCCCGCACCGCGCACAGCGCCTGCCCCACGGGCCTAGCTCGCACGGGCGCAGGTACGGCGGCGTCTCGATCCCGCCCTCGCGGCTGGCGATGATCGAGGCCACCCAGGCGATATATACACACCTCACCGCCCTCCTCCCGCCCGCGAGTCGCGTGGGCCAGCCCTGAGGACCCGCCAACCCCCAGGCGCACCTCACCGCCCTCCGCACCGTCCGGCGCGCCCTCGACGCGGGCCGGGTGCCGCGCGAGCTGCAGCCGCCCCTCGCGATCGCAAACGGGCAGCTGCTGCCCGCTGCCCTGCTCGTCGCCGCGTGCTGGCGCGCCGCCGGAGGCACACAACCGTCAACGGCACAACTCACCGTCACCACCGCCACTGTTGCTCTCACCATAGGTACGCCGCCGGAGTCCTCACCTCAAACGAGCTTAATTAATTGTTAATTAATTAATTACTTAGGTACGCCGCCGGAGTCCTCACCTCGAACGAGCGGACACGCGCCGCGCTCGACCTGCTCACCAAGCTCGGGGCCGACACGCAGCCCCCGCTCTCGACCTTGGTGGCATGCCCGCGCCTCAAGAGGGCTGAGGGGCGGGGGGGGTGTTTGACGCCGTAGGCAGCGGTTCTGGACTACGCACTTTGTGGACCCGGCGAGAGACCACAGTTGGCCGAGCGGAGAGAGGAGCGAGCAACGGCTCACCGCGAGTCATGGCGTCACCAGGTGAGAGACATCCTCGCCGAGCTGTACGGCGCGCCGCGGCCGAGCATCGACACGGCGACGGCCGCGGCGTCGCGCAAGTCGCTGCACCGCGCGCTGGAGGAGTTTGTGCGCGAGGTCTTCTCGGGGAGCGAGGACGAGACGGAGGCGGCGGCGGTGCAGGCGGCGGCGGGCTCGATGGAGGTGATCAACACGGTCTTCGAGGCGGAGGCGCGCCGGCCGCTCAACGGGCTGCTGCGCGGCCAGCTGCCGCGCGCGATGCTGCTGCAGATCCAGCATCTCAAGGCGAGGGGGCGGGGGGCGGGGGCGGGCCAGGGCGAGGGCGCGTGGCGGTGAGGGGGGTGGGGCGGGCAGGGGCGGGCAGGGGCGGGGGAGTGTGCGAGAGGTCAGCCACGCCGCCGCGCCCCTCCGTCAGGTCCTGCTCGAGGAGCAGGTCGAGTACGCGGACCAGATGCTCAAGCGAAACGACTTTTCGCTCCAGCTGATGGCGGTGGTGCCCGCCCTCCTTCTCGGCTCCGGCCTCCTCTACTTGCTGCGCGCCGCCTACCAGCGCCTTCGCACCTCCTCGCCGCGCGGGCCGATCGAGGTACGATCTTCCCACATCTCCCCATATCTCCCCCATATCTCCTCGTCGCCGCGCGGGCCGATCGAGGCACTCTCCCGCCCCAGGCCCCTCCCCTCTCCCCGTGCACCCTCTCCCGGTGCCGTCCCTCTCCCTGCGCGACGCCTCCGACGCCGCCTCTCTCCCCCGGCGCCGATGCGTCCTTGCGCGGCAGGACATCCGGCGAGAGCTGGTCACCATCCAGCGCATGCTCAACCGGGCCGCAGGCACGCCGTCGGCGGGCGCCGCCGCGCTCACCAAGCACGAGGCTTCCCCGATGGACGTCGCCACCGCCGGGGAGCTCGTCTTTCGCGTGCAGCGGCTGCGCGTCGCCGGGGCGCGCTGGCTGCGCGGCTGGCTCAAGACGGACATCCTCACCGACGCGAACGAGCTGCTCGACTCTGGCCGCCTCTCGGTGCTGCAGCGGGCGCAGCTCGCTAACTCGCTCCTGCGCCGCCTCGACAACTCAAAGGCGCTGATCCACCACTGGTGACCGCACAGTGCCCCCCCCCCCCCCCCCCGCCTCGCGACTCGCGCATGCCCGACCTCTTCGCGCCTCAGCCCTCGCCCGAATCGTGCTCATCTTGAAGAGATGCTCTTCGTCCCTCACAAAACATCCCTCTTGCTTTGCGTGCGGCACTGTCGTGTGCTCGTGTCTGTGAGCGAACACCGTGGCTGAGTGTGCGTGTGCCTCTGTGAGCGTCGACGTTGTCTCTTGAGTCTTGTGCCCAAGTGCCATGCTTGTGCGCGCGCCCCCACCCCATATTTCAGAGATACAGAAGTCCCACCCGCGACCGCGACTGCGACTTTGAGCGTGCGCCGGTGTGAGCGAAAAGCTGAAGCCTGTGAGCCCCGCAGCCCCCGCGCGGCGCCCCGCCCGCGCCCCGACCTCTGCTGTTACACACGCAATACACCGTCTGGTTTTAACAGGCATGGTACTGATAGTAAACGGTTCAGAACCGGCCAAACCGACAGGCTACAGCCCCACACACGCGCCCGCCATAGCTCCTGGAGAGCATGCGCGAGTGACGCGCTACAAGCCGCGAGAGTGGCATCAGAGGCAGGAACGACGTGCTCTTGCTGCACCTCGCAGCTGCACCGAGTGTGCTCGCAGTGTATGCCACGGCCGCCGCCTGCGGCATTGCTCTCGTGCAGCTAGGCGACGCAGGTCCATCAGCAGGGCTCATCCAATGCGAGCGCACATTGTGCGTAGCCGCGGGCAGGTGGCAGTGCACAGCCGCACACCGGCTGTGGCGGCTCGAATGCCCCCGGCAGCAATGCTGGTCATTAACTTGCGTATTGGGGCCGCAGCAGACTGCTGCTGTGGCAGCAGCAGCAGCCTGCTGCTGCCTGATTCAGTCAAGCCAGCGGTGCAGCGAGGCGTGCAGAATTCGCGCGGTTTGGTACCTCCTGAGGCTGAGCGCGTTCAGACCCGGTGACCGGAGTTGGATGCTTCGATGGAGCTCGCCGCGCTCCATCGAACCATCCATGGCCGGACGGCGGAGCGTGAGGTGGCGAGCGGAGAGATGTACCGCAAGACAAGAAAAACACGGACCTGACGGATGTCAGCATCATCGTCTCGTCATCGTCAGTGGCTGGGTCTTCTGGCTCCGACCGGACGGCTCCACCGCCCAGCATCTGAGACATGAACGCGAGGTCAAATTCTGGCACGTACGGCGGCAGCTCGGGCATCTGCCTCTGCCCCCTCGCCGCATCGACGAGCGCGCTCGTGTCAGCTCGCCGCTGCTCCTGGTGCCGCTGCTTGGCCGCCGCGCTCGCACTCGCTCCGCTCAATGACATCGTGAGGCTGCAACGGTCTGCGAGCTCCTCTCGCCCAGCGGGTCCACCACAGAGTTCTCCCTGTCATGTGCCCAAATGCGCCCGCCGTTTTTCGTCATACCCCCCCTCCGAAACCCGCCGACTTTGATTGGGTCCGGTTCAACCTCACTCTCATCTTTATACTTACAGACAATCTTATATTTCAGACAAACGTCAGATCTGTGCCACCCTGGGCTGGACCTAGTCGGGCCGACGATGTGGAGGCTGGAGGTGCGCTCTCGCGGCGCGCCGGGAAGTCGTCCCCCTTCACTCGCAGTGAGTGCCAAAGTGGCCAGTGCAGTCCCTCATCTCTTCCGTCAGCTACTCTCGGCTCTCGGTCTCGAGGACTCGCTCTTCACCGCGCTCACTCAAATAATCCAGAATACAGTAAAACATCGATACATCGTGTATATATACAGAGCTCCGCCGGGGCGCGGGGGCGAATCAGTCAGCACACAAAATACATATAGAGCCGTACAGATACACCGGTGGAGATACTCTACGAGTGCACGAGCGGAGCGCCGCCTGGGTCGCCGCGTCGCCGGTGGGCCCTGCGGCCCTCACTGCTGGTAGCTGCTACATCTACATGCACACATGAAGTGTAGCTAATACACAGGTATAGCCTATGAGGCTCGCAGTGCCTGCGATCCCTCCCCATTCCGCATCCACGCCTCCCACTCGGCGCGTGCCGCGACGTACTTTGCATACTGCTCGTCCACGTACGCCGCCGCCGCCTCGTCGCTCAGCGCCGACGCCCGGCTCACCTCCGCCACGACGCCCCAAAAGGTCTCCCTCAGGCAGGCGAGCATCTTCAGCGCTCCGAAGCGGGCCGCCTCGTGGTCGTCGATGCGCGGCCTCTGCAGGTAGCTGGCGACGAGGCGCCGCTCCTCGCCGGCCGACAGCGCGCAACCCATCGACAAGACGGCGAGGTCCATCAGCGGCTGACCCGCGTTGGCGTACTCGAAGTCGACGACGAACACCCGCCAGCCGCCGCCTCCTGGCACGTCCCGCACGACGAAGTTGTCGCAGAGCAGGTCAAAGTGGCAAAAGACGGGGGGCTCTGCCGGCCAGCCAGCCTCGACAAAAGCCTCGGCGCGAGCGATGACCGAGTCGCACTCCTCCAGCAGCGGCACCCGCGAGAAGCCGCCCTCGCGAGCATAGCTGATCCAGCGAGCCAGGTCGGGCGGCGCCCAGCGCGGCGGACCTGGCGGCGCAACCTGGAGGAGCTCGGCTGGCAGCGGCGTGGCGTGCAGCGTGCGGACGGCCGCGGCGAGCGCGTGCAGCAGCTGCTCGTCAGCGCCGCTCGCGGCCGCATGCACCTGCTGCTCGGTGAGCGCGCGCCCGTCCACGAAGGCGCACACGAGAGCGTCTGGCAGCTCCGCGTGGTGGACAGCTGCGCCGATGCCGGACGCCGCAGCCGCGATCGCAGCAGCCTGCTCTTTCCGCCGCGTCACGCCCCACGGTGGCAGGTCGACCCCGATCCGCACAAAGAAGCGCTCCCCGTCTGCTGCAGTGGCGACAAAGTTGCGGTTGGTGCGGCCCGTGCCGAGGCCAAGCTCGGCCTCCACCTCGGTCGTCGGGACGATACGAACGCCGGCCGCCCAGCAACTCAGCGAGCGCGCTCGTTCGAGCGCGGCGTCGACCATGCAACGCACAAAACCTTGCGCCGTCCGCCGCGCGTGGGTGCCTGCGACAGACACCGAATCCCCTCATCGGCGTTCTTGCGGAAGGAGGTGCGAAGCGGGGCTCTTGCCATCCCAGTGGCCTCGATAGGTGTTGTGTGTGCTGCAGCTGGGGCTGGCCGCGAAATATCCCACTAGATCCCACCATGAGGGGGGTTGGCGCCTTTGAGCTCTCCTAACCTCTTGCTGCCCAGGTTCCGACCCTCTGCGTGGCCGACTCACACAGCGAGCCTTCCTGTCTCCCTGCTGCTGATTCATCGGTCGTGCTCAGTCAAGATATTGTAGAGACCGACCATATGCACAATATCTTGACTGAGAGCTAAGCCCAGTTCGACGATCGGCAGCCTCACCGCGGGTCGCGCCGCTGTGCAGCGAGAGCCAGGCTCGCCCGGCGAAGGTGACCAGAGAGTGCTCAACAAATACCAGAAAAAATCAGGGAGCCTCAGAGAGTGCCACTGCCATCACCCAGGCCGCGGGAGCCGATCGGCTGCGCCGAGGACAGCTCCCTCAGTGTGCTCCGCGGCTCACCAGTGTGCGCCGCGGCGCCGTCCAGCCACTTTGGCGGCCAGCCACCGGTCGAGTTCTTCGACTCTGGAGGACAGAAAGGTACCGTCTGAAAGGTATTTTCATGCTCTATTGACTGGCGAAAAAATCCCCCGCCAACTGTTTTCACAGCGGGCGTCATTCACACCGAAGCATGAGCAAAGCATCGGGCAGCAAGAGGCTAAGGACGGGAAAAGCGTGAAAGACGATCCACGCCGCTCTCGCGCCACGCCACCCGACGTGTTCAGCGACACTGGCGAAGGTCTGTAGACCCAGCTCGTGAGACGCGTGCTGGGCAACACCAATGTACGCTCGAGACAATACGACGCACAAAGACGGATCCGAAGAGAGCGCACGCTCGGAGCACCATCCGCGCGTGGCGCACGGCGCCGCCTCGCCGCGCGCGGCCGGCCGGGCGGCGGCGTGCGGAGGAGAGGAGAGAGACTGACGACCCGCCGACGGAGCGGTGAGGGCGTCCGCTGGGCTCGCTCGGCGCCGCGCGGCTCGACGGGCGGCCCGTCCGCCGTGCGGCGGCCGGAAGGCGCGCCGACACGCTCGCCGTCTCGCCGCACGCGCCGGCGAGGGGCGCCTCGGCCGCGCGGGTGCGCTGTCGGTGGCAGCGCGGTGCTCGGCGGCGGTGCCAGCCTCGAGAAAGGAGCGGCGAGCCGCGCCTGCGCGCGTGCGGCGGGCCGTGGGGGTCGGTGCGGCTGCGCCGGGCTCTCGTGGGTGTCTGGGAAGCGCAGCAGGCGTGTGTATTTGGTCCCGCTCTCGGGGCGGCTGGCGGGCGACTTTGAGCGAGCCGATGCTCCGCGACGCGGTTTCGCGACGCGATGCGCTCAGAGCATATGCTGCGGGACCTCTGTGGCTGGACGCGTACCGGAGGGGCGAAGGCCAGCGACGCGGGGCGGCGAAATGGGGGCGTACCCCCCATCTGCCACGGCGGGCCGGGGGTATGCAGTTTCGCTCGCCCCCCGAGGTCTCTTGGGTCGCGCTGTGAATCAGAAAGAACTTTTTTTTCTTTCAGGGCAAGCCGACTCAGGGTGTGTGGCAGCCCGCTGGCTGTGTGTCTTGTGAGCTTGTTTGTGTCTGTGTGTCGCTCGTGCGTGTCGTCATCATCTGTCCCGCGTCCACCCATACCGCGCTGGTGTCCAGTCCGAGCCTGGCTGTTCTTCACCTTTCTACCTACCTACCTGCAAGTGAGTGTGTGTGTGTGGTGTGGGCGCGAGAATAGCTCCGCCGTTCATGGAGGCAACCGATGCGAGTCGACTGGTGTGTGTCGTCGTGGTTTCGTATAAGAATACTCACTCACTCAAGGGGTTCTTCGGGGACACACCTCACACGATTCCAGAAATGGTTGTGTCCCCGCTCCTCGCTCGCCCGGGCGGAGGGCATGGCCGCGGAGGAGGCGAGTACGCGCTGCCAGGCCTTCCGCAGACAGCCTCTTGGCCAGACTGAGGGTCGGCTTTGTGTGGCGTGGCCCGTGCGCTGCGCTGCACAAAGCTGCGTAAACTGCGGGAGCGTCCTGTGCTTCCTTTGGGAAGTGCGCACCTCCTTCAGCTGGTGGAAGGCCGTGCCGCCGCTCGTCTGCTCCGTGGACAGGGCGGGGAGACGGCGCCGCAGCGCCGCAGCGTCCGCTGCACGCCGGTGCAGCACTCTGCTGCCTGGTGGGCAGCATGCTGGTGCTGTGCGCGGTGTTTGCGAGGCGGCTTTGGCGCTGTGCTGCCAGCCGAGGCGAGTGGCGCGAGGCACGCGCGGCGCCGCGCGTGGCCCGGATGGCGCCAGAGAGCGCTCTCGATGAGCCAGCCGGCGCGGCGCGAGCGCCGTGCAAGCTGGCACATCGTCTGCATGCTGCCGTCGATTCTCTGGTCGACGGCGGTCAATCTCACGATTGTCGATCAAAACCGGCGGGCTTTGTGACGCCGTTTACGCAATCGTTTTTTGGCCTCGCTTTCTCTTTTGCTTGGTTTTATTTTGTTTTTTCGTTTGCGAAGCGACAGAGGGGGGGGCGGGCGGGCGCTAACTATGGGCAACTACATGTCGAAGGTTCGAGGACGACTACTCGCCGCCTGGGTCGTTTGGGGCGCGCGGCTCCGTCGAGGACCGGGCGCGCCCCTTACCCGGCGCGGCGTAGGTCCCACTCTGACGTATAGAGGGGAGGCACGGACAACGGCCCAATTCATCAATTCCACTCATCTTTCGCCGTTACTCCAACTTTGCTTTGCCGATCAAAAGCGCCCGTCCTTTGCTTTTTAGCCGCCGAAATTTAGCTGGCTGTTTTTTCTTTATAGGCGTCTGCAACTTCCAAGCTGCGTATTCTTCTTGTATTATCGTCGAGTAGTGCGGTACTCCGTGGGGGCAGTATGTATTCTTGGAAGATGTGCGTATTCTCGTCTCACTGGCTCCGAGTAGAAAAAGAAAGAAAACATGTTAATACTGTTCATTATAGCTCCGAGTAGAGGGGGCGGTCTGCTGCTAAGGGAAACCCGGAGCGCGGAGCCAACCCTCGGAGACCCGTGTTTACTTTACGGCCCTTTCCTGCGAACGCGCACCCCCTGGGCTAGGGCTCTCTTGCCCGCAACCCGATGCCAATCATCCGGCCCGCTGGGTGCGCTTCTCAGCTCCCCGGCCCTGGGTGTGCGGTTGCCGACTGCACTCCAAGTGCTCCAAGTACTCACACTCACGGGGGCGTGTGAGTGAGTATTCTTGATACGAAACCACGACGACACACGCACCAGTCGACTCGCATCGGTTGCCTCCATGAACGGCGGAGCTATTCTCGCGCCCACACCACACCTGGCTCCAACGTGGACACGCCCATAGCTGGGGACACTACTAGGTCACGCATGGCATCACAGAAGTTTTGTCTCTGGGCCCCGAAAGGCATCTCTAGAAGTGTCGTTACACATGCCCCCTCCCCTCCTGGGCGCATGCGCCTCACGTCTCGCCAGAGCATAAGCCCTTGGCGTGTGGCGAGACGAGTTTTTCGCCATGCAGCGAGCAGCAAGCCGCCCGCCGCAAACAGCCGGAGGCACTCACACACACACACTCACGGGGGCAAGTGAATCCCGCTAGGGTGGGCGTGCTTTCACAGCCTCATACCTTTGAGCGGGTGCTTGAAAGATAATTTTACAAGCTTTTAAGTTCGCACCTGTCGCTGTCCCTTTTGTCAGTAGCTGGAGAACTAGGAGAGCGCAACCAGTAGGAGGCCCGCGCCTGCCCCCGTGCCGCCGGGTGCAACTTTGTCCTATACGAGAGGGGGATCCCTGGGTGGGACCCTGTCGTGTGGGTGAACGCTGCCCAGCCCCCCTCCGTGTCGCGATGCGCTCCCCGCTCCCGTTCCCATGTGTCCCTGATCGTCCTTACAAGATCCTGCTCGCGCAGGTGGGGACCCTGTCCTTCTCCCACCCCTTGTTTGGTGTGTCCGTTTTATTTATTTATTTATTACTCCCTCGCACAACACTGGGCACGGGACTGGCGCGCACTGGAAGAGAAAGCGTAAAAACAAGGGACACTCTGTCATGTCATGTCGGGGAGGACAAGAGAGATCCACCGAGCATGGGCAGCCTCAGAACCCGAACCCGAGCCGGCTCCCTTCCGCGACACGGGATGGCAGGCACGACTCGGCAACCGCGAGCCGCTCACTCCCCCAGTCCCATTCCAGCATCTTCCCCGCCTCCTCCACCGGGCGGATCCGCTCCCGGCTCCCGCGCCGCCTCTCGCACCACCTCGCGGTCGCGATCACTCATGCACGTTTCGAAGGAGCACACCGGGGCCACTCTCGGAGCGCAAAGTCCTCCTGGGGTCGGCGTCAGGTCCACCGCACCACCGCGCCACTCGCGCCGGCGGGCCCCTTCACCAACGGCCGGCGGGGGCGGGTCTCGAAAGAAGAAGTTGAAATAATGCCGTCCAACCTCCGTCTTTTTCTTTCTTCGATGACTGTGATCTGAAGGGGTCCGCCCGCAGGCGCATTTTCACGACTGGACATGCCGGCCCACGCGCCACCCGCCATCCCCCGACTGCCAGCCCCAGCCGCACGAGCTGCCTCACCGCTCGCTCACAGCCGACTGCGCCTCCCGAACGAGGCGAGCGGGCGCGGCCGCCTCGCCAGCCACTGCCGCATCATGTCGCGCGCCGTCGCCCCCCACCAAGCCGGCGCGAGCCACGCGCCGGGCGGCCGCGGCGCGGCCGGCGAGGCGGCGGCGAGGCGCTGCGCGAGCGCCGCCATGTCTGCGGCCCCGAGTCCGTCGCTCACGTACGCTCGGCCGAGCGCCTGGTACTGGAGCAGCACCTGCGGCGAGGTGTCGTCCATGCGGCCCTGCTTCGCCGTCGGCACGGGCGGGTTGAAGCGGTAGTAGTGCGTCGCGCCAGCCTCGCCGCCGCCCTCGCCAAACACGCCGCAGAGGAGGGAGTGCACCTCCTCGGTGCGGGTGGCGGCGCCCGCGAGCGTCGAGAGGGCGTGCGCGAACGAGGTCGGCTTGGCCACCGGCCGGGGCTCGAAGGCGCCGGTGCCGAACGAGGCGACGCACGCGATCTTTGCGCCCGGGTAGAGCGCCTTCGCCTCGGCGAGGGCGAGCGCCGCCGGGTTGTTTGCGAGCAGGCCGCCGTCCTGGTAGACTGCGGGCGCCCCTCCGCTCGGCGAGAGGAAGGAGGCGGGCGGGAAGAAGGAGGGCGCCGCAGAGGTGGCGCGACCCGCCTCGGCCTGCGAGAGGGAGGAGCTGCCCGGGATCGGCGGCGCAGCGCTGCGGGCTGCGGCGGCGGCGGCGGGCAGCTCGTAGTTGCGGAAGAGGAAGAGGGAGGGGGGCAGCTGGCTGACGGCGCACGCGACCACAAACACGTTCGGGGGCCGGGCCGGCGAGTCCGCCTCGCCCGCTCCGCACCGCGCCACCTGTATGCGCTCCGAGTAGCGCCGCTCCTGCTCGGCGCGTCGGTAGAGCATGCTCGCTCCTTCTGCGGGGCCGCGCTCGGGCCGTCTCCGGCTTCGAGCCTCACGAAACGCCGCCGCCGCCTTGCGCCACAAGAGGCGCGGCCGCTCGAGCCTCGCCGCGGCGGGGGTGTCGGGCGGAGAGGCTGCCCTGGCCGCCTCGGCTGCCTCGGCTGCCTCGGACCCGTCGTCGCTCGTAGGACACGCTGTCTCGGCCGCCTGCTCCTCCGCCTCTGGGGCCGCCTCGTGGAAGAGGTCGTGCAGGATCGCCTCGAGCGCGGCAGCCTTGTGGATCGCCCCAGTCATCAGCAGGTTCGAGGCCGCCACGTGTCGCGGCGTCTGCTTAAAGACCGACACGGAGAGCTGCCGGTACAGCTCCTCGATTCGCGCCAGCGGGAAGCCCTCCTGCAGCGCGAGCGCAATGATGCCGCCGGTCGACGTGCCTCCTATCACGTCAAAGAGCTCGTGCACCCGCCGGCCCGTGGTCTCCTCCAGCGCTTTGAGCATCTCGATCGTGATGAGCCCTCTCGTCCCGCCACCGTCGAGCGCGAGGACCCGGACCCCGTCGGTAGCCTGCCGAGGCTGCCAGCCATCCTGCAGCGCACGGTGGGTCTGCGCGAGCCCGTCGTCGCTGCTACTCCCGCCGAGATCCATGCAACGACCGCAGCCCCGCTGTCGCACTCCCGATGCGAGCGCAAACTCCAGGTGAGCTCTCGGCGGAGCCAAAAAGAATTTTACGCGTGACTCTGGGCACGTTCTCCCATCCCTCCGTGACAAGGGAGAGAACGACGAGGGTGGGACGACCGCGAGGTGGCATGAAGGTTGCAGCGAGAATAGGCGAGAGACTGCGAAGAGAGATAGGAAGAGGCAGACTCCCTAGGGTGGGCGACGGATAGCGCACCACACACCTCTCCTTAAAATCCCTGTGTGGTGGCGGCGTGCCGTCCTCCCATCCCTCCCTTGGGTTGTCTGTTTTCTTTCTTTCTTTCTTTCCCATCCCTCCCTTGGACTGTCTGTTTTCTTTCTTTCTTTTTCTGGGCACGGGACTGGCGCGCACTGGCACTAACACAGGTACACCACGGGAGCCGCCTAAGGCTAAGCGACTCCTGCGAGGGCGGCGAGGCACTTAGCTCCGTGCACCCGCCCGCCCCCGCCACAGGCAAGCTCATTCACAATCTGCTCTGCGATCGCCGAGTGAAGAACGACTGATACGCTGCTTCTGCAGCTGCTTGCGATTTATGACAACCTCTACCTGCTACACCGTGACTCCCGCGGCTAGTGCGGCGCCTCAAACAGCAGCGCCGAGCGCGATCAGCCGGTCCACCTGCTGCAGAAGCCCTCCCTCAGCGGCGACCCCTGTGCTCTCGTTCGCCGCCGCCACCGACGCAGAGAGCGAGGAGCGCGCGTCCAGCCCCAAATGCGCACAAATCCGCGATTCGTCGTCCGAATTCGTTTCCGATTCGTTTCCGATTCGTTTGCGCAACTTCCCCCCCCCTGTCTGACCAACAGCCTGACGAACGTTCGTTGCGCGCTCCATTGAGCATTGTACATACATAAATAACACTCACACACACACACACACACACACACACACACACACACACACACACACACACACACACACACACACACACACACACACACACACACACACACACACACACACACACACACACATCGCGAGGCAAAAACATCCGAGACCGCCCGGCCCCCCTCCTATGGGTGTGCGTTCTTCACCACTCCTCAGTAGCTCCGCCACTCCATGCTCGCCCCCGCCGGCGCGCTTGCAGCCCACCTCTCCGCCATCCGCGGCAGGTATGTCATGACGTAGAGCTCTCGCGTGACCGCGTTTGGCGCGGCCTCGCCGTCGGGTAGGTAGCCGTTCCAGCAGTGCTCGAACCCTCGCCCCTCGTGCGCTCCGATGACAATCTCTCCGCCAAAGGGCGGGTCGAGGGCCGGGTCGGAGGCCCAGTCCTGCAGGTCCATCACGGCGTTGGTGAGGAAGAAGGAGTCGGCGCCCCCGACGTACACGTGCAGCTTGCCCGACAGCTTCTCGCCGAGGCCGTGCCGCCACTGCTGCTTGAGGCGGCGCGTCATGTCGAAGCGCTCAACCCACTGCGACGCGACGCTCTTGTTGACGGCGCCGTACTCGCAGTCGCCGCTCGGGTCCTTGCAAAAAAGCCGTGCAGGGTAGCCGTCCGCGCCCCTCGGCCCGAAGACCGCCTCCCACACATCCCACTGGCCGCACGAGCGCGACCTTGGGCCGAGGACGACCTCGCGCCGGTTCATCTCCTCGACCGTCGCGGTGGTCTGCCCATAAGGCGACCCGTAGGCTGGGGTCGATGTGCCAGGCACGGTGGCGGTCCCCGAATAGTGGTCGCGGTAGCCGGGCCGCGGCGTGCGCTTGAAGGCCGAGTCATAGAAGTACGCGTTGCGGTCGGAGTAGAGGTTGATCGTCGTGTACGAGGCGAAGCCCACCGGGTCCGGGCAAGCCGCCACCGCAAAGTTGAAAGCGTCCGGGTACAGCACCTGCATGGCAAAGGCCTCCCAGCCGCCCGTCGACCCTCCGAGCAGCCCGCGCGCCCAGCCCGCACCGATGCCGCGGTAGCGCTTCTCGACGAGCGGAAGCAGCTCCTTGAGGATGGCGCTGCCGTACGGGCCGACGTTGGCGCTGTCGACCGCGTAGCTGTCGTCAAAGAAGGGCGTCGGGTGGTTGAGCGTGACAACGAGGGCCCGCGCCCCGCGGAAGGGACCGTCTTTGCTGGTCCAGTTGCTGTACAGCCAGTAGGCGTACTGCTGATCGACACGGTCGTAGCCCGACAGGTTGGCCGAGGGCGGCGTGTCGTCGAAGCGGCCACCGGGGTTGAAGGTCGCAGAGTAGTGGCCGTGGGCGATCAACAGCGGGTACCTGATGCAGAGTGGTGGCTAAAGGCGGTCAGCAACGGCAGCCGAGCAGGGATATTGCGGGGTCACAGCGTCTTCTTGTGAGTTTGTGTGTCTGTGTGTCACTCGAGCGTGTCGTCATCTTTTTCCCGCGTCCACCCATACCGTGTTGGTGTCCAGTCCGAGCCTGACTGTTCTTCAACTTCCTACCTAACCTAACAGCGTGGGCGATCATCACCTCGCCGAAGGGCGCTCGTGGAAGCCAAACGGCAGCAGCACGCACGCCTCGAGCTTCATGCGAGTGCCCCAGAACCGCTCCAGCAGCGTGGAGTGAATGGAGACCGTCTTGATGTAGTCGGTGTCGTCACCCTTGCCACTGCAGCCCGGCGATCTCACGGCTGCCACTTCGTGCGTGAGTTCCAGCGCGACGGGTCCCGACCAGCCGCCGTCCTGCCCGAGGACCGCCGAAACCACGTCTGAGTACAGCGTTCCCGGAGGCGATCCATAGGCGCCATCGCCGCCCGCGTCGCTGACGCACGAGACGGGGAGGAGCAGGTCGGCCCCGTCGCCGCGAAGGTAGCGGCGGTACGGGAAGAGCTCCGCCTGCACGCAGTAGGTGCCCGCCGGAAGACTCGCGATGCTGTGGCGTGGGTAGCCAAGCGTCGATGCATCAATCGCAACGGTTCCGCCTGGCCTGAGTCCGCCGTCGGGCACGTCGACGCCGAAGACCTGCGCTGTTTCCTGGCTGTCGGAGCACTGCGCCCTGGGCGGCGCTGTGTCGCAGCTCGTGCTCAGGTACACACGGACGCGGCCAAGCTTTGTGCCGGACGAGCGAGGGAGGGCGACGGTGAGAGAGCCGGCGGTGGCCGCTGCGACCCAGCCCCAGCCAATCGTCAGCGCGGCCATTGGAACGAATTCACGATTTGTGTGTGTGTGTGTGCAGACACACACCCACAGAGAGAGAGAGAGAGAGTTGAGAGAGAAAAAACCGCCAATGGCCGTTATCCGTTAGTGCGGACGTCGCCGCGGCTCGCCTCTGCCGCGGAGGCTGCTGCGCGCACGCGGCGGCGCGGCTCTCTCGCGAGACGGCTGGCGACGCGGCTCGCCGCCGACATGCGCTGCGCTCGTCCGACAGTCCGCAGCGTGGCGTGCGCGGCGCTGCGCGCGGCTCTGCGAGCGCTTCTGCGCCTGCACTGCCTCTCCCTGTTGCTGCTGGTGGTGGTGATGATGCTGCTGCTGTGCATATGCTGCTGCTGGCGCGGCGCGGCTCTGAGACTGGGCTCGACGCGCGCGTCGCAAGCATCTGACGAGGCGGGCGGCGTCGGGCAGGTGCGCTTCTCTCTTTGGTGGTGGTGGTGCTGCTGCTGCTGCTGCTGGTGGTGCAGATGCTGCTGCTGGTGCGGTGCGGCTCTTCGACTCGACTCGGTGCGCGCGTTGCGGCGATCTGACGCGGCGGGCGGCGTCGCGGGCGGCAGCGGTGGCGGCTCGCGGGTGGAGGTGGAGGCTGGTGGCTGTGGTGGACTTTGAGTTTATTTCATGGTGGAGTACGGGGACCGGGGGGTCAACCGGGAGGCAGGGGGTTCGACCAGGCGACGGAGGACCGTGGGCCATCGCGGGGACTGTATCGCCGGAGGCGAGGCAGGCAGATCCGGATGGTCTTCACGCCGGTGGGAGGCACCGAGGCGTCTTGGACGCTCAGCTCTACCTTAAGCTCCTGAGGGGCGCGTGGTTCTAACCACGTAGTACGACTACAGCCCACCACAGACACACTCCCTCTCCACACGTGTGCACACACCCTCACCCTCTCCTCTCTCCTCTCTCTCTCTCTCTCCTCTCTCATCCTTGTCTGCTGTCTGCCTGACTCAGGCACTCAATCTGCCGATGCGTGATTGTGTGTGGGCTGCTCCGAGGGGGCCCTGTGCGATCCGATGGGTAGGGAGTCTGTGCCCGGGCGGTGTCCGGTGTGGAGTCTCTCTCTGATCCCACCTGTGGTGTTGGGTGTGAGGTCGTGGAAGCTTCGATCCCAAGGGGGGGAGCCGAGCCCACTCATAACCAACTCTCAGGGGCAGTAGGTGGGCGAGCCTCGAGCGCGCTCATCTCGATCGTGAAGGCGTCGCTACGCGCGGTCTTCCGCGGGGGGAGCTTCGTCGACGGGTGCGGGAGCGCGGCGCAGCCAGTGCCGTGGCGATGCCTCCGGCTGTTTGCGGCGGGCGGCTTGCTGCTCGCTGCATGGCGAAAAACTCGTCTCGCCACACGCCAAGGGCTTATGCTCTGGCGAGACGTGAGGCACATGCGCCCAGGAGGGGAGGGAGCATGTGTAACGACACTGCTAGAGATGCCTTTCGGGGCCCAGAGATAAAACTTCTGTGATGCCATGCGTGACCTAGTAGTGTCCCCAGCTATGGGCGTGTCCACGTTGGAGCCAGGTGTGGTGTGGGCGCGAGAATAGCTCCGCCGTTCATGGAGGCAACCGATGCGAGTCGACTGGTGTGTGTCGTCGTGGTTTCGTATCAAGAATTCTCTCTCTCACACCCACATCACGATCCCGGCGTGAACACAACTAACTGACGGATCCGCTCCTGACAGTGGCATGCACCGCGCTGCGGCGCGTGCCACTGTCTTTGTTTGAAGTTAAAAGTCGAATCAGAGCGCCGTCGGCGGGGCGCTGATCCCCGATTTCCTCCCCCGGACCGCCCGGTGTTTCTTTTTTCACGAGATGTAGAAGACATCGCGGTGAGCAGACAGAGTCGAGTATTTTGAACATGGCAAAAAGCCAAAGCGTCATTTGGGAGAGATCTTGCTAATCGTACGGCGAGTTGCTGTTGGTCACGCAAGAGTCCGGAGGGCGGAGACGCGCGGAGCATTGTGATCGTGGCATGCAGGTTAGTGAACGTGAAGTGAGCGTTGCTAGGGCAGGGCATAGAAGTGGTGCGTCAGATCAGTGTGATCTTCTGCTGTCAGAAGAGAGAGAGTTGAGTCAGCTAGTCGGGGGGGGCGGGGAGCGTGTGCGTGTGCGTGTGGCTGAGTGGTCAGTGTGTGTGAATGACGGCAACCCGCCCGGCCCGCCGCCACCAACAGCCTTCCCTTGTCGAGGCTCCGTTTTGCTGCGGTGCCGCGCGGAGGGCCTTTGCGGCGCCGCTCACGCCTTGGCGGCGTCGGGCTGCGCGTCGGGGTGTGCCGCTTGGAAGTAGGGCAGCGTGGCCGCGTGCGCCTCGACCGCGCGCAGCCGCGGGTACGGCTGCAGGTCCACCTCGAAACGGCGCGCGTTGTAGAGCTGAGGCACCACGCAGAGGTCGGCGACGCTGCTGTGCGAGCCGACGCAGAAGCGCTCGTCGCGGTTGGCCGCGGCGAGCTTCTCTGCGGCGGCGAGGCCCTTGGCGATCGCCTCGCGGCCGAGGCTGCGGCCAGCGTCCGACCCCTGGTCCTTTGCGGCGAGCGCCTGCCGGGCGGCGGGGGGAGGCACGCGGGTGGAGGCACGCGGGTGCCGGCAGGGGGCGACGGCGCCAGCGGCGGGCGGGCGGGGGGGTGGCGGGGGGGTGGCGGGCGGGGGGGGTGGCGCGGTGACGGGGGGAGGGGGGGGAGGCAAAGCAGGCCGTGCGTGCCGGCCTGGTTTACCGCCCCCGGCCGGCCCCCCCGCCCAGAAGGCACCCATTTGCCCCAAGTTCTGGAGCGGCTGCGTGCCCGCGTTGATGACCTCGGCAATCTCGCGCGCCCTGGCGCGAGGCACCGGCCCGAGAGGGAGGAGGGAGCGGCCGGGTGCGGAGGCCGCCTCGTGGAGGAGCTCGAGGATGGCGAGTGACTGGGTGAGGGAGTGCCGCTCCCCCGCCGCGTCGCTCCAGTCCAGCCGCGGCACCTGCCCCATCTCGCTCAGCCCGCGCTGCTCGTCTGCAAGCAGGTTGACGCGCGCGTAGGCGTACTCGACGCCGTAGAAGGAGAGGGCGACCCGCACGCGCCACGAGCAGGAGGAGCGCCAGTACGAGTGCAGCACGACGTCGCCCAAGCTCACCGGCGGCGGCGGCGGCGGCGGCGGCGGCGGCAGCGTGGCCGCCGCGAGGACCTGCCCCGCGCACTCGCCGAAACCGAGCGTGTAGCCGCTGCTGTGGAGGCACGTGCCGCGCATCGAGACCGTGTCTCCGTCGCGGAGGAACTTGCGCGTCGAGCCGTCGCAGAGCGGGCCCACCTCCCTGGTCCCCTGCCAGCACAGCTCGAGCAGCGAGCCGTACGCGCTCGCGTCGGCGCCCGAGATGGTGCCTGAGGCGGCGCGGCGGAGGAGGAGGAGGGTCTCGGGGCCAGAGCAGTCTGAGCGAGCGTCGCTGTGGCGGAGGGCGGAGGGGACGCGCGCGCGGCGGGGCGCGCGGGTCGGCGGGGCGCGCGGCGTGCGTCCCCCACCCGAGGGGAGGAGGTCTGCGGGCCGCATGTCGCAGCCGGTGACAGAGTCCAACTACCCTTCTCCAACTACCCCCACCCGAGGCGAGGAGGTCTGCGGGCCGCATGTCGCAGCCGGTGACAGAGTCCAACTACCCTTCTCCAACTACCCCCACCCGAGGCGAGGAGGTCTGCGGGCCGCATGTCGCAGCCGGTGACAGAGTGGTGCACGAGCTGCTGCGGTGCGGTCCAGTACATGTGGCGGTAGTTGGAGGTGGTGACGACGGTGGCGCGGTCGCCGCCCGCCGGGGTGATGGCCACCTCGAGCTGGACGTCGTACGACGAGTAGTTCGGGTCGCGCAGGTACGGCAGCGGCACCGGCTCGGCCTGCGAGCCGGCGCTCGTCGCGCACCGAAACGGGAGGAGCGCCTCCGCCATCACCACCCAGGGCGAGATGGAGGTGGCAAAGTTCTTGGCGCCGAAGGGGCCGAGCGGCACGTACTCGAACTTTTGCACGTCGCGCGCCGACCAGTCGTTGCACAGCACGAAGCCGAAGATGCGATCCTCCGCCTCGTCCATCTCGAGCGGAGCGCCGAGCCGGTTCGCAGGCCCTCCGACGAAGAAGCCCATCTCGAGCTCGAAGTCGAGGAGGCGGCAGGGCGCGTGCTCGGTGCCCTTGCTCGCGTCGGCCTTGTCCAGCTGCAGCTGCCCCTTCGGCCGCACCACCGGAGTGCCGCTCACGACGACCGACGAGGCTCGGCCGTGGTAGCCGACCGGCAGGTGCAGCCAGTTGGGCTGCAGCGCGTTGTCCTTGCCGCGGAACATGACGCCGACGTTGGTGGCGTGCTCGCGCGACGAGTAAAAGTCGGTGTAGTCGCCGATCGCTGCGGGCAGGTGCATCGCCACCTCGGCGCGCGGCACGAGGCACCGGCGGCGCAGCTCGGCGCTCTCGCGGAGCGCCGGGTCTGCGCCGTCTCGCGCGAGGAGCTGGGTGAGCGCCGCGCGGACGGCGAGCCACTGGGCGCGCGGCTGGGCCATGAAGGCGTTGAGCGTCGCCTCCGCGAAGACGGCCGCACACGCGCAGTGGTCGATGAGGCCCTCGGCGAGCAGCGCCTGCATGTCGAGCACCGACTCGCCGATCGCGACGCCGACGCGCGGCGAGCGGCCAGAGAGGGTGTGGCTGAACACGCCGAAGGGGAGGTTCTGCACCGGGAACTCGCTGCCGTCCGCTCCGTCCACCCAGGAGAGCAGCAGCATCTCGTCGCCTTGATGGAGGGAGGGTCAGCGCCTTGTTGTAAAAAACCGTGGTGCGTTTATACGAGGTCCCCCCTGACCGCCCGCCCGCCGTCGGAGACGCTCTCGGCGACTCGTTGAGGCGCCGAGGGAGGCCCCGTAGGCAGAGTCCCACACAAACAGCCCGCTATCGTGAGGAACAACACCCACAAACTTTAAGTTACCTTCCATCAATCGGTGTCGAAACATCGCTCGGGACAGCGCTCAACAAGAAAACTGACAAGGCGTGACTAATCCCGGAGTGGCCGCAACTCCTCGGGCCGGCACGCTGCAGGCGTCGGTGGAGTCCCTCCTGCAGTCCCTGCCCATCTATGTCGGCGACTGTCGAGGTCTCGACGCCCACGGACCTCAGCTTCCAGTTCCACCACATCCACGTCTACGTCGAGCGCGACTCGCTCCGGCCGCTCGCCGATTACAAGAAGCTCGAGAGCCAGCTCAACGCGCTGGCGTCGCGCGGCTCCTTCGATCCCTTCTCGGGCGGCATGCGCTTTCTTCCCGCGGGCGCGCTGCCCGCGCGCGTCGAGGAGGGCAGGCAGATCTGGAACCAGCTGGTCGATCCCGCTGACCGCCGCGACGAGGCCGAGTATGCCTCGGCAGGTCAGGACTTTGTCGAGCAACTCCTGGTCGGACTGGGCTGGCGCGTGACGGCCGAGTACGTTGGTCCCACCACGCGCTCCGTGCTCGTCACCTCGGCCGACCCGTGCGGCGTCAAGTTCTGCGTCACGTGCGCACTGGTGGGCGGCGACGACGCGGACGAGCCGTACGACCACTTCCGTCGCTCTCACGTCGAGCGCTTCCTCACGGCGCACGGCGGCCGGCCCGGCATCGCCGCGCTCGGCTTCGAGGTGGCCGAGGAAGGCGGCGTCGAGGCGATCCTGGCGCAGTACCGAAAGAGGCATCCGGCGCTGCTCGTGTGGCACGCCGGCGCGCACGCCGGCGCGCCGAGCAGCGACGTGACGACCGGCAAGCGGGCTCGTGTCGACTGGACCCTCACCTACACCGACGTGCGCAAGGTGCAGGCGCCCGCAGCCTCGTCCGCCGCCGCCGCCAAGCCCGCGGCGGAGCTCGAGCTCGGTCGCATGCGGATCGGCGAGGTTTTCGCCTTCTACACGGCGGATGGTGCGGCCGCCGACGACGGGACGGTCCTCCGCTTCGTGGAGCGCGCAGGCACGTTCGCCTCGAGCCCCGGCTTTGCGAACCCGGAGGGGGTGCTTCCCGGCCTCGCCGACGCGGCGCCGGTCTTCGACGGCACCTCGATCCCCGCCTACTCGGACCACTGGGCGAGTAGCGTGCTCGAGGCGGCGCTGTGAAGAGCGTCTCTTCACACGCGTGCGTGTGAGCAGGTGAGCAACGTGCTCGACCGTGAGGGCTTCCTGCGCACGCTCGAGGAGGCACTCGGCTTCACGCCGAAGGTCGACTTCAACGCGGGCGTCGTCGCGGCAGGCGAGGCGCGCATCGAGAGCACGGTGACGGGCAACACGTCGCGACGCCTCGCCGTCTCGGGCGCCGACGCGCTCGTCAACCAGAGCCAGGTGTACCTGCCGATCAACAACGCGCTCTCGCCGGTCGGCCACGTGCACGGCTTCCTGCAGGAGATCGGGCAGGGCATCCAGCACGTCGCCTCGCGCGTTGACGACCTCAAGGCGTTCATCGAGCGCGTCAACAACTACCGGCTCATCACCGGCCGAGGCTTCACCTTCCTGAACATCCCACGCTCCTACTACGGCCGCCTCGACGCGCCGCTCCTCGCAAAGCACACGACGTGCTCCGCCGTGCTGCGCGAGGCTGTCTGCGCCGCGCTGGTCACGGCGGGGCTCCTCTCGACGACTGGAATCCTCGACCTCGAGGCGGCGACGGAGCGGCTCCGCGCGGCGCTCGCCGGCGCCGCCCTGCCCGTGGGCCTGGCCGAGGAGCGCGACGCGAAGCTGGAGGAGATCGTGGCGACGGTGCGGCTCTCGCGCTACTCCAACCTGCACTCGCTCCTTCGCGACCACCTGCAGGAGGAGGAGTACCTGCAGATCGTGCGAAACAAGATCCTCGTCGACATCCAGGGCAGCGACATCCTCTACCAAATCTTCACCGCGAACATCCTGCAGCGCCGGCCCGGCGACGAGGCGCCCTTCCTCGAGTTTATCCAGCGCGTCTGCGCAGACACGCGCTGCAAGGCACCGCACGAGGCGTGCAGCAAGCCGATCCGTCCCGGATGCGGCGGCTTCGGGATCCGGAACTTTTTGACCCTCTTCCTCTCGATCGAGGTGTGGCGGCGGCCGCCTCTCTCCCTCGCGAGGCGGCTCCCGGCGCGCCGACGACCGCCCGCCCTCTGCGCTCTTCGCTCGCAGGTGAGCAAGGCGATGCGCGAGCTCGCCGACGCCGAGGAGGCGGCCGACGCGGCGGGCTGCGAGCTCGCCCGCCGGAAGATTGAGCTGTTCACGGAGCAGCTGGACGCGAGCAACCCGATCCTCACCGACATCTCCGACGCGATGACCAGCGAGGGGGAGTGCCTCGACCAGCTTGCCATAAGCACAGGGTCTGCGTCAGACAAGGCGCTTCTGCGCGCCAGGGCCGACGAGATGCGCGCAAAGAAGGAGGCGGGCAACGCCAGGCTGCAAGAGGTGTCGACACAGTACGCCACGCTGATGAAGTCTCTTCGCGCGTGAAGGCCTCTCGTCTCGCCCTGCGCGTCTGCTCCGCCTCCCTCCCCGTCGTCTGCCCTGCGTCGTCTGGCGACTGGTCCTCCATAGTCGGTTGAGGTCGCCGCCCTCCTCGTGCCTCTTGTCTTCCCAACGTTCCCTCAGCGGCCGATGCCGTCTGCTCCGACTCCCCCCCGTCCAAATAAATAAATAAATAAAAACGGTCAAACTCTGAGACGAGATGGGATTTAGGGACATGTGTCCCCGCCCTGCACGATCTTGGTGTGAGGGATCTTCAATCCGTCCCCTCACCCCCTGGTCACTACCCGACACTAGAAGAGCAGCAAGAGTTGGGGCTGCGGCTACGGCTGCGGCTGCGGGAGGGGCTATGGTCGCGGGAGAGCCGCTGCGCCGCGTGGGCGCGCCTACACCGCGCTTGCTCCGCTCGCCACCTCTCGCAAAGGTCCAAAGTCATAGCCATCACCTCCTCCGGCAAGTCCTTTTCGCCTATCTTGCCGTCCCTCCATGCCTGGTAGAGCTCGTCGTCATAGCCATATTGCATCACAGCCTGCTGCACTGCGTCGTGCACAACCCCTGCCACCCTATCCCGCGCCTCAGCGTCGGAAAATTCGAGCTCGGAGTCATACCCGGAAGCAGGCGCAGACGGCCGCGGCGATTTGGCAGGCGGCGAGGTGGGGGAGGGAGAGCGCGGCGGTGCGCGCTCGTGGCTCCCGCTGGTGCCAGAAGGGCCAGCGCCCAATGCGCTCAGCCTGTTCTTGTCCACCACCTTGGGAGAAGGGGGTGGGGGTCCACCTCCCTTGGGTGCGGGCTTGCGGTGTTCCTGCTTCCGCTTGCCCGACTTTGGCGGGTTGCGGCCGAAGTTCTTCATGGTGAACCTGTCCGGCTTGCCGCCCTTCCCGACCCTCGTCCACCCCTCGGGCGACTCGTTGGGCCGGGGTTGCTGCGCCTGTTGGTGCTGCGAGTGTGCCTGCGATGCTGCGGCCGGAGCGGCAGCGGCGGCAGGCGGTGCCACGGGCGGTGCGGCGAAAGTGGCGGTAGGCTGAGGCTGCGCAGCGTCCTGCGCGGCCTGCTGCCTGGCCTCATCCTCCCGCCTCTTCTCAGACTTGGCCTGGATGATGTACTGATACCCAAGCGGCACCGGGTTGATGCTGACGGAGTGCCAACCGTACCTCTCCATGCGCTCCGCGAGACAATCAATCATCGCGTGGTCGCGTGGCGACACCTTCTGGCCGAGGACGCGCTCGACCATCCGGATCTGACGCACGTGGAACGGCTCCAGGCCCGGCATGGAAGCCTCGGAGTCGGACATGGCCCCGTTTCGCCGTTTTAGAGACTCGTGGTCCAGTATCCATGTTAAATAAATAAATAAAAACGGACACCTCTCTACTGTGAGGTGGGTAAAAAGGAAGAGGTCCCCGCCCTTGCCCATGTTCAGAAAAACTCCGCACTAATTCGAACTTTCTCGCCTCTCGGCTCGTGCGTCGTGAACCCTCGTGTGGGGCTCGGGGAGAGGGGGAGTAGTCAAGCAGGTGCGTGGGGGGTGGGCGGGAGGGGGCCTGGGAGCATTTTTTCGCATTTCCGAGGCAAGCGTGGGCCGTGATGGGCCCCTCCCGGCCTCTCTCTCACGCAGGTTATATACCTGGGCCAAGGAGACCGCTCACTCCGGTCCGCACGCGGTTTTACCCAGTACGCTCTGTGTACGCTCTTGTAGCTTGTACGCGCTGTGTGTCGCTCTGTGTACGGGGATGATCATGAATCGTGAATGGCTAAAACTTCAAAAAGAGTTCATTACGTTGCATGTGTGACAACAGCTAATCTGATTTCGAACTGCCGGCGATGGGCGGAACGGGGCGGCACCTACTGTCCGGCGCCGCTCTCGACGGCTGGAACTGTTGGTATTGTTGGTCCTCGTCTTGCGCTCGCCTACAGCCGGAGTGGCGGAGGCGCCTCGTCATGGCAGGTGCTAGGCCGGTGTCGCGCACCGGCGCGCGCACGCACAGCCGGTCCCGCAGCTCGAAGACGAGCACGACGAGCCAGTACCTGCGACGAGGGGCGGCACCAGTGGCGTGCACGGCCTCCGGTGCGGTAGACGTATGGCGGCTAACGGGGCGACGGCTCGGCGTGCACATGAGCATCAGCAGCGTGACTCCGACCGCGGCGGTGGTGAAGAACCAAGTGTGCATGAGCGCCGCAACCACGCCAAAGGAGGTGCGGAGGTGGAGCGTCGCACTGTAGACCTGCGGGCGGCGGGCGGCGACCGTCATCCCCTCGCGGCCGACAACCCTCCGCAGCCACAGCCCTCGCGGCCACGGCCCTCGCAGCCAGCCCTCGCGGCCAGCCCTCGCCCAAGCCGTGCGCCCTCTCGCCGCCCTCGTCCCTGCCTGCCCGCCTCCCGACTCGCCGGGGGCTCGCCCTCCTGCAGCGAGCACGAGGAGAGCGCCACGCGCATCTCGAGCACCGGATGGTCCCGCCTGTAGGGACAGGCTCCGAGAAGGCTCCCCGATGGCTCCACGGAGCGCACAGCGCCGGCCGGTCGCGCCGGTTGTGCAGCTCGTCGGCGAGCGGCGCGCAGTGCGTCTGCTTCTCCTCGAGCAGGCCGAGCACAAGAGGCAGCATGAAGAACAGGTTGCCGAGCCACCGCACCTGCGGCGAGCGGTACCGGAGCACAAACGGGCGCGCCGACGCAAAGAGCATCGCCGGCGGCGCCGGCGGTGTCGCAGCTTGCACCGCATCGAGGGCAGTGACAGGCGGGCCGTCGGCGGCGGCTTCGCCGCTGTCGCCGCCGTACAGCGAGAGCTCCGCCAGGAATGTCCCGACCTCCACGTTTGGCGGCGACTCTGGCAGCTCGAGGCAGAGCCGCGCCATGTACTTGTAGCCGGGAGCGAGCGGTGGTGCCGCCGCGGCCACCCGCCCTCCCGCATCCGAGGGCGCGAGCCGCGCGGCTGCCACACGGCGCGTGACGTTTGGCGGATCGCAGAGGCCAAAGTGAAGTGGATAGTTGAGCTCCGCTTCCGGCACAGCGGCGGCGTAGATGGCCGAGTAGACGACGGTGGAGAGCACGAAAGAAGCGACAATGTGCGCCACGCCCCTCAGCGTGAGGCCCAGGCTGGTGGTAGCGGCGGCCCGCAGGCGAAGCATTCCCGATGATCAAAGAAACAACAAGAGTTTACCTTGCGTTCTCTGTGTTCGTGCGTCGCCCATCTCTCCTGAAGATGACTAATCTATTTATCCCTTGGCATTCTGTTTTTTTTTTCTTTCCCTGTCTCCCTAAGCTAAAATTTAAATCCCTGTGTGGTGGCGGCGTGCCGTCCTCCCATCCCTCCCTTGGTTGTGTGTTTTCTTTCTTTCTTTAAAATTAGGTCGTACCAGGACAAAATAAAATGAAAAAAGAAAGACGCTGGCCCAGAAGATCGGCCCGCGAGGTGGGGTGCTTGCTAGACCCGGTCGCAGTTCTCTTGCTCCAAGTGCTCCAGCTGCTTGCGCTTCGGCGGTTAGTGGTGCACTGCATGTCATGTGCATGAACATGTGCATGTGCATGTGCTTGTGCATGCACATGCACATGTACATGTGCACGCCGTGCGAGATCCGAGATAAACGACAAAAACCGAAGAAACCCTTTCGGGAACAAATTCGGCCAAATTGGCGGCGGGCTTGGCGCGGCAAGCGCAGCGTGGGTCAAGCTTCGACCCGCGTGCGCACGTCCAGTGCTAGGCTGCATCTCCTCCAAAGGGGATTCTGCCATGTTGTTGCCGTGCTGGCTAGCGCTAGCACGAGACGCAGCTGCTGGCATCACCGCCGGCAGCATTGCGCCTGCAGGTGCGAGCGCGGCGAGGAGATGGGTGTGCGCCCCGGCCATGCTTGCCGAATGTCGGCAGCCTTAACGTGGTCAGCCTCTGCGCTCCGCGCACCACGGCCCGGCAACTTGTACGTGCCAAAACGACGAAGATTTGGGTTGAGTTCCGTCGGCCGCAGCGCCGATGTGGTGACCCAGTGTGACGTTTCCGGCGTGCCAGCAATAGTTTGCTCACAGACCGACGCGCAGAAGTTAGTACAAGTTGTTACTAAGCAACAACACCTGGGAAAATATGCCACCTAGGAGGAACGACTACAGAGGATTAATTGAGCACTTGAGCACCAGATAGGGTCGATTCCGCATGGTACGGGACCCCTCGATCGTCTCGCCCTCCCTCACTGGTATGTTCATTGGGGGGGGTCATAGAGGATTAATTAGTTTGCCAACAACAACCCCCTTTTTCTTAGTTAGTTTTGTTTGAGAGATGCCGCGGAGAGTCAGCAGACAGCGATGTGAGGAGCTTCCAGCCGGAGGATTGAATTCTTCTTTTCGGGTTTCTTGTTTTTTAATCCTTACCTTTTAGTTTAGATAGTCTTGACTCTTGAGTCTTGTGAGCTTTGTGTGTGTGTGTCTGTGTGTGTGTCGCATGGTGTGCGTGTCGCTCGAGCGTGTCGTCGTCTTCTGTCTCGCGTCCACCCATACCGCGCTGGTGTCCAGTCCGAGCCAGGCTCTCCCCGGCTGGAGGAGAACTCCCGGGGGGGGGGGGGGGGGCAGGCGCCAGAGCTGCCGCGTTGCATGCACATGTACATGTACATGTAGCGGCAGCGCCGCAGGCGCTAGAGGCGCCGCAGGCGCCTTCGGGCTAGACGGCCCCGTGTGGCCCCGTGTGGATCCCTGAAGCTCTCGCACGGGACCAGGGCGTCGGGCTGGGGTGCAGGAGAGGCAGCAGGACAGCAGGCTCGCGGATGTAAGCGCCAGTATTGAGTCTGTCATTTTTGGCACTGTATTCCACGGTTTTGCCTCCTGACTCTTAGCACTCACGGCACTCCTTAGCCGTGCGGGCCGCACCGAGACATAGTAGAATGAGCGACGGGTTGACGTTCGGTCACGCAGGAAGCTCGTCCACCCCATCTCTTTGCTCGCATGTGCAACATTCGCACGGCGTCCGCTCCGGCCTCCAAGGTGCAGCACGGCGCGCGGATTCCGTCTCGATGCGCTCTGCCCGTTCATGCAGTCCGACGCTCCGACCAGAATCACTTAGACCTCTCGTCGTGCAAGAACGCAGCGGTCTTGGAGCTTCCCCCTCCCGTTCTTGCCGCATCCCATCCCGTGGCGACGCGCTGTGGCATCGAGCCGTACTCGCCGCGCCGCCGCGTAGGTACGCTGGACCGATTGACCCCAGGCGCAGTTATTGTTATGGTGTTATGGCTCTCGGGGCATAGCAGCCCACAACATGTTATGGGCTGCTATGAGAGAGCCGTCCCGGATCCACGGTGTTATGGCCCGAGACGCAAGCGAGGCCACACCGAACTGCTCGCCGCTGGAATTTTCGCTTCGCGCGCTGCCGCGCACGAGTAAATAAAAACGGACACCTCTACTGTGAGATGGGTAAAAAGGAACAGGTCCCGCGCGCGAGGTTCGGTCGGCATCGATCGCCAAATATTTTCTCTTTTGCCCTCAAGTTAAATTCAATAACATCAACCTGCCTCCTGAGCTGAACATCTTCATCCGGTAGGCCATGGTTGGCTGGTGGCAGCAGCGGGGCGCGGGGCGGGCGCTCCGAAAGAAGAATTTTACAATTTCCGAAAGAAGAATTTACCGGCGAACGCCGGGATACGCGCGGCGGGGCTCCAAACGAAAAATCCGTGGGACACATAACAGCTGTTATGAGGTTGTTATGCTGGCTGTCATAACAACCAGTGGGATGTGTTATGAGTGTTATGAGGTGTTATGAGGTGTTATGAGGTGTTATGGTAGGGTGTGCATAACAGCCATAACAGCGATGGATGTGTTATGAGGTGTTATGGGGTGGGGTGTTATGAGCAGCCAGCCATAACAGCCATAACAGAACACCTGTTATGGCCGCTCCCATAACCTTGACTGTGGGGTCAAGACCGAGACCAAGCAGCGGCCAGCGCTTCGAAGCATCAAGACGCTGTGCTTGCTGCCTCATGACGGCCACCAAGTCGCACAGCGCCATCCACAACCCGATCCGCGTATATGCGTGTGTGCCCTGTGAGAGCTTGACTGACTGACCGACTGACTGACTGTTGACCGGCTGTCCGATAGCGATTTGTTTTAGCTTATTTGGGACGGGATTGCGTAATATGAAGCACCCGTATGACGCCCGCAGAGCCTCCGCGTGCCTCGAGTCGCGCGGCGGCGGGCTGCCATCGGCATCGAGCACCTTTGACATCACATGTCTTGCGGCGAGCGTGCGTGGTCCAGAGATTGCTTACGCAAAGGTCGTCTTGTGCATGCTACCATGTGTCCAGCATTTCCTCGCGGCATGGGGCGAGCGCAACATGCAGGGCGACAATTTGTGGAGCCGACCGATCGCGGCCGATTTCTCGAAGCGACACGGCCCGACCCACCCGCTGCTGCTGTCGTTCCACAACGAATTGACCCTCTCCTGGGCGGGTAACGTGTACACAAAGGGCCGTTACGGTGTGCACTATGCAAAGGGGCGCAACGTCACGGCCTCTAAGTGGGTGGCGCTCGAGTATAGCATGCCTTACCTTAAGGCAGACCGCGATGCAGTCCGTGCTCTCGGCCACGCGGCGGAGCAGCGCACGCGAGTCTCGGTGCTAACCATCGCCGACTACTACCTCCCAGCGAGCCGCTCTATCCTTGACCACGAGGGCCTCGCATGCTACTTCACCACGAACCCGACGCCCGAGCCGCACCCTCGGCTCTCGCCCTACCCGCGCGCCGTCTTCCGCGCCGACGTGTGGGAGCAAGCGCTTTCGGCTGCGCCTCGCGCCGGGTGGCAGCCGTGGGGCTGGCAGCGAGCGACGCGTCCGAGGCCGCGGCAGCTCATGTGCCACGAGGGCCCGAATGACGCGAGGCTGGGCAACCCGCCCCGAACCGTAAGGCTTCGTTCGCTCACGCGCAACGGCTTTCGGTGCACGGCGGGCCGCCTCAGCGCGGAGGCTTACGCGACGGCACTCCGCAGCTCCCGCGCCGTCTTTGCGCCGAGGGGGTCCGGCGAGGCGGAGCACAAGTTTTGGGAGGCGGCCCTCGCCAACGCTGTCATTCTGACCGACATAGCACCCTCCCAAGTGCTGCTGCTCACCGGCCTGCGCGTGGTCATGCTCGGCCACGGGGCCTGGGAGGGGCTCACGCCTGCGACCCTCGACGCCCTCCTCGCAGTCGTGGAGGCGCGGCACAGGCAGTACGACGCGATGCGCGCATTCTTTCCTCAGTGGATGTACCGACTGCACACCGGCACGGCGGCCAGCGACCGGGACCACTCTGGCCGACAGCTGGCGCCACCTCTCATCGTCAACGGGTCCGCCGACCTAGCGCTTCTGACCGCGCGTCGCCCGGGCGGCGCCCTGGGGGCTCGACGGCCTCCCGGGGGCGACGGAGGTGCTCTGGGGGGGGATCCCCCCAGCCAAGGGGGTCCGGTTTGACTGGTTTTCGGTGTATGAATATGTAGTTTGTGGCTCTTACCACTTGCCCTTACGAACATACGTCATACCCAAAGGCAAAGCGCGAAGCCGAAAAGCGCGAAGGTGGACTGCTGTGTGTGTGTTGATTTTCAAGCGATTTTAGTCGATAAGAAGGCTCTAGAAAAAGAAAACGAACACCTATGCGAAAAAGAGAGAAATATGCTCCGATTTTTCTCCTCACTCACGGCTTGATGAAGCGGCCTCGGATGTTGCTCGTTCTGTTAGTGGCGTCGGCGGCGGCACGGCCGCTGCCGGTCACTCTGCCAGACTTTGCCGAGTACTGCGTATCCTCGCGCTGGGGATTCTCCTGTTTCGCCGACGGCGCTGCTGCCGGCGGCCGCGCCGCCACTCGTCTCGTAGGGCCCGCCAAGCTGCTTGTGGTGGGGTCGGTGCTGGGCACCGTCGGCGCGGCGATAGTCGCGGACGTGTGCGACCTGCCGCGCGCCGTGCGACGAGGCGAGCTCGTTCAGGCGACCCTGCCAGGCGCCGTGCAGCCACCCCGTCAGAGAGGGGAGGCTGCGAGAGGGAAGGCGGGACGGGCGGCGGCGGCTAGGGGACGCGGTGCGCGTTCGGATGGCGATCCCGAGACAATATGGGTCGAGGCGATCGCCTCCAGGAGTGACTTTCTCTGACGCCGGGAGAGGGAGGCCAGGAGACTGGGGCAGCCGGGGCCTCGTGCGGGCAGGTTAGTGGGGGGGCGCAGAGACTGATGCACCAAATGCAGGCTGGGGGACCAGCTGGAGCATCCGAGTCTGCTGCCGCTCCCTCGAGGCCGCTCCATATCGGCAGAGTGTTGCCATCCGTGCGCTACCTCTAGCTGGACAGCATGCTAGACAGGGCCGCCGATTTCACCCGTCTTCTCTGACTTCTGTTCCCGTGTAGTTCGGTCGTGGTATATCTGTATGACGTATGCGATCCGTATAGTTCTGGCTAAACGAGAACAACGCAGGGCCTCGTGAGAGCGACGACACAGAGGAACTTCCTGGTTGCACTGGTTCGGCACTGGGGCACAAGTCGAGAATCGTCTTTTGTCGCATTTCAAAACCATTTCGCACTGACACGCGCGCGCCGCGCGACCCGCGTCGCTCCGCGAGGGCATGAGCCTTCCGCGATTCGAACCCGCAGCCAAAAGCTGCTCGCTCGAACCGCGGCCGACTCTGCCACCGCGGCCGCAGCTGCTGAGCACTTCAGAAGACTGGTGCCTCATATGCTCTGAGGTCACAGTATGGGTTCGGTAGCGCCGCTAGTGGAGCTTTGGCTCTGGGCTTTTGGCTACCTTTTGGCGTCGGCACGACCGCGGTGGGCGCCCTGTAGGTCGCCAAACCAAACCGCGCCGGTCTAGCCATGCCCGCATAGTGGACGTTGACGGGCCCGGTCAGTTCCGCGCAATCTCGTCGCCCGGATCAGCTGCGCCGCGCCACTCTCGACGGCCTCTCGAGCGGAGTCGGCGCACACGCGGCACGGCGAAGGAGGGCGCGATCCGCCGCCGGTTCTTCGGCCGTCTGCCTCGGCGCACGACCCGCGGGGCACGTGCGCGCCTCGAGAAGCTCCGCCGCCCCGCCCGGCGCTGCCCACCCGCCTTCGGTGGCACCCGCCGACAGCAGCCGCTCGTCGCGCCGGGTGCGGCTGCTCGGCGACGTCGAGCGTGGTGCCCGACGGCTCAGGAGCCTTCTACCATCGACCACTACCACGGCTGCCACCGTCGGCGCCTTCGCTCGAGCTCTCCGAGGCCGCGTTCTGACCTCGTGCCGCGGCTGTCGTCGCTGCAGCAGCGACGAGGGCCGCGGCAAGGGGTGCAGCGGCGACGGGCGGGGTGGAGAGGCGCGGCCAGGCTACCGGACCGTTGCCCACGCCCACCGCGCCGGGCCCCTTCACCCGGAGGCGGCTTGCGGCAGTTACCCATGTCTCCGTGCGACCCGCTTGGGTAAAGCCGTGCTGGCCCCCCCACACGCGTCGTTCTGTGAGATTCCCGACTTTTAGTGTGTACCGCGAGCAGACGCGCGGTGCGTGTACCAAAGTTAGTGGGCCATTTTGAATGGTTGAAATAGGCCTTCCTCCGGTGGGTCGCCCTGGCGCTGCGCGGCACGCCCGGCGGGGTCGTTGACGTGTGTGAAAAGTGTTACACCGATGTGTCCGATCGGCACCGTGACAGTGGGTGACACCGTCACCGCGACACTGCGACTTCGTCACTCTCGCGCGAGGGAGCGACGTCAGCGGACAGCGCGCTCCATAAGCAATTAAATCGGATTAATCGGTGGCCGTTGCCTCTATGTATCGTATCTTGAGGTATGTGCGCGCTCAATGATATCAGCGCCTTCGACCACCAACAGCCTGCCAACAGCGCGACCCTACGCGGAGCCGCGAGAGGCGCGAGCGGTGCGACATACTACACGTCATTAGCATACTATACGTCATTGGGTGAACAAAAGATAGGAAGAATTAAATCAGATAAGAAAAAGCAGGGGAAAGTGGAAAGTGATTAATGAGCGAAGCGCAGCCAAAGTTGGAGGCCTGAGCGGGGTAGGGGCCCCGCCAGAGCCGGAAACTTTAGGCGGAGCGAGCGCCAAACGGCTATTGCTCTCCACTACTACCGCGAAATTGCCGGCCGGCGCTTCGCGCCGGCCAGCCTCGCGGCGCTGCGCGCCGCCTGTAGAGTGCGTGGGGGGCTAGAGCGCCAAACGGCTATTGCTCTCCACTACTACCGCGAAATTGCCGGCCGGCGCTTCGCGCCGGCCAGCCTCGCGGCGCTGCGCGCCGCCTGTAGAGTGCGTGGGGGGCTAGAGCGCCAAACGGCTATTGCTCTCCACTACTACCGCGAAATTGCCGGCCGGCGCTTCGCGCCGGCCAGCCTCGCGGCGCTGCGCGCCGCCTGTAGAGTGCGTGGGGGGCTAGAGCGCCAAACGGCTATTGCTCTCCACTACTACCGCGAAATTGCCGATGCGATGCGTGCGACTTTGATTGTTGCTTGGCGTGCGGCAACTCGCAGGAGGCGGACGGCCTTAGTACGGCGGTGGGGTATGATCTGCCTCCCGCGGCGGGAGAGTCCCAAGCCGATAGCAATCGTCGCAGGGAGCGTCACCGCGAGGAGGCAGCTATTCGAGATCTTCACAGGTGGTGCGTGGGAGGTCGCGTGTGCGCGTGACCGTGGCATACCGTATTTACTAAGTAAATAGGGGGGGGGGGGTAAATGTAGCGGGGGGCCCCGCCGGAGGCAGGTTACTGATACCAATATAGTGTATTTAATATAGCGTGAAAGCGTGATATAGTCCTCGGCGCTCGGGGTCGGGTCTCGTCTCTCCTCCACTCTCGAGAACTAGAGTACGGATAGACGAGTAAGAGGTACCGTCTCGACGAGACATATTACAATGTCACGAATCGCGCGCGGGCGGCGGGCGCAGGCCCAGCTACCGCCTCTCTGCGGAGTCTCCGCGGGTCCGCGCTCACCTGCCCACGAGCCTCGCCAGCACGGGCTGGTGGTCCGAGGCGCCTTCCTCGAATCCGGAGAGGACGCCGCAGCCCACGCACGCTAGCCGTGCGGTCCGGTAGGCGACGTGGTCGAGCCGCTTGCGCAGAGTGAGGCCTCTTGCGAGAGGCCAGAGGTGCGTCTCCTTTCGCCGCGGCACCCACTCCGCCAGCGCGTCGCCAAACCCTGCCGCCGCAAGGGTGGCGAGGGCGGCCGACCCGTCCGCCTCGTTGAAATCGCCGGCGACGAGGTCGGCGTCGGGGCAAGCTCGCATCAGGGAGCGCGCCTCCCCGAGGCGGACAGAGGCGGTCGTTCTCGCGCTGCTGAGGAGGGCGCCTCCGCTTAGCTCGAGCGGCGGGCGGAGGTGCACGTTGACCACGCGGAGCACCCCCGCTGGCGTGTCGACGGCGCAGGCGAGTGCGGGGAAGACGGAACCGGCGACGTCTCCAAAGGATATCGCGCGGCACTCAGCGAGCGGGAAGCGGCTCAGGACGGCACACCCGCCGGCGAGCTGCCTGGTCGGGTGGTGGTAATGCACGTGCCGGTACTCGAGCGACGCGAGCCGCCGCTCCCACGCCGGGTTGGTCTCCTGCAGCAGCACTATGTCGGCCGAGGCCTGCGTTATGGCGTCGATGACACGGTCCGCGGCCGCGCCAGCCGCGCCAGAGAACTCAACATTGTAGGTGAGCACGTCGATGCTCGGCTCACCGCGGCTGCCGGTCGCCGGTGGGAGGAGGCTCCTATCGAACCTGTATGGCAGGAGTGGCGGCCAAAGCTGATAGGCAAGGCTGCTGAGGTCGCTGACGGCGTCGCTAACGCGCATAAGGATTCCTACCTAGCTAGGTACAGTGTGGGTTGCGGCTCGAGGCTCTCGAGGTTGGCCGCGTTGGGTAGCGAGGATTGGTGTGACGCGATCCACGCAGGCGTGGTTTCGACGGCCGACCGTCAGTGGCACGGGTATCGGAGTTAGGATTCCTTGGACCTGATACGACACCTGTGAACGTGAACAGAGTGGTACCAGCACTGTGGGTCGTTGCGGCACTGCAGCTTGACACCCAAGTGTTGAGCACCGGTGACTGTGGGAATGGGGAAGCAGAGTTCAGATCAGTCGAGGGAGTGTGACCTCCCTCATCCTCAACGGGCGTCCAATCGCAATCGGATTTACTACGGCGGTGGTCCAATGGTAATCCGCATATTGGACGTCCCCGTCCATTGTTCTCGCCGTTCTTCGGCGGGGCCGCGTCACAGGGCGGGGGCGCAGGCGCGCGCCCCGCCCGGCGCGCAGGCGCCAGTGCGGCGCGGAGGTTCTCCCACCCTCCATCCATCCCCATCGCGCTCTATAAACTCTCACAAGCCTGTCTAGAGGTAGTGGGGGTTGCGTCGTGTGCCAAGCATGGCCATCACAGTCAGGCATGCTGATACTCTCGCAGTCTGCCCGTGTGTGTGCTTAGCCCCGCTCAGGCTTCTAACATGCTTGGTTGTCCCAAGGGGGGCCTCCCGGACGCATGATCCTAGCCCAATACGTCCAAGGGAACTCCTTTCGATTTTTGACAGAATTAATGCACTGCCCCCGCACGGTACTAATGGTCGTAGTTTTGGTCCCGGTGCCCTTCACGGCACCACACCGCCGCTTGAAGGCCCGAGATTAGCCTAGCAGTGAGTGGGCATCGCCTGCCGGTCGGCTTGGCACGACGCGAGGCGACCTCCTGAGGCTACCTGAGCTGGCAATGGATGCCACCAGGACGCACGGCTAGCAGGAGCCAGTCAGGCATGCCCTGCTGTGGAGCAGAGCCAGCTGGCGCACCGGCGATACTAACTCAGCGCGCCGCGAGAGGCGAATCTGGGCGACTTTGGAGGCGCAGTTCTCGAGGTTGCCGTCGACGATTGATGGTCACTGCCGTCCGGGAAGGTCTTCTCTCAACAGGCCGAGCGCCGTGGCCTGGCTCGGCTCGCCGCGGGCGCCACGAATTTACGGGACCGAAACTCACGACACCTCGATAGCATGTGCTCGCGCAGCTCCGACTTGGAGGGCATCTCGCCGCGATTCACAGCCTTGTTATTGACAAGAAAAATACCTCCTATGGCGCTATGCGCTGGTCTGTGAGAGGTTGAGGTGCGAGCCCTGGAGGCCCTGGGGATGGGGTGAGACTACCCTTCACAGCCTTGTTATTGAGAAGAAAATACCTCCTATGGCGCTGTGCGCTGGCCTGTGATTCACACCGAGCAGCTCTGCTCGCCAAGGCTCGCCAAGGCTCGGGTTGACTCGGCCAGACAAAAACCCAAACGGGAGTACCTCGCCAGCTTGGAGCCGGATCCTTTCGCGCTTGCTCGGACCGAGGTGGGGACGCTCTCGAACGCTCTGAAGCAAATCGCCACGCCCGCTGCCGGCATGGACGCCGCGGGTCGCGGCGGGCGGCACTCGGCGCACGACGTGGGCATGCTCGAGGCGGAGCAGCAGATGTGGGTCGCCAACCAGAAGCGCGACCTCCTTGAGCTGCGGCACCGGCAGATCCTTGCGCGCGTCGACTGGCTCAACCAGCTCAACACGCAGGCGATGCTGGTGGCCGGCTCGGCGGTCGCCTCGCTGGGCGGCGAATCGCTCGAGACCATTGACGACGAGCACGTCACCAAAACGCTCCTCGACACAATCTTTGTCGCGTCGACGGCCGCGACGCTCTGCTTTTCGCTGTGGGTCATCTTTATCTCTTCGAATCTGATCATGCTCTCGCAGATGACCGCGCTCACCGGCACCTCGGCTGGCGACGTCAAGACCGCCGACGAGATCCTCGAGCGGCGGATCAACGAGGTGCGGTCGTACTACCTGCTCTCGCTCGTCATGCTGCTCATCAGCGCGCTGTCAATGGTATGGATGAACTGCACGGGCTCGAACTCGACCATCGCCACCGTCATCTTCGTCACCGTCTCGCTCCACGCCGTGCACACCCTCCGCGACACCTCCGCCGAGTTCAAAGAGTCGACCACCTTTGAAGGCGACGACACCGTCCTGCAGTGCCTCAACTCCGCTGCGCGCCTCCTCCGCCCGCCCTGCTGCGCCAAGCTCGCCCCGCGCCGCTGGCGCCGCCTCGTCGACCGGGACGGCCGCTCCGCCCACTTCCAGCTCCCGGCCGACGCCGGGCGCGCCGCCGACGCCCAAAAGTCGCGCAGCCGCGGCTCAAACTCGTCGAGGGCGGCGCCCGAGGGGAGGTGGGCGGACGGGGAGGCGCGCGCGAGGGCCGCGGCGGCGCCAGCGCGGTACCAGGGCTGGGTCTTCAAGTCCAAGTCACACGACGGCCCTCTGCGTGCCAAGGAGCGCCCCGCCGCCACGGACACAGCACAGACGACTTTCTCTGCACAACATGCATGTCACGACGCGTCCACGACGCGAGCCCGCGAGATATGTCCCACCCCACGAGGTACGTCCACGCCGCGTCCCACACAGGAGCGCCTCAACGCCATGGACCACCTCCGCGCCGCCCTCGCCTCCGAGCCGAGCGGCCGCGACCTCCTCGCGGCGGCAGAGCAGCAGGGCGCCGGCGGCCCGCCCCGAAAGGCGCAGCCGTACCTCTCGCCGTCTGGCCCGCTGCGCGACCGGAGGTGGTTCGTGCTGCGGGACACGGCCCTCGCTTGGTACAACACCGACGACGACCACACGCTGCAAGCGCCGCCCAAGGTGCCGCCTCGCTCCCTCCGCCAGCCCCGACCGCCTCCCGACCGCCCCCCGCCTCCCGGCCGCCTCAGGTCATGCTGTCGATGTCGGGCTACACGGTGCGAGAGACGGTGGAGCCGGGGCCGGCGAGGCGCTCCGCGCTGATGCTGCTGCCGCGTGCCGTCCTCGCCCAGCCCACAGAGGCGCCAGAGCGGGCGGCGCTCGCGCCAAAGTCATGGTACATCCGCGCAGAGACGGACGACGAGACGCAGCGATGGCGCGCGGCCTCGCCCGCCCACGCGGCGCGGCCGCCCGCATCTGCGCTGCGCGTTCTCACCGACGCGGCCCTCGTGTGCGACGTAGGCTCGAACTGCTCACCGTCGCGATCCACCGGGCGGACCAGCAGCAGGCCGCCGGCATGGCGGGACCATCTAGAGAAAGGTGACTTTTTGCGCAGCGGCGCCGCCAGGCGCCCGCCCCGGCGGTGAACGAGCGGAGCGAGTGAGCCGCCGGGGCGGGCGCCTGGCGGCTCCGCGGAGCTCCTTTGGCTCGGCGCGGGCGGGAGTGTGCGAGTAAAAATAAATTGCGGCGGTCCCCTTCGGCTATCGCCTCCTGCTGCTCGGCGAAGGCCGCGAAAATACAACTGCCGAAATCGCTGCTGCGTCGGGATGCGGGCACCTCAGATACAGAAGCGAAGAAGAGCCGTTCATGCCCGGCCATCCTCACCCCCCCAAGCAGCTGCGGCCGCAATTTCAGCCGGTCCCGTGACCGCCCCACCCCGGCAGGAGCGCGTTCGAGCGAGGCCGTTCCGCAGAGCACACCGAGAGGGGCCGGTCGCGCGCAGCGCCAGGATGCGGCCGCCGCATGCAGCCTCCGTGGAGGCTGCATGCGGCGGCCACTTCCCCCCTCGGTCTTTCGCCGCGCTCCGGCCGCTCCTTGGCTCCTGGCCGTCTCTTCCGAGCGGCTTTGCGCGCCCCCAACATTCCCCTGACAGCAGCGCCTCACGGCGTGGGCTGCGAGGTCACTCGGGGTGACCCAGGGGGCGGCGGGGGAGCACTCTTCCGCCGGAGTATCGACGGTCTTCCCGCTACTCGCTCGCATTTAAGGTGCATCCACGCCCCGCCCACCACCTTCCCGGCAGCCCCACCCGCTCGGTGACGTCCTCACTTCTCCCCCCTGCCCCGCCCCGCCCCCTTTCAGGCGAGGCCCTGGCCACCTCCGGGAACGGGCAGCAGCGCGACGCTTTTCGAGAGCGAGCGGCGGCGGCGGCTCAGCACCAACGCCTCTGCAACGCAGGGGCTGGCTGCGTGGGCCCCCACCACCGGACTCCGTCGGGCTCGCGTCTCCCTCTCCGCACGGGAGCTGGAGGGGTCGGGAGCGCAGTGTGTGTCTGTGTCTGTGTCTGTGTCTGTGTCCCTGTCGTGTCGTGTGTAACTCTCGCACACTGCTCTATCTAATAGCTCTCGCCACAGGCTCAGCCTCGCCTCCGTCCGCACGCTCGACACACGACAGAACCCGGACGACGTGCGTTTTTGCTTCTCTACAAAACACGCACACCCACGCCCGCCCCAGTCAGCGGACAGCGCCATCGAGAACAAAGACCGCAATACTTTGGCGAGCCAACGCAGCCGAGAGATAAATTCTCCGCAAGAGAGAGCCTTTGGGTTGCCTAACGTTAGGAGCTGAACAGTGTTGCTAGTGTTAACAGTAACAACAGAACAACAGTGGGGCTCCCCGACAACAGTAGCTAACGTTAGCCGACTGAACAACAGTAAGGAAGGCCTGGCAGTGACCCACGACGATCTCTAGAGTGTCCAGTGCGGGTAATACCCGAAAATACCCGGAAAATCCCAGGTATTTGCGGGTTTTACCCGGACTTTCTGAACAACAGTAACAACAGTAACAAACAGTAACAGCATGGGCTGGGGTGAACACTTGAACAACGTTGAGGATTTCAGCCAACAATAGCGTCTCCTCATTCCTAACTTGTTCCTAGGCCTAGCGGTGCAGGCCGCAGAGCGCGAACTCGCCGTACTGAGCCTAGCGCAGCGCGAACTCGCCGTCTGAGCCTAGCGCAGCGCGAACTCGCTCCTGTTCATAGCTGCGGTGCTGCGCAACCCTACGGGGTGTGGAGGGTCGAGTTGACCAGGGGGTTGTGCGCCGGGCCCTCCTGCTCGGCTCCAGCCGGTAGACAAGTCTTGTCATCAACAGAGTAGATGGATCTGACCTCGGGGCCGATGTGACCAAGCGCTGGTAGCGTGGTTTGACCTCACACCCATGGTCTCACAGTGTGCCGGCAGTCGCCGAGCAGTGTCGCTCACACAAGCCGCAGCACAAGTGACTGAGGGCCAGTGAGGGCGAGCCCATCGCTGTCACAGCTGTGGCAGCCGCACAGCAGGCTGTGTCAACTGTGCAGAGTGTGTGAGCAGCCGAGGAGCTGCTCTCCAGGCTTCTGTCGCAAAGAGCTGCATGCCACCGAAGGCGCTGTCGAGGTTCGCCGAGCGCGGCGAAATCCGGGGACACCGTCACCGACGAGCGCGTTGGAGTACTCACTCCGGACAAAGACAGTGGCACGCGCCGCTTGTCTTCGCGGCGAGGCGCGGGATCGTCTGTGGCGAAGTGGGTCGCGTCCCCGGATTTCATGCACCCACCCAGCATCCACACCCTTTAGCCTAGCTCCATTTTTCAGTGTATGTTAGCTCTTACGAACATACCCGTAGGTGAACTGCTGACAGGGTTTGCGATGAGGAGCGATCCGAACGTGGTATTCGGGTGATTAGATCACTACCGCCGAAGCGCTTTTTTGCATTTAATTTATGCTGGTGGGCGCCGGGGGCGCGCGAACTCTCGTACGACGGTTAGTCCCGGTCGCCGGTGGGGGTGAGGGTCAAATATCGTTTTCATATCGTTCAAAACGATGTGAAAAAAATTCGTGTGTGTTGTCTGTTCGTGTTGTGGGGCGCTGGGGGGGGGGGCCGCGGCCGGGGGGGGTGCGCCTGGGCCTGCGCGCCGGGGGGCGCGAGAGACTAAGGTGATCGCCTTTTTAATGTTCACAGACACACATCGTGCACACTGAAATGAGTCTCCGACTTGTTCTAGGTGTGCTAGGAAGAAGCGGCTTTGTTTTAAGGCAGCGTGGCGCAGGCGGTGGCGGGAGCAGCATCCTCGTCCACCACCACCCAGTCGTCCTCTAGCACCGGAGCCCGCGAGTCCTCGTCCAGGGACAGGTCAATCCCGAGCCGCTCGAGACGCGCAGCGAGCGCCGTAAAGGACGTGCCGCGCTGGAACCACGGAAGCTCATCGTTTTCGGGGGGCGGCCCGTCGGGAGGACCGCGCAACGTCAGCTCGGGCGCGTCGGCAAAAGGAGCCCCGATGTGAGCCTCGTTGCGAAGGCGGTTCAGGCGCCTCCGCCCCACCCTCGCCGGCACTGCGTTGACGCCAGGCGGCCAGTGATCGCCCGCACGCGAGCGCGCCGGCGGACGGAGAGGGAGTTGAGCGGGGAGGAGGAGCTCTGGGAACATGCGCGACCGGGGAATGCGGCGCGGGCCACCGACGCTGGCCCAGCGAGATGCCCAGGAGCCAGAACGGCAGCGCGCCCGCTCCGAGGGCGACGCCAGAGTCTTCACCGCTGGGCGTGTTTTCGAGTGTTTCCTCGACTCGTCCGTCGACGATCAAATTTCTTATTTTTTTGTGCCGCCCTTGCGTTCTCTCGTCTCGGGAGTCGCGCAGCGTCCGAGTACCAAGATAAAAAGAAAAGACACGCCCGGCCGCATACACCGCCTGCGCCTCCCGCTCGCAGGTACAGCCGCTTCCATCCCCGGGGGGCGCGCGACGCCTGCGACGGAGCTCGGAACATGCGCGTCTCCCTGAGCGCAAACGACCTGTGCGTCTCTGAGGGCTTCGTCACGATCGCAAAGGAGGAGCCCATCGACGTCATGGGTGCGTCGCCTCTCTCAGACGTCATCGAGATCCTCCCGGCGCGGCTCACCTCTCTCAGCCTCGCCGCTGGCCTCGTCGGCATCGCGCCTCCGAGGCTGCACGACACGCCGGTCGAGCCCCTCGAGCGGGAGGTCGCAGCAGCGCGGCGGCGCGAGCTGCGCGCTGCGGGAGAGGCGGCAGCATCGCAGGCAGCGGCCGACGCCGACCCTGGCGCGCTCCGGCGCCGGCTGCAGGAGGAGGTTGCGGCGGCCGGGGCGCGGGCCGAGGCCGCGGCAGCCGACGCCGTCGAGCAGCTCGCCGCCGAGCTCGCCGCCGTGAAGGCGCGGCGCTAGAAAAGACACCGGTGTAGTCGGCACCGCCCGCCTCCAACCTGAGGTAGGAGAGGCTTGCGGGGGCGGAGAGGTGGGTGGGGGGGCAGGTGCTCACGCGGCGCGCTCGGTCGTGGCCCTCGCCCCAGGTGCTGCGAGAGCGGGAGACGGAACAGCGACGGGCTGCCGAATCGAAGGCGGCGGCGGAGATGCGCGCGGCGGCGCAGGCGGCGGAGGCGGCGCAGGCGGCGGCGAAGGCGAAGGCAGAGGCTGACGAAGCTGCGGCTGCGGAGGCGGAGCGGAAGGAGGCGGAGGAGAAGGCGGCCACGGAGAAGAAGGAGGGCGGCGCGGACATCGCCCCACCGCCGCCCGTCCCGTCGCCGCCACCTGTGGTCGCGCCTTCGACTCCTGCGCCTGCGCCGCCGCAGCAGCAACCGCCGACGCCGCAGCAACCGCCGACGCAGCAGCAGCAGCAGCAGCAGCCGGCGCCGCCGCAGGCGCCGCCGCCGCAGACCTCCGTGGCGCAGCTGGCGGCGGAGTGGGAGCAGAGCTGCGCCTTCGTGCGCGAGTACGAGGCCGCGAAGCCGCGAGGCGAGCTCGGCGCCGCCTGCAGGCCTTGTGGGGGGGCACTTGCTGGGCTGGCCACTCACCCTCTCCCTCTCCCTCTCCCTCTCCCTCTCCCTCTCCCTCTCCCTCTCCTCTCTCCCTCTCCCTCTCCCTCGCCCTCGCCCTCGCCCTCTCCCTCTCCCTCTCCCTCTCCCTCTCCCTCTCCCTCTCCCTCGCCCTCTCCCTCTCCCTCACCCTCACCCTCTCCCTCGCCCTCGCCCTCGCCCTCACCCTCTCCCTCACCCTCTCCCTCGCCCTCACCCTCGCCCTCACCCTCTCCCTCACCCTCTCCCTCACCCTCGCCCTCGCCCTCACCCTCGCCCTCACCCTGCAGGCACGTGGCGCTGCTGGTCGGCCAGACGTCGCGCGTGCGGTACGTGGTGTGGGAGAAGGCAGAGGCGGTGGTGGGCGCGCTCAATGCGCTGCAGGCAAGGGGCGGCGAGGCGGCCCTCGCAGCGGGCTGCTCCGCCTTCGCCGCCAAGCTGCTCGCCCAGGGCTCCGCCGTCGTCGAGAAGGCGCCCGCGATGGCGTACCCGCTCGCCATGCTCGCCACGTCGGTCGGCGCGCGGTGCCCGGCGCTGACGCAGCACTTGCGGGCGCACTTTTGCGCCGCGTGCTGCTACGTGACGCCGCACTACGTGCGGCGGCCCGCGGGCGCAACCGACGACGCGTGGCGCGAGGCGAGGCGCGACCAGCGCCATGACATGTCCGCGACTTGTCCGTGACTTGTCCGAGGCGCGCTCCGCAGGCGATGGGCTACCAGCGGCGCGCGCGCGGCTTCGAGCCCAAGGAGCAGTACTACAACCGGATGGCTGGGTACCTGACGCTGTGGGCGGCGCTGCTGCAGGCCGAGGCGGTGCCGATCTACGACGAGCGGACCGAGCAGATGCGGATGGAGCCGCACGCCAACCCGGCCGGCGCCGCCGAGGCGCGGCGTTCGCTCGGCGCTTGCGGCAGGCGCCCCGCTTTGGATGAAGTCTCTCGGAACTTTCCCGCAGGCGTGGCGCTGGCTCGCGCGGCTCGCCAACCAAAAGGCGCAGCGAGCAAGAGCCGAGTGCACGCTCTGTAGCACATTCGAGATGGCCTCTGTGCCCAAAGCGGTCTCTTCGACTCCTGTCCTCGACGTTCGGGGGGTTTGCTCCACCACCAGGCGCAGCGCATCACGCCGACGCTGCTGCTCGCGTTCCTGAAGCCGAGCGCGCACATGCTCGCGCGGAGGTACCCTCGGCAGACGGAGAAGCTGCTCCGCTTCCTCGCGACCGACTACTTGCTTTCGGTCGAGTCGCTGCTCGCCGCCTCGTCGGGCGCGAGCGGCGCCGAGGAGCGAGCCGCTCTCGCAGTGCTCTCGTCATGGCTGTGAGCGAAGCCGAGAGGAGAGGGAGGGGGGTGCGGCCCGCGAGCGATCAAGCCGCGCCGGCAGCGCGCCGATCGGAGCCCTCCCCCCGTGAGCACGCGCGCACAGTCAGGTCGCGGCCTTCGATTCGCCCCCCTCCCCCCCCCTTTGCAGGAAGGAGACGCGGGAGGCGCTGCGGTGCGGGCGGCTCAAGCCACCGGCTGACGCGGTCGAGATGCCCGATTTCTTGATACCCGACGACACCCGCGAGGCGGGCGAGGGGGGTGGTTGGTAGCACGCGCCCCGGAGCCGTATAGATCGCAGAGCCACGCGACCTGCGGAACCGGAAGAGAGCTGGCTCCGGGTGTGTCGGCGACCCGACGCGCGAGGGACTGCCACGCACTGTCTTCTTTATTTCTAAACATACCGGTGCATGCTATCATCAGCCGATCCCAGCGGTGGCGCTCTCACGCGGTTCCTTCTTCTTATTAGCGGCTCGTGTGCGGTGTGCGTGGGATCTCCCTGTCATGCTCCCTGTCCCTCTCGAGCACGCTCTCTCGTTCTCTCGACGCACACGAGTGTGCGACTGAGACGAGATCGAGATCGATTCCGACACGTAGAGTGTACAGCTCAGGTACACACGCCGCTTCGCGGGGGCGGTCGGCGGTCGCGTCTCGTCGGGGGGCGGGGGCGCCCAAACCTTGCTAGCTGGCCTAGCGTGGCCCCGACGCCGCGCGCACGTAGCCCGCGAGTACATAGCCCTCCCACATCCCTCCCCAGGCCCTCTTGGTCAGTTCTCCCAGAGCTCTAGACTCGTCGCCAGGATTATAGTTGCCCAGCCCCACAGGCAATGGGGAACACGAGCGCGCCGTGAACACGACCAACTGCGAACTGGCGGGTCGGCTGACAGTGGCACAGACTCGACCTCTCTCTCTCTCTGGTGCACGCCACGGGCCACGACGGCTGCTGGCAGCCGGCGTGAGGAGGCAGTTTGCCAGCACAGTCGAGCTGGAGTATCCGCTTCTTGATGCTTCTGGGGTCAAGCTTTCCCTATGATTGCCACAATAATGCTATGCGCTCACCCCTCCAGTGTCAAATTTTCGTTTCCCGGTGACCCGACACCGGTGGCTCGATAGTACCGCGTGCCTTTCTTCAAAAACGAACGCACTTCGAGGTTCGACAATCGCTAAGCTGCTTATGGGGCACCGCTGCGACTCCCTTGGGGATGCCTGAGGCCACCCCAACCACTCCCCAAGCAAGAAAGAATTTTACAAGAAAGAAAGCGAACAGAGGCTTGCGAGAGAGAGAGATTTTTATTAACCAACAAGATTCTCCTTCTTGGCTTGCGTGGACGAATTAAGCCTACTTTTTGTTCGTCCACCCACATCAGCAATTCCGTGCTCATGTCAGCGCCACGCCAGCGCTAGCCCATTCAACCCCGCCCCCATTGGAGGCGGCGCGCCCTTCAAGGGCCTCACTCTAGTGGCGCAAGAGAAAGACGCGCTGCCTGTACTCGTGCAACGGGAACGGCGCTCAGTCTCGCCGCCGATCAAGATACACATTTATGTATTTGTGTGTATATGGCACCCGCCGACATCGCGACGCTCTTCAACGAGGTGCAGGCTGAGATCGAGGGCCAGCACCAGCAGCTGGTAGTGCTGGACCACGAGATCGGCGCGATTGAGCAGGCGGTGCGGAGCGGGGCGGCGGTCGCGGCCCAGGCTGAAGCTCACAAGCACAGTGCGCAGGCCGCCTTCATGGCGGCCAATTCGGAGCTGACAGCGCTGCGACTCCGCGCCGCCGAGGAGAAGGCAGAGGCGGCGGCCCTGTGGGAAGAGGTTCAAGCGGTCCAGCGCGAGTGCGCTGATCTCGCCAGTCAGGAGGAGGCGCTCGAAGAGCTCGCCCGCTCCACCACGGCTCGACGCAAGGCGCACAACGAGCGCAGGGCTGGCGTGGAGCGCCGGTGGGACGTCGAGAAGAAGCTCATCCAGGCGGAGTGCGCGGCGGAGGCCTCGCGCCTCCGAGCGCTGGATAACCCGCCTGCTCCTCGCGCCTTCGCCGCAGCCCCGCCCCCTGCGCTCCTGGCGCCCTCGTCCGAGACCAGCCAGGGCGAAGCCACAGCGGAGGAGGTGGATGCCATGGAGGTTGACGCGCTTGTCTCTGGCGCCGCTCTACCCGCCGAGAGTCGAGGCGGCGGGTCTCAGCCCGAGGAGCAGCCTGCTGCTTCGCCTCGGCAGGCCTCACAGCCCGCTCCACTGGTTGCCGAGGCTCCACGTCCGCATCGACCGGAGCCGCAGCCCAGTGCTCCCTTTCGTCCGGCTCCGCCGCCCAACGCTCCATCTCGCCCGGCTCCGCCCCCGCCCTCCGATCCTCAACCTCCACCCAACGCTGGCCCGTCGGGAGCGCTGAGCCTTCGCAGCCTGATAATCAATTTGCTGCGGCTCTGCGGGCGTGCCGACACCGCTGCGATTCACGCGCACTGCGCCTCTCGTTCCTCCGAATGCTCCATGCTGCAGCTGGTGAGATGCCTCGATGAGCTCATCGCAGAGTTTCTCATTTATCGCGACGGCACGCACGGCTTTCGGCTGCTGTGAGACGGGGAATGGCGCGAAGTATACTTTGGGAGCGACTGGGAGAGGACTTTGCGATGGAGCGGACGGCACTTGGAGCACCACGCGCGCGAGATGGCGACAAGGGAGAGAAGTGAGACAGCAGAGACGAAAAAACTCCGTGTGTCACATGGGGTTTCGGGCGCGCGGGCCGCAGGCGCAGCTCCGGCACTCGGGCAAACCGTGATCGGTGTATCTGGTGTGGCGCCGCACGTGTCCCGCGCAAAGAGCCCGTGGCTATCCCACTGCGAGCGCCGCGTGTATTCTTGAGGGGGCCCGAGCGACGTCTTGAGTTGTACAAGGCTACAACATAAGCAAGGAGGGCAGCCGTCCCAGAGCCGAACCCACCACGACCACCCGAACTCGAACTGCTCGCTCGGAGGAGTGGAGAGGAGACACAGCCGGGCGGAGTCGCCAAGACAAGTGGCAGAAATGCAGTTCGAGGCAGCAGCGATACGCCCGCCTCATGATGCCGCCCCCCCGCTGCAGCGGAAGCTCCCTCGCTCAGCGGTGCCTGTGGGTTGTGTGTGCTGCGGGTTTGCCACGAAGGCAGTCTGCTGCATCGGAGACACGCGCGCGTCGCTGGGTCGCCAGCATATGGGTGTACGCTTGGAGGAGGCAGCTCCGGACGTGGGCCGTGGCGTTCACGAGATCGACTTGTGGGGTGGGCATATCTGCTCCGTCTTGGGCTGCGGTCTCCGATCCGGCAACTCGCAACTCGCAGACGCTCGCGAAGAACTCGTGCCGAAGGTGGCTGTCGGCGAAGGTGAGGAGCGGGGCCCGCTCGTCGGAAAGGTCAAAGCACGGCCGCCTCTCTCCGCCAGTCAGTGTGATGACCTGAAGCGCGGGCTGCCGCGTTTGCCTCGGCGTCTCACGCTCGCGCCGCTGCAGGTCGCCGTGCAGCGCCTCGATCTTGGAGAGGAGGCCCTGCAGGCCAATGAGCTGGTCGGCAAAGGTCTCCTGCGAACCGCGACGCGAGAAGGCGATCGTGCCCACCATTTCACTTGAGTCTCACAGTTTTTTGTCGCGGATTTCCCACGCGCTGTTCACAGCCTTGTTATGAGAAGAAAATACGTCTTGTGGTTCACAGTACAGTAGGGTGATAAGAAACAAGAACGTCGCATGCGACGACAGTGAGGGTGTGAGAGACAGACCCAGGGAAGGTCTTTCACTACCTTACAGCCCCTGCCTGAGCTCAGGCTCGACAGAGGTCGGTTTGAACATTGCGCTTAGCGTGTGGACCACTTGCTCGATGTCCCGCGTCGGCGTGTAGTTCGGGTCGTACAGGTACTCACCAGTCTCAGCGGCATTGCCATGGTAGACCAAGCCTTCACAGACCTTGTTGTTGAGCGGAAAATACCTCCTATGGCGCTGCGCGCTGGTCTGTGAGAGGTTAAGGTGCGAGCCCTGGAGGCCCTGGGGATGGGGGGAGACTACCCGCAGGCCTAGAAGGCCCGCGCGCAGGGGCGAGGGGGTGGGACATTGAGCCGGTCATGAATGAGTGCGCGACACGCATGTTGCGAGCACAGCGTTGTTGATGTTCTGCGCGTCGCCACAGACGGCGGCGCGCGATAGTTCACACAAAAGCACAACCCCAGGCCCGAAATCACGCTGTTCATGACGATCGGCCGTCGATCCCGAGGCACGAGGGTCGTCGGTTGAGCTAGGGAGCCTGGCGATGGACGCCACCGCGACCCCTCGTGGCATCTCTCTCGCCGTCGGCGAGCTAGGGCCTCACGGACGGCCGAGCACAACCCCGGCCCGAAATCGCACGACAGCACAGTGACAGTCAGACACGCAACACGGGGTCCCAGGTAAGGCGAGCAAAAACCTTATCGCGCGCGCCAGACGCCGACTCAGAGGCCGCACCGCCCGGCGCGCAGCCGGAGAGAGAGGTAGGCGCTCAATCGCCGCACGCGGCGATTGCCTCCATGCACGCTGTTAGGCTTATGGGAAAGCCGATTCCCCACTAAGCCACCTTGAGCACTTGAGCACTGGAGTGTTCATTGGGGTAAGCCACCTTTGTTTGTTCACGAACGACGAAGTCATATACCGGCGCTGTCGCTTTTCTCTCTACGTTCTACTCGAGTACACGTACAAGAAAGGAGGTGCGTGTTGTAGAGATGGCGACCAGTTGGAGGGTGTTGATTTATGCACAAATATGTGTATTGAGCGCTAGATGGCGAAATTTACTTCGCCTCCGGCGGGGCCGCTCGCCGCGGGGCTAGAGAGGGACTTTCGTCGATGTCGGCTAGAAGGCTGCACCTTTTTGAGAATTTCACCCGTCGGTCGCCACAGGCGGACAACAACAAATCTATCTAGCAGAAACGGAGAGAGAGATTTTCAGCAATACCAAACAACTCTAACACTCACACACATCATGAGGTGAGCGGGCGAGAGCTGTTGCGAGCGGTGTTGTGAGAGAGAGGTTTTGACAATACCGTTGTTTGTTGTTTGTGTTGAGAGAGAGAGAATTTTGAACCCAACAAGAAATCACGACGCTCACAGTGATTTGGGCTTGGACAGCTTGTCAGCCCTCAGCCGAAGATGGGGCCGGTCCCATAGCCGAGGCGAGAGACCCCGCGTCGATGAGTTCGACGCGGTCGGGAGGCCTTTGCGGAGAGACCAGCGAGTTGGCCCGCTGAGTGGATTGCTAAAAATCTCTCTCTCTCTGAGTGGGGCTGGCTGACAGCCAGAGGTCGATACTCTGGACGACCCATAGGATGCCACGACTGCCTGAAGGAGAGCACTCAGCGCGTCACACCAATCCTTGCTACCCAACGCGGCCAAAGGATATCCCCCTCGAGAACCTCGGAGACTCAGCTGCTCTCTGCTCTCGGGTGGCTGAAGGACCGCCGGTCCTGTCACAGTCGCGTTCCGAGTCGTAGGGGTAGAAGATTGCGGGGGATTGAGAAGAAATAGGGAAATACCTGCCACCGCTCTTGGGTAATTCACACAAGACGTCTGCCACAAGGCGTCTGAACTCGGGGGAATCGAAAGGGGCGAGACGACGGTGGATGTCAGAGCTGATCGAGGAGTACGCACTGCAAGTGAAGGCTCAGCTGAAGGCTCTTGACGTCCGCCTGCTGGCGGCGCTGAGCGCTTTAGGCCTGGGCGTCACTCTCATCTGCGTCGGCATCAGCTACATTCTCTGCGCCGGCAGTAGGGCGCGCGACGACCTGAGCCGCAAAGTGAAGCTGATGGGCAGGAATGTGCTCCGCAGTGACAGGCCGTTGGGCTTGCGCAGCATCAGCAGCTCGCACCGGATCTACAGCCGCACAGTCGCACCGGGTACGCGAGGTTCGCTCGTTGGCCTGCAGACGGACTCTCTCAACCCCGACGCGGTCACGGTGGTGAGCGTGAATGAGGCCACAGGCTGCTATCTCGTGCGGCTTGCAGATGGGGCTTACCTCGAGATCAAGCCCATACATTTCCGCGCGGGGGGGGAGAGCGAGGGCGACTCGAGTCGCTCGAGAGAGTAATGCGCGCCTGCATATAATTCTGTCAGATCGTGGCCACACTGCCGTCCTGCCGTGTGCCGAGCGCCCGGCCTGCAGGAAGCAGCGCTCTGAGGGAGATGGAGAGAGTGCCGCCGTTCGTTCTGCCGTCCGGGCGAGTGTGCGCGTGCGCTATCTCACGTCTCTCGCGGCTCGACTCGTCTGCATGCCACGTCTGCTCGCAGGGTCGAGGCACGAGGGTCGTCGGGGCGCATGCGGATGCGCGGGGGGCATAGTCTGAGGGTTAGGTTTCTGGAGCCTCGGGTGCTTTTACGCTTTTGATCGGGTCAGGGGAGAGTGCGACTTTTACCAACTTGGTCGTCTCGGAGCGCCCAACTCGCAACTGTTAGCATTTTTCAAAATTTTCTTCGGCGCTGCGCGCCCCGGGTCGTGTAGTAAGTACTAGCTGTCGTCCCGCAAACGGCAAAGTAGTTCCCGCACACTATGGCTAGAAAAATGCTGCCGCTCGCCTCGAAAGCGCCCGCCGGTGTGTGTCCAAACATTTGGATTGCGCCGCGGGCGCCGCGCCGGAGAGTAGAATGTCCAAAATTTTCGCGCGCCTGCGGCGCGCGACTTTTACCGTTTTCCCCCGGGCGGGCCCACTTTTGTCGTTTTGCCCCAATCTACGGCGCGCCGTGCTTTTAGCGTTTTGACCCAAATCGGCCGAACTTTTAGGATACCCTCAGACTATGGCGGGGGGGGGGGGAGGGGGCCTGTGCGATTAGGAAAACCGTTTTTTACCGCGTCCCCATAAATTGCAATCGACGCATATACAGCTGCCACATCTCCACATCAGGTCACCCCTAAAGTCTGAACCCCCCCCACACTCAACATGTGAATCACACCTCGCTCGGTCCTCGCTCGTGTACACACAGCACACACAGCACACACGTTCAGACCGGTATCCCGTGCCCGTCGGTCGACGCGAGGGAGGCGTCGAGCGCGGAGCCGCGGCTCCGCTTCTCGAACGTGTCGTCGGCGAACGTCTCTGTGATCTCGCACGTCATGCCTTGCGAGGCGAGCGTGTAGACGCGCCAAAAGAAGCCGCTGCCGGACGAGTCGCGGCCGCGGCCGACGGAGCGGAGGTGGAAGGTGGGGAGCACCCCTGCGGGCGAGGGCCGACGCACGAGCCTCGGGCGGGCGGGTCGGGCGCGGTGGGCGGGGATGTTGGCGGCGCGCGCGCCCATGACTCGGAAGACGGCGCCGAGGGGCGTGCCTCGCCGCTCGACCATCTCTTCCCAGGCCGGGTCGGTGAGGTAGATGGTCGACTTTGCGTGGAGGAATGGCTCGCCGCGCACGAGCATCGTCACCTGCGGCCAGGGCAGGCCGCGCTCGCCGCCGGCGCGGTGCGCAGGGGCGCTGCGTGGCTCTGCGTGTGTGCGCGTGCGTGTGTGCAGAGAGGGCGGAGCGGCTGCTGCTGCGGCGGAGGCCTGCCGGTCGTAGACGCAGGGTGAGCGCTTGTGGTTGAGGTTGACGAGCACCGTGAGCGGCTCGTAGTAGAAGGAGGAGACGATCCGCTCCACGTTCCCGTTTGCGGTCAGCAGCAGCCGCTGCAGCGGCGAGAAGCCGTTGGGCAGTGTGACGCCAGTCATGTGCGGAGACATGATGTCGCCGAAGGAGGGCGCGACCCGCGGCCGCTTGGCGGAGACGCGGCCGCCTCCGGGCCCGTCCGACGGCGCGAGCACGTCGCCAGCCGCGTCGGCGGCCGGCCCGCCCGCGTCGTTTGTGTCGCCCGCGTCGTCTGCGCTGTCGCACGGCGCCGAGGGTGAGGGCGACACGAGCGCGCCGAGGACGTCGCTCCGGATTCGCTCGTGTATCTCGCAGACGACGCCCTCGCCACTGAGCAGGTAGTCGCGCCAGATTTGCTCCCCGCCAGCGTCGCGGCCCGCAGCGGTCAGCTCGAAGGTTGGCAGGATGTTGAGGTGGCGGAAGAGCTGGCCGATGGCGACTCCGCCGTCGGCGATGGCCGAGATGCAGTCAGCGCGGGTGATGTGCAGCCGGGAGGTTGCCTCGGCAAACTCGGTGCCGCCGCAGAGGAGTGTCACCTTGCGCTCGAACTCGCCCGTCGCCACCTCGCGCGAGTAGACGACCCGGACGCTCACGCTCGTGTTGTGATAAGACGATACGAGCCGTTGCAGGTTGCCGTTAGCCGTGAGGAGGACGCGCTCGAGGGGCTCGAACTCGCCTAGCGTCGGCAGCTGGCCCGGCGTGCCGCCCATGATGTCGCCGAGACTTGAAGCAGCCATTTGTGTTGGTGGCCGAGCGCGGACGGGCGCTAACTACGGGCAACTGTTGGAGAGTGTGAACTCAAACCTACTTCCTGACCGTAGCCTGACCGTCCTTGTGTAACCGTCTCATGTTTGGTTTGTCCTGCCGCGCACATTGTCATGCTGTTGGGTTTCTCCTGCCGCGCACATTGTCATCGACTTGTATCCGACTTGGTGGCCGAGCGCGGACCAAAGCTCGCGGCGAGTTTTTCTTCTCGAGGTTCTCGATTTGGCGCGTTGGTAGCGAGGATTGGTGTAACCCGAGCCACGGAGGCGTGATTTCTGACGGCCGACCGTCAGTGCACGGAGTTGCCCCTTCTCCGACTGCCCCGGCTAGTTTTTCTTCAGTGGAGGCGCGCCCGGTCGGTGCGGGACACGCCCCGGCCGTTGGTGAACCCGCCGGCGCGAGTGGCGCGTGGTGCGGGACCTGACGCCGACCAGGAGGACTTACTTTGCGCTCCGAGAGTGGCCCCGGTGTGCTCCTTCGAAACGTGCATGAGTGATCGCGACCGCGAGGTGGTGCGAGCGAGAGGCGGCGCGGGAGCGGATCCGCCCGGTGGAGGAGGCGGGGAAGATGCTGGAATGGGACTGGGGGAGTGAGCGGCTCGCGGTTGCCGAGTCGTGCCTGTGCCATCCCGTGTGCGTGTCGCTGAAGGGAGCCGGCTCGGGTTCGGGTTCTGAGGCTGCCCATGCTCGGTGGATCTCTCTTGTCCTCCCCGACATGACATGACAGAGTGTCCCTTGTGCCTTGTAATGCGAGAGAGACAGAGCGTACGTTGTGTTCTTGTTTTGCATCCGCTTTCTCGCTTTCAGTGTATCGAGTGTAGTAGCTCTTAGGTACATCTTTCAGTGTATGTAGCTCTTACGTACATTCCCGGAGGAGGACTGCTGACAGCGTTTGCGATGATCTTTTGACTTTTGTCTTGCCGAAGCGAAAAGAAAGAAAATTCTTTCACACACGGAGTCGCTTAGGCGGCTCCGGTGGTGAGCCGGTGTGTGTGCCAGTCCGCGCCAGTCCGCGCCCTTGTCGTGCCAGCGTGCCGCGAGAGAGCTTCGGTAGAATTCTTTCACACCAGGGCGAGGGCGTCCAGCGAGGTTGTACCATGACTTTGGCGAGGGCGTCCAGCGAGGTGAGCGAGGTGAGCGAGCCCAGGGACGAGGAGGCTGGCCAATCGTTCCGGCTGCTGGAGAACAGTCTTGCGCTAGCGCGCCGCCAGCTCGCGGTCCAGACCTCACTCCTCGGCGACGCGCAGCAACGGGCAGCCGCTCGGGCCACTGCGCCGGCGGCGCTTGAGCGCGCAGTGTCCTGACCTCCCACGCGCCCTCGCTCAGGTGGAGATGCTGGTGGGCCAGCAGCAGCAGCTGGTGGGCGCCGCGCCCGCCCACGCGGCGGACTCTGCCGCGGCCGACGCGGCGCCGGTGCTCGCTCGTGCGGACGCGACGATGGTGGACTCGGACACCAAGGTTGCGCGGTTGCGAGAGCTGCTCGGCGCGGCGGTGCGCGCCCGGTCGGAGCAGGCCAGCGAGCTGGCCAGCCTCCGCGCGGACCTCTCCGCGGAGCGCTCTGCGGCCGGCTCGCTGCGAGCGCAGCGGAGGCGCGAGCTTGCGCAGCTGCAGGAGGCGGAGTTGCGGGTGGAGCAGCTGAGCGAGGAGCTGGGCGCGCTGCGCGCGGACTCGCAGGAGCGCGTGCGCGTGCTCGAGGGCCGCATTGCGGACATGGAGGAGGCGGAGCAGAAGCGAGTGGCGCTCGAGGAGGCCCTTGCGGCGGCAGGCCCTCCGCCCGACGCGCCGCCGGTCGCGGTGATTGCAGCCCCGGCGACAGCCGCCGCGGACTCCGGCGTCCCGCCCGGTGGGTTCGAGCTCTAGACGGCCTTGTCGACATTCGTTCGCGCGCCCCGTCATCTTGAGGCGTTATGCGTCAGCTTCACGTGTGAGCCTGGCGTGGTTGCTCGCCGTGTGACGGTTGACACCAGACGGAGACGCAGACGCACGGCCGCGGGTGGTAGTACGTGCGTCGTGCGTCTTTTTGCTGTTTGCTCGAGTATAAACATGAAACGGAAGCATGGAGTCGTCCCCGCGGCCGCCCCCACCCACCGCTGCCACCTGCACGCCCTGCACGCCTCTCTGCTCTCCGTCACAGGGATATGACGCCTCCCCCATGAGCCATGACCCCCCCCCACACACACACACAAAACATAAAGCGGACCGTTTCTCTCCGATACGTGTAATCATGCCGCCCGATAATTGACGATAAAATATCTATTCCATCGATTGCACCCCCTCTCACAGTCTCACTGTGCGAGCTCACTATTTGCATCCGGCTTTTCAACACCCGTCTCTAGTATCCTTCAACACCCGTCTCTAGTATCCGAATAGTCCGTTTATTTATTATTTTTGTGTATGCACATGCATATCACTAGCGCGCGTGGCACGATCACGTCCGTGCGTGCGAGCGCGCCCCCCGCGCGCGGGCGAGAGATCGACGAAGAGGTCAGGCACCCCGCCCCCGGCGTGTCACTTGGAGGTCTCTCGCTCGACTCGCTCGACCAAGCGGGACAGCGCTGAGGTTTTCACGAGATCGCGGTCGAGGCCGCCCACCAGAGAAGCAATCGCCGCGGCAAACGGCGCCCCACTGTCAAACAAGCGATCGAGAAATTCGACCATCGCCTCTTGACAGGCGGCGGCGCCCTCGGGGAAGAGGATCCGCAGTGAAGAGAGCAGCGTGGGGAAGCTGGGCAAAGAGCCCTCCCCGAGGAAGGTGAAGAGCGGCAGTAGGGCGGTGGCCATGAGCTCGCACAACTTCTCGTCGCAGAGCGCAGCGCAACAGTAGTCTTTGGCCTCGGCTAGCCACGTGCGCCACGCATCCTCGTCGTTCGCGTCGAAGGGGCCGGAACAGAGTGCAGCGAGCACCTCGACTTGGCTGCGGCCGAGGCGGTCAAGTGCCGACGCCTTGGCCGACGCAATCAGCTCGACTGCGATGGGGAGGTAGGAGCCAGCGGGCAACGGCGAGACATCCTCAAAGCCGACCGGAAGCGGCATCGTATCGCACTTCTGGCCCAGCAGAAGTGCACGCTGCTGGGGAGGAAGCGCCACTAGGGCCGTGACGCAAGGTGTCGTCAGGCTGGGGAGGTCGGCGAGCAGAGGGGAGGCCACGGAGAGGGCAGTAGCCTGGGCGGCTGGGGACCGGCAATCGAGCGAGCTGCAGAGGACGCCCGTCACGGACGCGGTGAGCGGGCCGCAATCTCCCCCAGAGAGTAGCGCGGCGGCAACGCGTGCGAGCTGGGCGCGTACTTCCCACCACGAGTCCTCCACCAGGACCTGGAGCCGGGGCAGCATGTCGAGGACGAGGGCGTGAGAGCTGCCGCACAACACCGGGAGCATCGAGAGCGCTGACGCTCGGACGCGTGCAGAGGGCATCGAGAGCGCGATGACGGCGTAGTAGACGTAGAGGTCCAGCAGCTCGTCCGAAAAGCTTTTCTCGAGTCGGACGAGCTTGGCAAGGCAGAAGAGGAACGCTTGCTGGTCGCACAACGCGTCGTGCAGCAGCTTGAGCGTGCCAATGTGGCCGTCGTCGGTTGGTGCGGTGAAGGCGTAAACAACCTCCAGCAGCAGGGTTGCGTGGTGCGGTGCTGCCTTCAGGAGCGGTACCAGGACAGGGAAGCCAAAATCTGCAAGGAGTTGACCCGCTGTCGTCGCGTCACGGCTGAGGAGAGCCCGTCCAGTCGCGGCTAGCGTGTCAGCCGCAGCTGCCGCAGCCGCAGGGTGTTCTGCCGACGCAATAGCCGACACAAGCAGGTGGAAGAGGGCCCAAGCTTCGTGCGGCGAAGCAGCGCACGCCGCGGCGAGACTGTTCGCATCAGCTCCAGCCGCGCTGAGTGCGGAAGCTGCGGCTGCGCTCTCGAGTGTCGGCAGGCGCTTGAGGAAGTCGTTAAACGGGTCAGCAGCGAGGCGGTCGGTCAGATTGAGATGCGGTGCCACGGCAGTCACATGCTCGGATAGAATCGTGAGCACGCCGCGCACGTGCGGCTGCGTGAGAAGCTCCCTCTCATCGCCGCTTGATGGTGTCGGCGCGACGGAAGTCTGACCAGCAGCCTCTTGGCGATCGAGCCCCCGGGCGCGCGTGCTTGTTGGTGAGTCTCGGTTAGCGCGCAGCTGGGCAATGTTGCGTTCAACCGGCCGGACCTTGACATCTTGAAAGGTCACTGGGATCGGCGCTGCCGTTTCTTGCGTCATGGGCTTATGCGTGCCGCGCATCACTCGCTGTGAGGCGACGGCCCTGTAGCTCGTCGCGAGCTTGCTGGCAAGCGCCGCCTCCTGCAGCTGAGTGCGCGTGGCCGCATGGTGCTCTTCCAGGATCGCACCGGCCTTGCTGGCGTGCGTGTCGCGGTCTTGCAGCAAGGTCTGCTCCTCGGATAGAGTGATGTTAGACCTCAGCAGGCTCGTTTCGTTCGGGCGGGCGTAGGATGGGATCGACGCAGGGTCCACTGTCGCAATCTCCCGCCGCTTTGGTTGCCGGCCTGTCAGCAGTGTATAGATCGCAGAGATGAGCTGCGCAGGCGCCTCACACGACTTACTGTGCACCACGTCGTTTATCACGCCTCGGTCGAGCTTGATTCCCTTCTTCGCGAAGAATTTGCTCAGCAGCGCCCAGTTGTCAAGCTTCCGCTGGAGGGACTGGCCATTGTCATACGAGTGCATCTCGACGTCGTGGACATAGTAACGAGAGAAGATCTCTGCAATCAGGAACCCGTTGGCAAAGTCGCGTCGCACGTTCTTGACCGAGTAGGACAGATCCAGACTCTGCAGCCACTTGAGCTCCTCCCTGCTCGCAGGGGCGCGGGCAAGGGGTTAGCGGCATCAGCGCAGCACGATCGCAATGCTCGTTCAAACCATCCCAGAGAGGAACCCGGGAGGCAGTATCTCACGCCCACCTTCCTAAGCGAGCCGCGCTGACGCTGCCAGGAGGTTCAGCCGGCATGCCTCCGCCGTGCTTTGTGGGTAGCACTTTGTAACGACCGCCGCCTCTTCGTTTCGGTGATGTGTATATGTCGTCGTTTCGGTGATGTCGAGAGGGCAGCGGCGCAGGCCGGACACCTCCCGGCGCGTGGTATGTTCGCGAGCGAAAGCGAAAGCAGCGATGAGGACCCGGAGGTTGTGACCTACCTCCAGCTTGAGGTAGCCCGAACTGCTGCCGCTGAGGAGCGAGCGGCCTTGAGAGACGCAAAGCAGAGGAGGGCTGAGGAGGCCGCCCTTGCCATCGCAGCAGTGGTGGACAGCAATCCTTCACCCAGTGTCTATGAGATCAAGACAGCTGTTGCCAACGCTCTAGCGCCGAGGCGTGAGGGAAGCACAGATGGACGCACACGGCAGCATCTCGGCAACATCTCGGCAGCATCTCGGCAACGCCAGCCGCAAATCGATGAGCCTGTCTATACTCGCGCGCCAGCCAGGCAAGCGTGCCTAGAGCAGAGCGTGCGATTGATCCAGGCGCATTTTCGTGTCGTGCAGTTGCGACGGCGGGAGCTGGAGGCGGAGCGCTGCGTGCGATTGATTCAGCATCACGTGAGAACGGTTCAGTCACGATTGCGCGCCGCCCGGTTGCGAGCCACGCAGCTCATCGCTGTACGCTGGAAGAGAGCGTTTTCCCGACGCAAGCTCTGGGCCTTGCAGTCTGCAAGACGCCATATGCATGCATCTAGTGTGCGAAGGCTGCTGCAGTTTTGTCGACGGCGCTGGTCGAGTCGAGCGAGGCAATCTCAAGAGGCCTTTGCGCAGAAAGCAATTCAGGAGATGATTGCAGCTCGGGAGCTTATGCGGCTGCTTCGTGAAGCGTCGACAACATTGCGCGAATGCTTTCTCACAGCCCACACTTATCCTGCTGTAAGCCCACCACACAGCGTTCTGTGCCGACTCCTACTAGCATCGGCGCTGCAGCTTGCCCTACTGAAGCGGCTCCTGGCAACGCACCTTCAAGGGCTATGCAGGCTCGCCCTCCGGAAGCGTCTCCACGAGCGGCAGCAGGACCGCGCCCTGCGAGAGGGACAGGCTGCCGCCGTTGTGCAGAGCCGGTGGTGGCGGCGGCAGAACGAGCGAGCGCAGCGGGCAGCACTAGAGGCGGACGTTGACGCTCGACGGGCGCGAGAGGCGGAAGAATGGGACGCCAGCCAAGCCCCTCCTGAGACGCAGGGAGAACGAGAGAGGCAGCAAGTCGCAGTCTACAGGGAACCTGGAGTCTGGCGCGTTAAGGCGCTCCAGCGCCTCTGCCGCCGGTCTCTCTCGTGGTGGCGACGCAGTGCGGCGCGAGCCATGGCGCTCACCGCCGAGATTCCCAACCCGGCGTTGGCGAAGACACTTCGCACTCTGCAGCGGCTGTATCCTCTCGTGCGACAGCATGCATTCCGGAGATTCGACCTGCTGGTGTATGACCCTCAGTCTGGCTGCCTCTCCGGGGCAAGGGTGAGCCGGAGCGAGCACGGAAGGCTCATTCCTCGCACTCTTTGGAGAGTCGACCTTGGTCAGCTCAGTGTGCGGTACAAGGGGTGGGCTCCGCACGGTGTCAGGCTCTTCCGCTCGTCACCGCAGGGTGGCTTCTCTCAGGTGCCCTCCCTCTGCCGCATCAAGCTCATCGAGTGGGCTGAGTTCACCACTTTCGTTCGCGCCACCCGTGGCGGCGAAATCGCATTAATGCCGTACAGCCCGGTGCGGCTTCGGGGCAAGGAAGACGCGATGCAACGAAAGGAGCTTGCAACACTCCGAGTCCTCTTCAGAAGGATTCGTCACGAGTACTTCCCCGGGCGCTTGGGGACGCCGTTTGAGCAGATGCGGCGAGTCGGGCTTACTCGGGGCGACGCGCAAGCTCACTCTGGGCTCAACGAGACTGTTGGCCGCGTTGCTGAGCTTACGCGTCAAAACTCCAGTCTCGAGCGCGCAGATGGATGGCTCGAAGTCATACGGTCGCGGAATCGCTCCCTTCAGCACGCGTCGCGCTCTCGTTTGCCGGCACTACCACGTTCAAGATCGCTCGCCGGCCTTTCGTGGCCTGAGCCTCGGAGATCGCCTGCCCCACCACTGCCACACCTCAAGGGCGGTGGCGCGCTCCATTCGGCGGTGTGGTTGCCCAGAAACTGCGCTCGGGCCTCGACACAGAGAAGGGAGCGGCCGCCTTCATCCGTCAGGCCCGTGAGGGAAGCGTCAGAGCCGAGGGCTGCTGCGAATCAGCAGTAATTGAGTACGCGATGTCAGCCGCGCATGTGCACCTCCTACCTCCTAGCACCTAGGCCCATCTGCCATCTACCAGATCTGCCATCTCGCGCCCCACAATCGGGGGAGGACGACCCCGCTCCCCGGCTGATCGCATGGGCGGGGACTTGTGAGCTCCTTTTTACCCATCTTCTAGTAAGGGTGTCCGTTTTTATCTATTACTACAGTGGGAAGTAGCTGCCGCCTTGTTCATACGCGGCTCCAGCGAGTTGCTGCTCCTCGATCCACTCCCTCGCGCGCTGCGTCTCACCACCGGCCAACGTCGCGAGGGCATCGATGCGGATTCCTTGCTCTCCCGCGGCCGCCAGGGCCGCCGCCAGAGCCTCTTGGCGCTCGACTTCGCGGCATTCTTCAAGTAACGCCTGCGAGCGAATGGAGCCTGGTCTCGTGAGAATCAGCACGCAAACCTGGTCGTGCAGCGGGGCCTTTTCTTCGGGCAAACCTGGTCGTGCAGCGCCTCGAGCGACGAAGGCTCCTGCCCCGACAGCAGCAACCTGCCGGCTTGGCCCCAACCCGCCCTCCCCTCCGGGATGTGCGGTCGAAACAAGCAGTACATCTCGTATGCGCGCCGGTTGCCGTGAGCCACGAGCGCCCTCCGGGGCAGGGCCGCCGCCAAGTGAGCCAGTTTGATGTACGCCTCGCCAAAGCGCGCGCCGAACGCGGCAGAGAGCGAGCGCTGGGCCTGCAGCGGGCTCGCCGGCTCGGGTGCGGAGTCGGAGTCGTCGCCGGTCGCCAAACGCGACAGCGTGAGGCCACGAAGGCCGCGACTGGTGTACAACGCCGGCACGGCCTCTCCCAGCAGGTCGACCGACTGGGTTGCAGCGTCAAACTTGTTCGTGGCCGGCTGCGGCAGGCCGAGCGATCGGCCTTTTGCTCGCGCAAACATCGCGGCTAGTGCCGTGGCGAGCGAGAGGGATGCTTGCCAATCATGTCCAAGACGCTGCGCGACGCAAGCGGCCCACAGCGTCAGCGCCGGGCTGCGGTTCACGAGCACAGGCGTCTCGGAAAGAGGCGCCTCGCATCGGGGCGGCTGCAGGGCCGCCTCGTCGCACGGTGGTCTCGCGATTGCACCGCTGCGCTTCCGCTTGCGCGCACCGTCGGGCTCGTCCGCACAACCTGCAACTGAGGCCTCACCTCGCTCGGCAGCCTCCTCGGCCAGTCGGTCCCGCAGCTGCTCAGCCTCCTGGCGCTTTGCCTGGCAGACGGAGGCGATCGAGGGTGCCAGATTCGGCAGGGAAAGCACCCGATCCAGCTCTTCGTACGCCACATTCGCAAGCCATTCGCTGCCGCAGCGCGCTGCTTCTCTCAGAGCCATGTTGGCTGCAGAGGCTCGCGCCTCCGATCGACCCGTGAGCTTGGCCACAAACAGGAAAGCGGCGCGTGCGTGGGGATAGTCCTCGGCGCGGTTCGCAGCGTGGCCCACGCGCTGGAGCAGGCGGGCGTCCTGCATTGCAAGATACAAGCCTCCCTCCGCAGGGTAAGAATGGGAGGTACACTCACGGCTTGAGGGGACAGGGGAAGTAGGGTATGCGTGAGGTATGAACGTATCGGGGTATCTATTTCCATCTTCGGGGTAGGCAGGTAAATCCTGCCGTTGCGCCAGGTATGCATACGCTGGTACTTAAAGATACTTCGTAGACGCAAGCTAGACGTATGCTGGTATGGGGAGTTTGAGACGCACATATGGCAGTATGTTGCAACTCGTCTCAAGTACACAGGTAGCGGCGGTCACACCCGCAAGTATGGGTACAGGGATACCACTCCTTACGTGGTCCCGCAACCCCCCCAAGTACCCAGGTATCTCGGGGGCGCGCTCCAGTATCTGCAGTATCTGCAGTATCTGCAGTATCTGCAGTATCTGCGGTATCTGCAATATCTGCAGTATCTGCAGTATCCGCGGTATCCGCGGTATCTGGGTCGTCTGTGGCAACAGGTGGGTGGGGTGTGGCAGCACCACCCTCGCAGCCCAAATGCAAGACATGCCACACGCCCCACGCAAGCGAGGTTAGTAGGCGCCCCTCGCGAGACTCGCAAGAGATGCCACACCCCCCTCGTAATAGTGCATATTCTGCTTTTGGCAGCTGTTCCACCGAGGCTGAGGGGTGCCGCAGCCGCTGTTGTATAGCGCAATCGGCACCCACCCGTATCTGCAGTATCTGCAGTATCTGCAGTATCTGCAGTATCTGCAGTATCTGCAGTATCTGCAGTATCTGCAGTATCTGCAGTATCTGCAGTATCTGCAGTATCTGCAGTATCTGCAGTATCTGCAGTATCTGCAGTATCTGCAGTATCTGCAGTATCTGCAGTATCTGCAGTATCTGCAGTATCTGCAGTATCTGCAGTATCTGCAGTATCTGCAGTATCTGCAGTATCTGCAGTATCCGCGTACAAGCGGCGAAGTCTGTGGTATTGAAGTATGCATGCTTCGCCATACTTCGACACTTGTGTGTGGGAGGTATGGCAGTATTGTGCCGCCCCTCTCGCAGTATTGCAGTACGAGGAGGCCGGACGCCGGTATCCGGGTACCGGGCGCACTGGGCACGAGTACAGCAGTACGGATACCTGGCCCTACCACAGTGTGAGTCCTTGTCAGGTATGGCAGTATGGCGCTGACTTCCTAATGTACCCCAGTATAACCAGCCATTCGTGCCGTACGGATACTTTATACCCTACTTACCCTTGTCCCCTGAGCGATCAGAGGGTCGGGCTCACACAGGAAGAAGAATTTTCGGAACAAATTGCGTTAAGCATGGGGCAAAGACATGGGCTCTATGGCTCAGGCTGGACTCCTCTTGGTCCCTTCTGGTGCCCTAGGCCACACCTGGGCCTTACCTGGGGCTCTACACGGTACCGTGTAGGGGCCAGGCAGGGTTTCGGGTTTGCCCCCCGAAACTGGCCCGGAGGACCTTAATATGGCGCCGACGGTGGCTCGCGGCCGCCCACACCCGGAAAACGGCAGCGTGGGGGGCACCTCGTGTAGCAACACACAAACAAAGCAAACAACACAAAGGCTGGGTAGTAATGAAAACGTAAACAAAGTGCCGAAACAAACGCAGAGAGATCGGGTCTCTGGATCGGATGCCCCACGACGCGGGCAGGCTACTTTGCCGCTTGCCGCGGGCTCCCTCGGATCGGGGCCCCGCACTGCCGTGCCGCGACATTCCCTCTCCACCCCTCCCGATGGACCACGGAGCTCTACTGCCTCCTCTGTCGCTCTCCTGGCCCAGTCCCCATCGGTAGCAAGCCTGAGTTGTCCCAGACCGCACTTATCTTGGGTCTTTAAGCTCACACCGGCTCGTGATGGCACGGAGAGGGCTCGAGATTGTCTCCGGTGGACCCCATCCGAGCCGATTGTGAGGGCTTTCCGGAGGTCATTTTATCGGCGCCATCTCGACTGTGTCTGTGAAATGTCCCGACCCCTCTGGGGGGAGGCGAGGGCCCTAGGGGGTACCCATGCGGGGGGGAGATGGGGTCCCCCAGCCCGCCGCAGGCGCCGATTTTTTCGGCATTTTTTTCGCCCGATTTTTTACTTGTTTTCATGGGAATTCGGCGTACTTGCGCCATGCTATCACGCCTTGCGACATCCTTTCGGCGCTGCTGACCGTGCCATGCTGCTCAACTGACCGCCTGCATAGCTCGCGGCCTTAGTCTTCGGCATTCAGTGACGACCTGATCGTACGGCCAGTAGGGAGGTGTCCTTCCAGCGCGTGCACGCTTCTGACGCAATGCGCGTCACAAACTGCCTCGGATTGGCTGCTGGCACTCTCGAGGCTATGCCTACACAGCCTCGCGCGCATGGGCAGTCAAGAGGGACCATGCACCTTCTCAGGACAGCGCCGGTGCCTCTCTCTTGGACCGGCAAACGTGGTGGTCTCGTGTCACCGATGTGGGACCAGTGCGGCATCGCGCCATCGACAGCTCTGAACTGCGCCTCACCACTGACCGGGAAGGCCGCCAAGTGGGCCAGCACAGGTCGCACATTGTGGCAGCAGTCAGCAATGCATGTCTGATAGCTAGAGCAGCAGCATCAGGGTCGCAGGGTCGGATCGTGTCAAGCCTCTCGCCCGGCCGGCCGCGTGCAGACGTTGGCCTGTCTGCTGTCTGGAGTGATCTGTCGGCGGTCAGTACGACCGATCAGGTCGGAGTTTTCTGATGGTTGGAGGGTCTATCTGTATGTACTCCTCGAGATCTCTCCAAATCTGCCCTCTACTCAACCGTACTCATTCGGGAAGTCGGTGCTAGTAGAGACTAGTAGAGCCGGAGCCCCGTTTCCGCACTGCTGCGCACGGCGCACGGTGCCTCCGGGGGCCCCCGCCTCCCCCCAGAGCCGACCCACAGGCCCTTGTCCGCACAGCCCTCATTCACCAGGCGCATGGATGCAGTCATAATATGTAGCCCTTCTCTCCCGAATTTGGGAGCAATAGCCGTAAATAGTACTTTTTGGCACAAGCCGCCTAGTCTGGCCCCGGTTTACTTTCTTTGCGGTATCTTGACGTATCTCTCCGTATAGGCTGACCGTATCTCCCGCCGTATCCCGCCGTATCCTGGCCCGCCTCCACGGCTCACGCCGAGCAGCCTGGCCCTAGGCCCGGCCTCTCCGCGTTCTCCAGAGAGAGCGCGAGCAAACAAAAAAGAAACTTAGACGTCGATGACGAGCTCTCGCCAATCATGGGAATCGACAACTCGACAAGCGGGGCCGTCGAAGCGCGAAGTTCGCCCGTCGCGTCCGATTTGCGGTTTCACGCTTCACGGACGTCGCCCGTCAACCGCTTCAGCCCATGATAGACGCCAAACTGGACCGCAGCGCTCGGCACGCTCTTGAGAGCGTAGAGCGCGCCGCCACGGTAGAGGCGAGCCACGCCGCCCTCGCAGAGGAGCGCGCGCGCCGCCTCGAGGTACGAGAGCGTCTCGGTCCCGCGGTGCCACTGGATACGGCGTCGGACGGTGTCGTTTGGGTACATGACCATCCCGGCGAGGAGGGAGGCCAAGGTACCGTTGATCGCCGGCGCGAGCCACCAGTCGGCGCTGCGCGCCTGAAGCCAGCCGAAGGAGCCAAAGCGGGTGCCCTCAAAGGCCACCGCGCCGGCCGCCGTCGCCCCGACGCCGCGGTAGAGCGCTCGGACGCCGCCTCCCTCGCGCATCAGTGATGCCGTCACGGCGCCGAGTGATGCCGTGCTGACCGCCGCCGCCGCGCGCGTGCGCAGCAGGTCGAGCGGGTAGGTCAGCAACGTCGCGAGCACGCCGGCGAGCGATCCGGCCACAAAGTCGTGCCCAACGCGGACACGCAGTGCGTCCTGCGCCGCAAAGAGGATGGCCTTGGAGGAGGCGGCGCGCGCGACCGCCAGCCCGTTGCCGCGCCACATGCCCGACCAGCCCTCAGCGGCGAGCACGTTGCGGGCGGAGGCGAGCGCGCTGGCGTCGGGCCGCGTTGTCTGCCCGACGAGCCGCACGCGCTCGAGCGGCGAGACGACCGTCTTGCCGACGGCGCCAGCCACCGCGCCGTTGACGAGGCGCGTCGCGTGCCGGCGCGAGTCGCCGGCGGAGGAGGGCATGTCGAGCACACCGCTGCTGGTGACGGCGGGCGGGTCGTAGATCGCGTGGATCTCTGCCGACTCGAGCCCTCGCGGCCGCGGCAGCTCGACGCCTCCCGACTCAAAGCAGGCGCGCGCCTCGGATTCGATCCACGCCTGCCTCGGCCGGCAGCTCGGGTCGTCCGCGAGCCACTCGGAAACCGCGGCACCAACGAGAAAAGAATTTTGGGTAGCAGCGCGAAAAGAAGTGAGCAAATCCAGAACGAGGCGCTCTACCGGGCCTGCCGCGCGTACGGCTTAGGTGAGCAATTCCTCGCTGCGGCGCAGGACGAGGGCACATTCGGCGAGTGGCTCGACGAGCTACCCTTCGAGGTGGCTGCGGCGACCGCCCGGCTGCTCAAGCACCACGCGCGCTCCGGCGCGTGGGTCGAGAGCTCTCGCCCGGCAACCCTAGCCAGGCCTCACGCGCTGGCCGCGACCGCGACCGCTCGAGCCCGAACTGCCCGTCAGACATTGTTTGTGTCTGTGTGTCGCTCGTGCGTGCCGTCATCATCTGACAAAACAAATCTCATCATGTGTCCGGCGTCCACCCATACCGCGTTGGTGTCCAGTCCGAGCCTGGCTGTTCTTCACCTTTCTACCTACCTCAGACATGTCGGAATTGTCGGAGAATAGCGACTAGCACACCTCTGAGTCCCAGAAACCCGAGCGAGAGGAGGAGTCACGATTTGAGAAAAAAATCAGCGACGCCAGTGATCAGCGACGCCGCCAGTGAAGTCAGTGGTGGATCAGCGACGCCCCCACCATGCTGGCTTTTTCACGCCGCCGCCACCCTCGCCTCTTCCTGATGATGCCTCTCCTCACACTGCTGTCGTGCGTGGCCGGCGAGGCGCCGAGCCCGCCCGCCGGCGCGGCGCCCAAGGCGTCCAAGCTCTCCGCCTCGCGGGTGGCCACAAAGCCAGTGCTGGCCGGTGCCGGCGGTCCGCCGTCGTTGGACGGCGAGGACGACGGCGAGGTGGGAGTGGCCGCCGAGCTGGCCGCCGAGGTGGGCGGCGGCGGCTTTGCCCAGCGGCTGCAGGCGCGGCTGCGCGACCTGCTCGCGGGGCCCGAAGCCGGCGGTGAGGGCGAGGAGGCCGGCGCGGCCGAGGCGGCGCCTCCGAAGCGCGCCAACCTGATCATGATGCTGGTGATGATTGGGGTGCGTCTGGTCATGACGCTCTCGCTCATGTACTTTCGCAAGCAGCCGTCGCCCTCCGGCGTGGAGGACGTGATCCGCGCAGTCGGCGTCGAGGAGGGCGTGAGCACGGACGCGGTGGCCGACGCGGCGGCCGGCGCGGTGGCGGCGGCGGCCGAGGGCGCGGCCGGCGCGGTGGCGGCGGCGGCCAAGGGCGCGGCCGGCGCGGCCGGCGCGGCCGCGGCGGCGGCGGCGGCCGAGCTGCCCGCCGGCAAGGTGCTCGAGGTGCTGAGGGCGGAGGGGCTGCTGGCGGCCGTGCGGCTGGGGTGGGCCAAGCTGGCGGCTTTTGCCCGCTCGCCGCAGGCGGCGCCGGCTATGATGGTGCTCCTCATCCTGTCGATGAAGCTGGTGCAGCGGATCGACCCCGATGTCGCGTCCGCCGAGGAGCAACTGGAGGCCGAGGCGGCGGCCGCGGAGGCGGCCGAGGAGGCGGCCGCGGAGGCGGCCGCGGAGGCGGACATCGCGGGCGAGGCGGAGGGCGAGGCGGAGGAGGAGGAGCCGGAGGAGCCGGAGGAGGAGGAGGAGGCCACGGACTCGTCAAACTCGGCTTAATTCAGGGGCGTTGGCGAGGTGCGCGGCAGGCGGCCACGCACCAAGACCGTACATGTTTGGACGTATCGCGGGGTGCACCGTCCAATGCCAGCACTGCCTGGGGCGCGCGCATAGCATGTGGCACGTCCTACTTTTACATTGAAGCGGCCTCTAAACACACTCGCGGCGGAGGTTGATGCAAGGCCGCCCGGGCCACGCGCGCCACGCGGCCGCGCGGGGCGCGGCCCGCGGGGCTAAAGGGTGTGGATGCTGGGTTGAACAATATCGGAGGACGCGACCCACTTCGCCACAGACGGTCCCGCGCCTCGCCGCTATGACGGGGACACACCCCGCACCGTCCGCTGTGTCCCCGTCTTTGTCCGGAGTGAAAAGTCCAACGCGCTCGTCGGTGGCGGCTTCCCTCAACCTGCGCCGCGCTCGGCGAACCTCGACAGCGCTTTCGGTGGCATGCAGCTCTTTGCGACAGAAGCCTGGAGAGCAGCTCCTCTGCTGCTCACACACTCTGCACAGCTGACACAGCCTACTGTGCGGCTGCCACAGCTGTGACAGCGATGGGCTCGCCCTCACTGGCCCTCAGTCACTTGTGCTGCGGCTTGTGTGAGCGACACTGCTCGGCGACTGCCGGCACACTGTGAGACCATGGGTGTGAGGTAAAACCACGCTACCAGCGCTTGGTCACATCAGCCCTGAGGTCATATCCTTCTCCTCTGTTGATGGTAACACTTGTCTACTCGCTGGAGCCGAGCAGGAGGGCTTGGCGCACAACCCCTGTTCAACTCACCCTCCACTCCCCGTAGACCGTTAACGCGTTAGCGACGTATACAATGGGATGCGAGTTAATGCGCGGTTGGGGGTGCCTGAAAAGGGGAGCTCCCTCTCTCCCCACCCCGAGGACCTCTGCCCAAGCTGATGGTGCCCAGCCTAGGGGGCCTCAGGGGCTGTAGAGCCACACCTAGGAGAGGGGGTAGCTCACACCTTGTGGGCCGCACTGACCCTTCTCCCACGTGCCCTTGCCCGCCCCTCTGACCGCCTCCCGAGAGGCCCGACTTTGAGGGGCTGGTGAGAGCCTGCGCGAGTTGCGGATACACCCTGGTCCCCCAGGTGTGAACGTCACGTGTGAACAGTCTCAGTAGCCACTGTGAGTCTCCCGTGACTGCCGTAGTGTCTGTGAATAGTGCGGGGAGCGAGTAGATAGCCGAACGGGGGTTTTCCCCGACCTCCCCGAGGTCGGCCTGCGACCTCCGAGAGGTCTTGCGCCGCTGCACCCGCCGGGTTTTGCGAGCCCGGAAACGCTGAAAAGTAGGCTAGTAAGCGGGTGTTCTGTGTGGCTTGAGTAACAATCAAAGTTCTAATACCGCCCGGAGGTGCTGTCACTCCGTAGAACGAACTAAGTAAACCTCACCGAGGTCGCCACTCAACCTCCCGGAGGTCATGGCAGAGCGTCGGGCGCCATGCGCCCGCTCGCCAGGGCCCGGCCCGGGGAGTGGCAGTCGCTCTTCTTGCGACCTGCGTCAAAGGCTGCAGAACACGCTGCATATCGCCGGTTCACGGGCCCAAGGCGGTGGTTCACGCCTCGGGTCCGGCGGCAGCTCACGCCCTGCACAAGGTAAACTCCCAGTTCCGCAGATTGGTAGCGGCGGCGGGGGAAAGGCTGCAACCAGCCCTTCCCAGCCCAAAACCTTGGCTTCCAGCCTTCCCAAACCCAACCGTTCAGTTGTTGGGTCAAGGGGCGCAGAACCCCCCAAAGTCAACCGTACAGTAGTTCGACCACAAGCGGGAATTTTTTCCCAAGTCGACCCTTCAGAGGTCGCGTCGGAAAAGGGCAAAGTTGAGCTCTCAATGGTTGCATCAGGAGGTTGCAGACGGCCAAGTTGAGCACTCAGCGGTTGCACCAACGGTTGCGAAGATCCCGTCCAAACTTAAGGTCATTCACGGGTGTCCGCGGCCCACTGAGCACTGTGCCCGCTGGTAGGACAATGACCGCCGTAAACCCTGTGATCAGCTCCATGCGATCTCGGATATTTTTTGTAGGCACCGGAACGCCAAAAAACTACTATGTCTTCGAGTGAAAAGTAATCCGAGCAAAGCCGCGGCCGCAGTGAATTAAAAGGGGCGGTTTTCGAGGGGGGATCTGGAGAATCTGGGAATCTGCTCACCACGGACCCCCACCTCATCGAAAAACTTTTCACTCCAAGACATAGTACTTTTTTAAGGTGCTCTACAAGCTAGGCACAAAAGATATGGCATTGCAGGTCATTTAGGGCCCCTTAGACGGTCACTGAGTAGGCCAAAATCCCCACTGGGCCGGGAGCAACCTTAACCCAATAAAGGACGCAAGTTCGATGACATACTCTGCCGACCGGACGGCCGCTTCGGCAGCAGAGATGGGCGACCAGACTGGACAGGGCTGGATGTGCCAGAAGGCAGCGCAGCTCCTCGCTCCAGCGTCGAAGGCAATGCAGCTGGCCAAGGGTCTCATTGTCGGGAAGCTGCACAGCGAGCCTGTCGACACAACCGACTGGTCGACTCTCTCCGAGCTTTCAGGCGGGTACGGTGCGAGGGGCTTCATGGGGATCAACTTTCTGGGCCGATTCTTCACTGCGTCCAAAGTTGGCCGTGGGCATGGCAACCCCACAGACATGGTGCTGAACGAGGCGTACAAGGACCTCTCGCTCATGCTCATCCCCAAGGACGGCCAGGCCGAGGTCTCCTCTTTTGGCACCATGCTCAAGCTGGCCACTTCCACCAAGCAGCCTGACAACTGGAACGGCTGCCAGCCGCCCGACTTCCGCTACGTGCTCACTAGCGGCAACCTCCTGGACGGCACCAACCTCGCCCAAGTCATGAAGCAGCCGCACGCTGACAAGATCCTGCCCGACCACTCGCCAATCGGCCTCGCCCGCATGGCGGCGGGCACGAGTGCCCCAAGATTGGCTGTGATGAAGACGTGGCCGCCCACTCGGACCAAGAAGTCGAAGATCTGGCACAAGCTATCACGAGCAGCGTGCCATCCGATGTCCTCGACCTGGCATTAGCTCTCGCGAGCAAGTTGAATTTGAGCGACTCGCCTTCAAGCACGCCAACGCCCAGCACTGCAGACGCCTTCGTGGCTGCTACTGATCAGCGCCACGTGGGCTATTTCGCACAAAGCGTGGAACCGGCTAATGCATGCCCTCCACGGCAACGGAACCTCTTCACGGTCGCAAAGTGCCTCGGCGCGTCGGGCCGCACCCCGTGGCGAGGCGAGTGCGCCTGCACCGACCACGGCTGCCGCGCAAGACGAACAGGCAGAGGGGCTACGCCGACTGGCGGCTCAGCGGATCGGTCGCCTGTTGCAGGCCCGCCTGATGGCAGCCGCTGCAGCTGCGGCTCCTCCGCCACCACCGATGGTAACGGCGTTCGCCACGCCAATCGCGCCACCTCCAGCGCCACCTCCAGCGCCACTTCCGGTGCCGCCTCCGGCGCCACCTCCTGCGCCACCTCCTGCGCCGCCCCCTGCACCACCTCCGGCGCCGCCGCCGGCGCCACCTCCGGCGCCACCTCCGGCGCCACCCCCGGCACCACCTCCGGCGCCGCCTCCTCGCGGGCGCCGTCGCGCCGCGCGCGCCCAATTCTGCTGGCACACGGCACGCGTCGTCACACAGCCGCGGAGAACAGGCGGTGCTGTGCGTGAAGCGCGCGCGATCTCGTACTTTTAAGGCTGGATCCGGCCATTCCAAGGGTATACCTTTGAGAATCCCCAGCGTCTCACCCTCCTAGTCACACTCTCAATATCTCGACCAGGTGTGTATTCTTTTTGCTTGGGGTGGCCAGCATGCCGGGGTAGGTAGGGTAGGTCTGGGCACTCCCGTCGGGGTTTTCCCTCTCTTCACGCCGGAATTTTCAAAAAAAGAAATTTTCGGCGAAAATCACGACGTCAACCCTCCCCAAGTGGGTGATCTGGTGCTTGTAGGGCTTGATAGTGGCCTGCCATGTCACAGGAAGGACTGTGATTGCAGGAGAGTACCACCAGCCATCACTTTAGTTGGTATAGTACCCCACCTTCACCCATACCGTGATTTTCTTGCATTTTTGCTCCCGGCTGAGGGAGCAAGCAAGCCCACCCACGCTTATATACTCACCATTCTTACAGTGGTGTAGCTTGCGCATCGGCTGCAGCCTCTGCTGGGGCGGAATGCGCGGGGTTTTCGGCGCGATGCCCTCGGTGAGTACACGCTACTGCGGTGCCGCAAGCTCTTCTGCGCGCGCGTGACGTGTGGGACGCGTGCGCTGCGCTCAAACGTCGCGATTTGGCAATAGGCGCTCGAGCCGGCGCACAGCGGGCGGTTGCGCCGCGCAGGGGGGGTCGGGGGGGTGCGAGAGGGGGCGTGGGTCGGGCGCGCACCGGCAGGCCCTGGGAACGGCCGTCACGTCGAGTTGGGGGGTTGTCGGCGGCTCGAGCGCCGAGGCGTGCCGCTGCTGTGCCGTCGACAGCCCCTCTTCCGAGCCGGCGCGCGGCGGCGAGCCGCGGCCAGTGTCGCTGGTGCGGGGGCGGCGCAGCGTTTACCCCCCCCCCCCCCCGCGCCCGCCCGCCCGCCCGCCCGCCCTCAGGCCTTGCCCCTCCGCAGGCGCGGGAGCGCTCGCCGGCGAGCACCTCCTACCTCTCGTCGCCCGGCTGCTCCCTTTCCCCGTCACCCGCCGCGCCCTCGCCCGGCCGCCTCACCGCGCAAGGAGCGCTCGGCTGCTCGCCGCCGCCGCCGCGCGTCCCGCGCCGCCACGCTTGCCCCCTCTCCTGACGCGCACCGCCCGCGCAGACGGCGCTCCGGGACAGACGGAGCAGCGACCGCGCGCGCGGTCGCTGCTCCGCCCCTCCGTCGCGCGCGCCGCGCGCGCGCTGCGCCGCTGCCGCCGCGCCCCCCTCGCCGTCTGTTTCTTGCTGTACTCGAGTATGGTGTGCGGTGCGCGCACGCGCAGCGCACACAGCAGCCTCCCCACCCCCCTACCCACCCCGTCGCGCCGCCGATGCCGCCCCCGCCGCCGCCGCCGCCCCCGCTGTAGCGTTTGGGGTGGCGACTGGCGACGGCAAAAATGCAAAAACCGCCCCTGGCCACTGTCTTTTTTAGTTTCCCATAAGTAGGGTAGGTAGGTAGGTAGGTAGGTAGGGGCACCGCAGGGGCCGGTCAGGTTTTTCCAGAATTTCAGCATGCTGTCCGCCCCAAGCAAAAAGAATACACACCTGTCTCGACTATCCAACATGAAGTGCTGCGATCGGGACTGCCACATTTCTTTTTTCCTTTCTTTTTTGGGTCGTGTGGGCACCCTACGCACGCGCGGATGGGGCACAGGATCTTTTTGCACTCGTCGCCCACCGTGGCGTACCGCCAGATCGACTTGACCCAATGTACACACCAGTGAGGGAGGGCGAGACTCGAGGGGTCCCGTACCATGCGGAATCGACCCTCTCCACACAGCCTTGTTCACATAAACGCACAACTCCGGACCCAAGACGCACAACAGTCGAGAAGGGGAGAAGCCTTGTTCACAGAAAACACAACGCCATTCACGCCCCACAAGCCTGTCCTCTGCGGATTGTCGCAGGGGTTCAGAGCGCGCGCTGCAAAATGTCCCTCCCTTACGACCTCGACCCGAACTCGATCAAGCCGGGCGCCATGCGCTCGATGACGACAGACAAGCTCGCGTCGTTTTCGCTCGGTGGCACAAAGAAGACAGCCTTTGAGAGGCGCAAGGAGGAGCTCGCCGCCAAGCGCCGAGAGCAGGAGGCAGCGCTGGCTGCAGAGCACGCGCGATTCGTCGAGGAGTTTGAGTCGGGGCCCGAGCGGCCGACGAAGCAGTTTGTGCGCGGGGGCGTGCAGGGCGGCGACGTCGGGGCTTCCAGCAGCGGCAGGCCGGCCGCACCCACCGGCCCTCGCATCTCCGCACCTCAGCGGCGCGGCCCTAGCGCCGCCGCGCGCGCAGCCTTTCAGCCCGACGCCATCGACGGCGAGTCGCTGGACGCCGAGCCGCCCAAGCCGCCTCCGAGCGCTGCTGGCCGGCTGGCGGCAGCGCCGGCGCGCAAGGGGAAGGACAGGGGCCCGTCGCAGATGGAGGAGTTTATGATGGAGCTGCGGCGCGAGCAGGCGCCTGCTCCGCGCCATCCCCGCTCAGCCACCGCGCGCACCACGCCCCGACCCCAACACCCTCCCCCCCGCCCCGCTCCACCCGCGTCACCGCCCGTGCCCCCGCGCCTCCCAACGCTGGTTGCAGGAGGAGCGCGACAGCCGCGGTGAGCGCGACTCGGACGTGCGCAAGTCGGACGCGCCGACTTCCTTCGACAATCAGGCTTGCGCAGCGCCCACTCGCGGCGGACACGCCACGCCGCCGCCTCTGCCTCCTCCAGCCGCCACTGCCTTCTGCCGAGTTGCGCCCGCGATGGCCGATTTGCGGCCCAGGATCCCGACACTACCAACCTGTACATTGGCAACTTGAGCCCCAACGTCAGCGAGGAGGCGCTCTTCCGCTCGTTCCAGCACTTTGGTGCGATTCAGTCCGTCAAGGCGCTACCCCCCCCCCCCCCCCCCCTTCCTCCCCTCACTCGCACACACGCCATCCGCTCACCCGCTCGAGCGTGGCTGCTGCAGATCATGTGGCCAAGGTCCGAGGACGAGCGGCTGACCAAGCGGCTCAACGGCTTTGTCGCCTTTGTCAAGCGGGCCGACGCCGCGCGCGCCAAGGACGAGATGAACGAGACCGAGCTGCTTGGGTACGTGATGCGCATCGGGTGGGGCAAGGTACCGCCCCGCCCGCCGCGCCCGCCGCCCGCCCTCACCCCCCCCCCCCCGCCGCCGCCGCCGCTCTCTCCCCGCCGCACGGTTCCCGCCCCGCCGTCCCCAGACTGTGGCGCGGCCGACGCAGCCCATCACGCTCGCCTCCATCCAAGCCCGCGCCTCGAGCGCCGCGTCCTCGCTGCCCGCGCCGCGGCCCACGGGCATGGCACCCGAGGCGGTGTCTGTGCCGCCCAACCACGAGATCATCGACCGGCTCGCCCTCTTTGTCGCGCAAGAGGGGCACCCCTTTGAGCAGGCGCGAGCGCGCTCGCTCGCGCCGCCCCGCCCCCGGCTCGCCACCGGCGACGGCCCGCCCGCCCGCCCGACGCTGCCGCAGGAGGTGATGTCGCGCGAGGCGGAGAACCCGAGCTACCGCTTCCTCTACGACCGCGGCTCGGCGGAGCACCGCTACTATCGGTGGAAGGTGGCGTCCCTCTCCTCGTCTCTCTCCTCGTCCCCCCGTCGCGACACAGCAGCACTGTCGTGTCTGGCAGTCTGGAGGGGGGGTGGCACCAGGGGGGTCGCGGGCCGTCTAGCGGCGGCTCGCAGAGTGCACTATGTGCCGGGTGGCAACTCGACCCGGCGCTGTCCGGCACTCTTCCCATCAGGTCGTCTCTCTCTGCTGCGGCGACAGCGTGGACGCATGGGACACGGCGTCCTTCCGCCTGCAGCCGGACGGGCCGCTCTGGGCGCCTCCGCCGTGCTCGCGCCCGCCGCCAGCGCGTGACACTGCTGCCAAGCGTGACACTGATGCCAACCGCTCGCGCTCCCCGAGGCGCGCTGCCCCTCCCCACCGCGCCCGCCCACACCCTCCCCACACCCTCCCCACACCCTCCCCACCTCTCCGGCTGCAGTCGCTCGCCGTCGCGATCGCGCTCACGCTCACGCTCGCCGCCACGATCGCGCTCACGCTCACGCTCGCGCTCCCCGCCGGCGCGGGGGCGCAAGTTCGATCGCGACAACCACGCCCGCGGGCTCGAGCGCGGCCGCAGCCCCGAGGGCGGGCGAGAGCTCAGCGAGGAGGAGAGAGATGAGCTCGAGGACCTCTTGCGCGCCATGGTGGTGGAGCGGCAGGTGTGCCCCCCCCCCCCCTCCCACCCCCCCACCCCCACCCTCCCGCACACACCACCCAGCCCTGGGTCGGCCCGAGCCCTGCCCCCGAGCCCTGCCCCCGAGCCCTGCCGCCGAGCCCTGCCCCCGAGCCCTGCCCCTGGTCCGCCTCAGGTGATCGCGGACGGGATGGGCTGGTGCGTGGCGCGCTCGACCGCCTCGAGCGAGATCGTCGAGACCATCACCGAGGCGCTCACTCTCTCCGAGACGCCCGCCCCAAAGAAGATCGCACGCCTCTTCCTCGTGTCGGACATCCTGCACAACGCGGGCACCGCAAACGTGCCGGGCGCCTCCTCCTTCCGCGGCCACTTCCAGCGCACGCTGCCGGAGATGTTCGAGTCGCTGCACGGCTGCCTGATGGGGCTCGACTCGCGGATGGGCGTCGAGACGATGAAGGACCAGGTCGTCAAGGTGCTCTACATCTGGCAGGCGTGGTCCCTCTTCCCGCTCTCCTACCTCTCGCGCCTCGAGCGCACGCTGCTGCACGGCGCGCCGGACCCTGCCAAGCCCGCGGCGGGAGCCGAGCCCCCCGCGGACCGCGGCGACGACTCGGACGAGGACGACGTCGACGGAGAGCCGATGTACCCGCCTGCAGCCGCCTCCGCCTCCGCCCGCGAGGAGGCGTCCTCCGCGCAGGCGACGACCGCGGCGGCTGCGCCGGCCGCAGCCGCCGTGTCGCCGCTCGAGGAGCGGGTCCGCGCGCTCTCGCTGCGGCAGCTGGAGGCGGTCTGCGAGGCCAACGGCGTGTCCTCGTCCGGCTCGCGCGCGGAGATGCTCTCGCGCCTCCTCGCGCGAGGGGCGGCCGGCCAGCCGATCGACTTTGGAGGCGAGGCGTCGCCCGAGGCGCCGCCTCCTCGGCAGCTCTCGCCGCCTCCGCAGCAGCTCTCCGTCCCCACGCGGTGGGACGGCGACGAGGCGGAGGACATCGACGGCGACGACATCGACGGCGAGGACATCGACGGCGAGGCCGTCGCGCCGCCAGCGGCGGCCGAGCCGAAGGCGCAGAGCAAGGCGGAGGGGCGCGAGAGGGCGCCACGCGGCCGGAGCCCAGACCGCGCCAGCAGGCAGGACCGGCCGTTGGAGAGCAAGGCGGAGCGGCGGGATGGGCGCGAGCGCGGGAGCGACCGCCGGCGCAGCCGCAGCCGTGAGCGGGCGCGCAGCCGCGAGCGCAGCCGCGAGCGGGCGCGCAGCCGCTCGAGAGAGAGGAGGGCTCCTGACCGGCGCGGCAAGCGCTCCTCCAGGCTTGGCTGCCCCGCTCTCTCGCCGCCGCATCCTCCCAGTGCGCGCCCTCTCACGCTCCGTTCGCCCTGAACCCAGGTCGAGGTCACGCAGCGCGCCAGACCGGCGCGGCAAGCGCTCCCGGTCGAGGTCTCGCTCGCCTCGCCGCGGCCGGGGCGGCTCGCGGCGGTGAAGGGGGGGGGGGGGGGGGGAGTAGCCCGATTGGCCGTCCGACGCCGTAGAGCTCGTCCCGCCAGTACTCGAGTACACGCACACGTACACACCGACACACATGATACTCCTCATCTGTCTCGCTCTTTTCTCCCTCTCCCTCTCCCTCTCCCCCTCTCCCTCTCTCTCTCTCTCTCTCTCTCTCTCTCTCTCTCTCCGCTCTCTCTCTCTCTGATCACACACACACACACACACACACACACAATGCGCAGTATGTAATATGAATTGCGCCGAGTCGCGGGTGTCTTCTATTGGTCGATGTTGTTTTCAGTACTTGGAGCACTTGGAGGTTGTGGAGTGCAGCGCAGTCTCCAGTCATCAACCTCACAGTTCTTTTTACTTTTTCCGCCAGTCCCGTGCCCAGAGTCGAGTCTCGAGAGCGTGTCTCTGTCGGGTGTGTTCTGTGTGTAGTCTGAGCAGTATCGTGCGAGGGAGCTTTCTCTAAGTCTAACATATTTTTCTTGCATTTTTGCTCTCTCTGCTAAGAGAGCAAGCTGGCAGCCCACTCGTGCAAAGAAAAACATAACCCCGGACCCAAGTAGACGACAAGCACAGACACACAGACAGTCGAGATACGAGAAGGGAGAGAGACCGCGCAACAACAGTCAGTGCGTCAGAGAAGTCACACAAGTCAGCGCACTCACGGCACCCTTTTAGCGCATAGTCACCGCTTTACAGTGGTGTTTTTGTCGCATCGGCTGCAGCCTCTGCTTGGGCCTGGGGCGGATACACTGTGCAAAAAATCTGAGACGAAGAACGTCGGTTCAAGTTTGGCAAACGCTAAACATGGGCGATCCAGCGCTTCCTTTTCGATTGGACGGACGAAGTGATCGCGGAAAGCGCGGGAGCGCATTCGGTGGTTCACCATATGCCGAGCCTGCTCGGCCTGCACGCGCGCGCCTCGCCCGAGCGCAGCCACCGTGCGGACCTGGCCAGCCTGTTCCTGGCTCGTGCCCAGCCTCTCCTTCCGCTGCCGCCGGCCTCGCAGTCCCGCCTGCCATCACGCTGCAGAGCTTGCGTAGACGCCACAGACGCCAATTCTGCAGCCCACAGCCCTGACAACTGAGAGCGAGGGCCAGCAGTATACGACGACGACGACATCTCACACCCCGCGCTGGCCAGCGCCATCAGCCCCTCGCGGCCCGGCCCAACCAGGGCCCAACATCCCTTCGCCTCGCCTCCAATGCCTCCAATCAATGTCGCACCTCTCTTCTTCAGCGAATGCAGCGGCAGCACCACGTCAGAGGCCGGGCCGATGGGCGGACCTGCATGCCCAGCCATGCCCCCACTCCCCACCCGCTTGGATCGATCAGCTGACAACTCCACCCAGCTCCACCACCGCGTGTCGTGTCATGAAGCATGAGATAGACATGAGAAAGCATGAACCATCGAAAGGTCTGGTCTCCAAGAAGGACTCTCAGCGCCCGCCGCGCGCGCCCGCGCCCCGCCCCTTTTGGTTTTGCGCAGCAACACCTTAAATTTCATGGCCCTCCAAATTCAGATCGGAGCGTAAAAGATTCTAACTTTTACGGAAACGGCCAAACGGGGCCATGGCCGACGCTCGCGATGGCCCGTCCGTTGCGGCCAGGCTCAAACTGTGCGCGCAAGCCACAGGAGAGGCGGTGGCGCCGCAAGACGAGGCGATGATTCGCATCCTCTCGCGGCTCGCCGTGGAGAACAACTGGTGGAGCTTCAGCGTCAACCCGACGCCCACGGGCAAGCAGTTCATTGTCCAGCCCCAGTCCCAGTGGGAGAGGGACAGGGAGCGGCAGCAGGCCAAGGAGGGCAGTGCCCCACCGCAGCCTGTGCCTGCTGCCACTTCCGCCGCGGCACCGCCCGCAGCACCGCCTGCCGCCGCTGCAGCTCCGGCAGCAGCACCGCAGGCACACCCGCAGCACCAACAGGTGCAGCAACCCCAGCCCAACGAGTCGCCGGAGGGGTGGACCAGGGTTGGGAAGGGCGGCATGCCGGACAGGTTCACCATGAGGAACCATGGCCGCAAGCCGCCGGGCAAGGCGGTCAAGCGCAAGCCTGACCGCCAGCCCGCACCCAAGGGAGGTGGACCCCCACCCCCCTCTCCCAAGGTGAACAAGAACAGGCTGAGTGCGCTGGGCGCTGGCCCTTCTGGCACCAGCGGGAGCCACGAGCGCGCACCGCCGCGCTCCCCCTCCCCCTCCTCGCCGCCTGCCAAATCACCGCGGCCATCTGCGCCTGCTTCCGAGTATGACTCCGAGCTCGACCAATACTTTTCCGACGCCGAGGCGCGGGATAGGGTGGCAGGGGTTGTGCACGACGCAGTGCAGCAGGCTGTGATGCAATACGGCTATGACGACGAGCTCTTCCAGGATTGGAGGGACGGCAAGATAGGCGAAAAGGACTTGCCGGAGGAGGTGATGGCTATGACTTTGGACCTTTGCGAGAGGTGGCGAGCGGAGCAAGAGCGGTGTAGGCGCGTCCACGCGGCGCAGCGGCTCTCCCGCGACCCCGGCCCCTCTCGTAGCCGCAGCCGTAGCCGCAGCCCCAACTCTTGCCGCTCTTCCGTGTCGGGTTGTGACGAGGGGTGAGGGGACACGGATTGAAGATCCCTCACACCAAGATCGTGCAGGGCGGGGACACACGTCCCTAAATCCCATCTCGTCTCAGAGTTTGACCGTTTTCTTTAGATCGGAGCGTAGAGAAGAAAGAAAAGAAAGAAAGAAAACAGACAACCCAAGGGAGGGATGGGAGGACGGCACGCCGCCACCACACAGAGCGTATAGCGGAGTGGGCCCGTCACGTTTTTCTCGCCAAGTGATCATATTCTTTTTCCGCTATTCTTATCCAAAACAGGGTCTATATTCTCGAATATGACAAGAATACAGCTCTAAATAGGGTCTGTGTTCTCAAATATTCTTTACATTCCTGCTGAAAATCGCTGAAAATCGCTTCGAAAAAGAATATCGGAAGAATAACGTGTAGAGCTCTGGGGGGAGGCGAGGGCCCTAGGGGGTACCCATGCGGGGGGGAGATGGGGTCCCCCAGCCCGCCGCAGGCGCCGATTTTTTTGGCATTTTCTTTCTTTATTTTTTACTTGTTTTCATGGGAATTCGGCGACTTGCGGCCATGCTATCACGCCTTGCGACAGCCTGTCGGCGCTGCTGACCGTGCCATGCTGCTCAACTGACCGCCTGCATAGCTCGCGGCCTTAGTCTTCGGCATTCAGTGACGACCTGATCGTACGGCCAGTAGGAAGGTGTCCCCAGCGCGTGCACGCTTCTGACGCAATGCGCGTCACAAACTGCCTCGGATTGGCTGCTGGCACTCTCGAGGCTATGCCTACACAGCCTCGCGCGCATGGGCAGTCAAGAGGGACCACGCACCTTCTCAGGACAGCGCCGGTGCCTCTCTCTTGGACCGGCAAACGTGGTGGTCTCGTGTCACCGATGTGCGACCAGTGCGGCATCGCGCCATCGACAGCTCTGAACTGCGCCTCACCACTGACCGGGAAGGCCGCCAAGTGGGTCAGCACCGGTCGCACATTGTGGCAGCAGTCAGCAGCGCATGTCTGATAGCTAGAGCAGCAGCATCAGGGTCGCAGGGTCGGATCGTGTCAAGCCTCTCGCCCGGCCGGCCGCGTGCAGACGTCGGCCTGTTTGCTGTCTGGAGTGATCTGTCGGCGGTCAGTCAGTACGACCGATCAGGTCGGAGTTTTCTGATGGTTGGAGGGTCTATCTGTATGTACTCCTCGAGATCTCTCCAAATCTGCCCTCTACTCAACCGTACTCATTCGGGAAGTCGGTGCTAGTAGAGACTAGTAGAGCCGGAGCCCCGTTTCCGCACTGCTGCGCGGCGCACCTCCCCCCAGAGGTGTACAGACCAAAGTGGGCCCCGAGTTTGGAAAAGGCGACGGACGCTTGCGTCCTAGCCTCCAACAACGCCTCCCCGGCGCAGAGGGGCCCCCGGAGGGACGCTCAACCGCTCCACATGCCGCTTGCGCCGAAATCTCTCATGTAGATACCCGGGTAGGAATTCCTCCTCATTCCCAGCTTCGCAGCCCGTATGCCTCGCTGCCGCCACAGCCCTTGACACATATGCAGCGCCGCGACTTTTCAACCCAGGTAGTGGATGTCAAGCCGCACGCCTCGCTCGTGGCGGTCGCCTTCCCGCGTCTCATCTGCGTGTGGTCTGACTTCGGCCAGCATATCCCACGGTGCGAGTCTGGACCTCTGCCGGGAGGCACGCTCGCTGCCAGTGACGCGCTGCAGCAGCTAGCTTGGCATCCGAGCGGAGACAGGCTCGCCGCGTTGACGCGACACGCCCAGGTGATCATTTTCGTCCTCGATGACGATCCTGCCGGTGGTAACAAACTGCGCCTGCTCCGCGTCCCCGCCGCACCTGGTCCACTCGGCGGTGGCGCCAGCCTCGCCGTTCCGCCGCTCGGCGAGACCTCGATGGGCGGAGACGGCGGCGGTTTGCTTGTTGGGGCGGGCGGCCCCACGTCCTTCACGGCTTGGAGCTGGGGCGGTGACTCCAGGCCAGCCGGGCGCTTCACGGCGGCGGTGCAAGCCGCCCTCGGCACGGCTGCGGCCAGCCCTCCTCCGGCCTTTGGCGAGGAGGAGGGCGGTGGCGGCGGTGTCGCCGGCTCGCAGCGCCGAGTTGGGGCGGCGCCCAGCAGAGGGCGCGTCCCTGCCGCCGTTGTGCGGAGGGGCGCCACCTCGGCCGCTCCTCGGTCCGGCCCTGCGACGCCGTTGAGCAGCCCGACGCCGTCGGCAGACCCGTCGCCCGCCGCGGGACGAGTCGGCGGCTCGGCGGCCGGCGAGTGCGTCGTCGGCTGTGACGACCTCGCCGTCTGCTCTCGTGCAGGCGTGTGCGTCGTCGTCGCCGGCGGCGGCGCGGCTCTCCTCTGGCACGCTCCGCTCGTGGGCGTTGGAGGGGAGGCCCCCCCTGCTCCTCCCCGCTCCACCGCCTCGCCGACGCCCCTGCGGCTGGAGAGGAGCGACGACTGGCGCACGCAGTCGCTCGCCGACGCGCTAGCCGACGGAGCGCGGCAGCCGGCCGAGGCCGGCGGCGGCGGCGGCAGAGGCCTCCCGTGCGCGAGGCTGCGCGTGCACGGCGCGGAACGCGCGTCAGTGTCGAGGAGCCGCGCCCTGGTTGCCGTCGGCTGCACGTCCGGCGAGGTTGTGCTCTTTGCGCTCCCTCCCGCCGCCCCCACGGGCGCCTCTGCCGTCATCGCACCGGCTGCTACCCTCTCTTTGGCTCCGTGGGGCATCGGCGAGCGCATGTCCGGCCCGGTCGGCGCACTGGCCTTCTCCTTCGACGGCGGCCGTCTGGCCGTCGGCTGGCGCGGACCGCGGGGCGGGCTGGCGGTCTTCTCCTCGGCTGGCGCGCTGGTAGCCGCGTGGCCATCGGTCACTGCGCAGCAGCCGGCGGGCGGGGCACCGAGTGCGCCGCCAAGAGAGGGGCCTTTCGGAGGCGCCGGGTCCGCGTGTGGCACGTCTGCCGGGGGAGGAGGGCTTGCTGGAGAAGGGCGGCTCGACCCGACGGGGCCGCACCCCGCTGCAGTGACGGCCGTCGCTTGGGCCGGGGAGGACGCGTCGGTCTTCGTCGGCAGCCGGATTTGCGTCTCCAGCGCCGCGTCTGGCGCATGCGGTAGCGGCGCGGGCAGCGCGGCCCTCTGTGCGGATGTCTTTGCGGATGGCCTCTCCGCGGATTGCAGTTGTGCCGGCGAGCGGCACAGCGTGTTTCGCTTCGACGTGTGGCGCGAGGCGTCGCCCGCTTCCGCTCGGGTTCGGGCGGCGGCGGCGGCGGCGGCGCGTCCCTCGCCGCTGCTCCTGCTGGGCCGCACGCACGCGCTGGTGTCGAGCGCGGACCCGCACTGCTTAATGTGGCGCCGCCTCTCGCCGCCGTTGCAGCCGAGCGCTGCGGGGCCGGGCCTGCTGCGGCGCGGCGCCGTGTCTCCTGACGGCCGGCGCGTCGCGCTCGCCGCCGCGCGTGGAGTGGCCGTTCGCCGCATCGACGAGGCCGAGATGTTACCGGCGGATTGGCGCGTGGCTTTCGACCCTCCGGCGCGCCGCGCTCGCCCTGTGGCATCGGCAAGCGCCGCGTCGCTGTGCGTGGAAGAGCTGCGCTGGCTGGAGGAGGAGGACGGCGCTTGCGACGTGCTGCTCGCCATCGGTCGGCCGTCGGCGGGGGTGGATCGGCCCGGCGTGCGGCGGCCTGGCACGTGGGGAGTCAGCGACGCTTTGGCGTCGGTTGGATTCGCTGAGCCCCTGCCGACACCAGACACGTATGCCGCTCGGCACGCCGGGACGGGCCCGCTCGAGCTGCGTGCGCTCGATTGCGGCACCATGCGTTTGTTGCTGCATTTGCCGCTGCCCGTTCGCGGTGTGGTCTGGGGCTGCTCTAGCGTTCCTGCTGCGCCGTCCCTCCTCGCCTTGGGCTGCGAGCAGGACTCTGGCGCGCAGGCAATCTGCCTTGTCACCATCACGCGCTCGCCTCCCGCGAGGCTCCACGCACAAGCCGTGCGGGTGAGAGACCAACCATTCACCACTTCCCGGTCGGCTTCCCACCCCGACACTCTGCTGCGCGAGTGGCGCCGCTGTTCTCCTCTGTAGGTGTTGACGCCTCCCCATCCGGCGGCCTCACCCCTCTGTGGTCTGAGCTGCGCGGCCGTCGCTCCTCTGGCGGCGGCCGCGCACAAGCGCACGCCGCTCCTCGAGCTGCTCCTGCTGTCTAGCGACGGCCGCCTCTCGCTGCTGCGCTTCGCCACTTCGTGCGGGGGTGCAGCAGCGCCGTCGCGCACGCCTCTCGTCGAGCCGATTTGGCCTGCCGCATTGCCGCGGTCGCAGCGCGTGCATCAGTGTTGGCACTTAGCGGGCGCGGCGTGGGCCGAGGAGGAGCGCAGCACGTGGTTTTACAGATGGGACGGTGGCGGACTCACTGCTTCGACGCGCCCTGGCGAGGAGGACCGCGAGGTCGAGGCGGTCGTCGCGAGCGGTCCCGGAAGCGTGCACCTCACCGAGTGGCAAGGCGAGTCGACGGTGACGTGCGAGATTCCCCTGCTGCCTCAGCAGCGTGAAGTGGCGCCCGTCGCTATCCTCCCCGACTGCCACGCGCTCATCGGCATCGGCCCGCCAGAGCTCAACGCAGCTCAGCTAGGGCCGCCTCTGGTGGCGCAGCCGCTGCTCCACCGCAGCTTGCGGTGGCTCCTCACACACCAGCGACGCGCGGCGGCAGAGCGCCTCGCGCGCGGCCCGGGCTGTTTCCGCCGCCGCCATTGCCTCGAGCGGTTACTGCACGAGGCGACGGTCGAGGCGCACAAGAGCTGCCCTCTAGGCGAGGGGGCGCGGCCGCTGCTCTCAGACGTCGCGCTGCTGCTGCTGCGCGCACTCCTTCCGGCGGAGCGTTCGCGCGTGATAGCAGGCTGTGCGCCCTTGTCGGAGCCCTCTCACTGGCCAGTTCTGTTTCGGGCTTGTGGCACCCCCGACGAGCTGCTCAGGGCATCACTCGCTGCCGGAGACACTCGAGGAGCAATGCTCTTGCTGCTGCCAGTGCTCGTCGAGTGCGGCGTGTCTCAGTGCGAAGCCGCGTTGCGGGCGGTCCGGCAGGCTGCCCTGTCTGCGGGCCAGCCACAGACGATCGCCGACGTCGAGCGGTTCGAGCGACGGCTCACGGCCGCCGGGGCCGGACGCGAAGCGGTCGTTTCTTAGTGGACAGTGTGGGCTTGAGTGCGCTTTATTGGCCTCGCGCTTATATGTGACCCGTCTGTGCTTTGAAACTGTGTGTTGCAGAGCTTTAGTTACATGCACATGCACCTAGCAGACCAAAAAACATATTTGTTGTTTCGCGCCCAGACAGGCCTGCTCGCGATCGCTCGAACGGGATCTTGTGTGAAATTTGTGGGCTTCAGCCTTCACATAGGGCCTTGGCAACCCCGATCCCCGTAAAATGCGGAAAGGCACCCCCACTCTCTGCCGCGCCCTCGATTTGAGCCACCTCGCTCTCACAGACGGCTCCTCTGGTCGGACAGGAGCTGCAGGAGGAACGGCTCATATGCGTTGGCGAAGAGTCGCGAGAAGAAGCGCTCCTCCGACGGCGAGCCGTGCACCAGGACGGTGAGGGGCGCATGGGAAGGCCGCTGCGAGCGAAGGGTGGCGAGCAGCGAATGCATGCGGTCCACCGCGCTGTTCGCCCCCTCGGGCAGGAGGTCGGCGCCGTCCGCGGGGCGCGGGGTGCCGAAGAGCTGCTCGAGGAAGGCTGGCGACGCCTGCGCACCGACCCAGAGCGACAGCTCTTGCAGCGTGTCGAGCAAGAGCACGCTGCTCGGCGAGACCTCGCTCCCTCGAGGCAAGAGCTGCTCGCGGGTGGCGGCGCTTGGAGCGAGGGTCGCGGCCGCCGCGCCCTCGTCGGGCGCCTCCTCGGCGGCGAGCGCAGCGTCGGCCAGCGGAGGCGCCTCTGCCCCTTCCACCGGAGCCCAGCCGTCCCCGAGAGAGCGCTCGTGCACGACCAGCAGCCGGGGGGCGAGGGCGAGGCAGGCGAGGTGGGTCGGCAGCAGTCGGAAGCCGTGCGCGAAGGCCGCGAGCGAGTCGGGCGAACGCGGGCCGGCAGCGGACGCAAGACTGGGCGTGTTGAGCGGCGGCATCGTCGAGAGTGCGAGCGTCAGGAGGGGGAAGAGGGCGAGGGGGCGGAAGAGGACGAGCTCGTCCGCCGTCTTGCGCATCGGCGGCGGGCAGAGCTCGCGCTGCGAGACGATGCTGTCGAGGAGCGAGTCCTTGAGCTGCTCGCGCACCGCTGACAGCGGCTTGGTTTCGGCGGCGGCGAGCGCGAGCTTGGCAATGAGGGCGATTGCGACGGGCGGGTTCACCGACTGCGCCAGCGAGCGGAAGCTATCGGCGACCGGGATCTCGCGGGTCGACACGCGGATCCGCCGCTCTCCCGCGGGGCCAGAGTAGAGCAGCGCCGACTGGACATACGCCGTCTTGGCCGGCAGCGCCTTCTTGTCGTCCGTGTGGCGCAGCTCGGCGGCAAAAGTGGCGGCGCGGTCGACGCTCGGGAGGAGAACGATGGAATCGTCGCCCGCGCCGTCCTCCCCCTCCGGATCCGGGCCCATCCCCGACAGCGGCCGCAATCCCACCACCCTGAGGCCCTGCGACGTGCGCAAGCGCAGCACCGCATCAACCGCGGCGTGGCTGACACTCAAGCCCTCGCTCAGCGCCTCCTCCAGAGCAGCGCCAGCGGGACGCGCGCCGTCTTGGTCCGGCGGCACGTAAAACAGCCGCCCGCCGCTGATCTTGGGCAACTGCGCGAGAGATGCGACGTCCACGAACCCCGACCCCGGAGCCGCGACGAGCCGCACCGCCAAATTTGCGTCTGCACAGCCACGAGCAATCCGTTTCAGCGCCTCGCTCTCCGGCCGAGTGCAGCGCTCCAGCTGGGCGGCCAGCTCCTTGCCGTCGGGCGGTTGCGGCGCCGCGTGAGCAGACGGCAACTTGCGGCTCTGCGCCGCGCCGCTGACGGAGAGGACGAAGAGGTCTCCCGAGCTGGCAGCGGCTGTCACAATGGCGCGCGCAACCTCGACCGCGGCCTCGAGCGAGACCGCACCAGCCGACGCGGCCGCATCCCCCGACGCCTCGGCAGCGAGGCGCGGCAGCTGCTCGAGCAGCTCCTGCAGCTCGGTCAGCCGCTCCCGGATGGAGTACAGCGGCGGCTCTGCGCCACGCGGCAGGGCGGGTAGACCCTCGGCCGACGGTAGCATCAGCTCTACGGCGGGCGCGCCGCCCGATGGGTCGCGCAGCCGGTGCAGCCGCGCCGTCGCGTCGAAGCTGACGACGGCGACGCGCTGAGGCCCGAGCGAGGAGGCGTCGGCGTCGGCGTCGGCTGCTATCCGCGCGAGCGCCTCCTTGGCAGCCGCACACGCGGAGGAGAGGGCGCCCGAAGCGACCGCGGCGGCGGTGGTCTCGAGCGCGATCACCAGCACCCGCGGGCGCGCGTCGGCAGCCGTCGAGTACACAAGCGCCTCTTCGCCCGAGAGCAGGTACTCCACGTCCGCATGGACGAGCTCGAGCCTCCCGAGTGGCACCGCTCCGGCAGCCTGGGCGGGCGCGGCGGGACTGCTCTTCCAGCCTCCCCACCATCCGCCGCCGCCGCCGCCGCCCCCCTGCCCGTGAGGCTGCGGGTGCTGGGGGTGGGGCGGCCGAGGCAGATCGTTGACATGGTTGCACAAGTTGCACTCCCACTTGGCAGCATGCGCCCAGATCTGCGCAAACGGGTTGAGATAGCCGTTGCACGCCGAGCACCGACACACGAGTGGCGGCGGCGGCGGCGGACGCCAGCCGCCGCCCGCGTCGAGGGCTGTGGCCGCGGCTGCCCCAGTGCTGGCGTGCGGATCAGAGACTTGGACGGCCTGGGCAGCGAGCGGCGCGACGAGGCAGCCAAGCGGAATGCCGAGCGAATGCTGCAGCGGCGCGGTCTCGGCCGCGGCCGCGCTAGACAGGGCGAGCGCCTCATCCTTGGCCGCGCGAAGCGCCGCCGCCTGTCGCGCGTCGAGCCGTGGAAAGGCAGTGGGGTGGAGCATGGGCCGCCCGCCGAGCCCTTGGCGGGACGGAATGCGAGTGAGGTCGTGGAAGACCGGCATGTACCCTGGCGCGTGCCTGTGGCCCGGCGGTGCCGCCATTCCGTGACCGGGAGCCGGCGGGTGATGCAGAGGCAGGGGCTGCTGCGAATAGCCTGGGTGCTGCGGCTGAGGCTGGCCGTACGACTGCGGCTGCGATGGATGAGGTGGCCAAGGCTGCCCGGAAGCCGGACCGTCGCTCCACTGGCCGCCGCGCAGGCGGAGCAGAGACCCGGCCAGCGATTGCACGAGGAGGCTTGGCGTGAGCCACATCGCCTCTCGTGGCCGGGCGTGAACAGGGCGTGAACAGCAGCTCCTGACCACGGCGCCGCAGGCGCCTGTTGATAGGTCCAGGTGATAGCCCTGGATAGGCAATGCATACGCCTAGTTGGGCCTCGGATCGCCCGGCCGCGTCCCGGTGCTCTGCCGTCGGATTTGTGACGCCGCCGCACCGCGCCGCGGCCGGGGAGCTCTGGGAGGTTCAGTGTCAGTGTATATATTGTAGAGATCAACCATGTCCACAATATCTCTCAGTCTAGCTAAGCCTGGGAAGGCGATGCCGGGGCCGTACAGCAGCTTGATGGTGCTTCGCCGGCGTGCGTCCCGGAGCGGTGCCGGACGGAACCCTGTCTCCGACGCGATCAGCCGTGGGCATTGGGGGCGCTTCCGCCGACTCTGTGAGCAGCTCCACGTCAGACCCGAGGAACTGCCGTTGCCACCGACGTGCTCGGACCTGTATCGAGCCGCGGTGAGCCACCTGGCCCAACTGAGGGCCCAAGTCGGAGAACCTCCGGACGTGGCGAATCGAGCCGTCCGAAGCCTGGGCCGCCGCCCCTCCATGCGCATGGGCGGCTCGTCGCCGCTCGAGACGATGGCGGCGCGGCTCGCCGGACGGCCCACTCAAGGCCCTCCTACGCCTCAGAGGCGCTCGAGCCTCGAACAAGGCATGCTCTTGCGGCTCGCCGGCGCCCCGGGCGTCCCTGCCCGCACGAGCGGCGCGCCCGGCACTGGTCTCGATGCGGGCATGATCGCACGACTCGGGATGCCGTCGCCATCGCCGTCGGGGTCGAGGTGGTCGGGGATGCCGTCGCCGTCCGTGTCGACGGTGCCCTCCTCGGCGTCGGGGATGTTGTCGCCGTCCGAGTCGGGGTCGAGTGCATCGGGCGTGCCGTCGCTGTCCGTGTCGGCGGAGCCCTCCTCGGCGTCGGGGATGCCGTCGCCGTCCGAGTCGGGGTCGAGCGCGTCGGGCGTGCCGTCGCTGTCCGTGTCGGCGGAGCCTTCCTCGGCGTCGGGCACCCCGTCGCCGTCCGAGTCGGGGTCCATCGCGTCGGGGATGCCGTCGCTGTCCGTGTCGGCGGAGCCCTCGACGGCGTCGGGGATGCCGTCACCATCGCCGTCGGGGTCGAGGTGGTCGGGGATGCCGTCGCCGTCCGTGTCGACGGTGCCCTCCTCGGCGTCGGGGATGCCGTCGCCATCGCCGTCGGGGTCGAGTGCATCGGGCGTGCCGTCGCTGTCCGTGTCGGCGGAGCCCTCCTCGGCGTCGGGGATGCCGTCGCCGTCCGAGTCGGGGTCGAGCGCATCGGGCGTGCCGTCGCTGTCCGTGTCGGCGGAGCCCTCCTCGGCGTCGGGCACCCCGTCGCCGTCCGAGTCGGGGTCGAGGTAGTCGGGCAGCCCGTCGCTGTCCGTGTCGACCGTGCCCTCCTCGGCGTCGGGCAGCCCGTCGCCGTCCGAGTCGGGGTCCATGGCGTCGGGGATGCCGTCGCTGTCCGTGTCGGCGGAGCCCTCGACGGCGTCGGGGATGCCGTCGCCATCGCCGTCGGGGTCGAGGTGGTCGGGGATGCCGTCGCCGTCCGTGTCGACCGTGCCCTCCTCGGCGTCGGGGATGTTGTCGCCGTCCGAGTCGGGGTCGAGTGCATCGGGCGTGCCATCGCTGTCCGTGTCGGCGGAGCCTTCCTCGGCGTCGGGGATGCCGTCGCCGTCCGAGTCGGGGTCGAGCGCGTCGGGCGTGCCGTCGCTGTCCGTGTCGGCGGAGCCCTCCTCGGCGTCGGGCACCCCGTCGCCGTCCGAGTCGGGGTCGAGGTAGTCGGGCAGCCCGTCGCTGTCTGTGTCGACCGTGCCCTCCTCGGCGTCGGGCAGCCCGTCGCCGTCCGAGTCGGGGTCCATGGCGTCGGGGATGCCGTCGCTGTCCGTGTCGGCGGAGCCCTCGACGGCGTCAGGGATGCCGTCGC